GTGTTGCATGCACAGTTGACTCTTCAGTGTTGCTGTTCATGGAGATAATAAATACCTATGAAGCCATAGGGTCGCTAGCTTCATAAGAAGTTAAATATAACTGAAATATAACTTAAATTTGACTTTCCTGTATGAATAAAATGGCAGTATCTCAAGTCTTGCTAGGGACAGGATATTCCTCCTGAGGTATTTTCAGCTATGCAAATTTAACACCAGAGAAATTATAGCCACCTTTTCTAACCCTAGAGCCTCTATGGGAGTGCTGGTCTTCATTATTAATCTCTCTTGTGTATACATAGTCAGGCTTTGTATTCCAGGCATGACAATATCTTAATTTCTCTGCACTTGTATTAGCAAATAAAACATTTTGTTTGCAACCTTTCTTAAAAAAAGAGTCCCCTTTTAATCTGCACCTTCTGATAAACCACTATATTACACTGATAGCAAAATTAAGAAGCTGTGTTGCAGAGTAGTGCTGTACTTAGCATAGCCTATGAAAGGTTATACTGTCATAAATTACAGTCAAAAGTTAAACTGTCATAAATTACAGTCCAAATCAATCTTCATTACAAGTGTAAGTATTAATAATTGAGAGTGTTGAGATGAAATCATTATAAACAATTAGAGCAGATGCCAAATTCCCATGAAAAGTAATGGCAGTAATCTCTGCCCATATAGCCTTCTTTCTTACTTTTTTGGTAATCCCCACCCAAAAAAAAAAAAAAACAACAAAAAAACAACAACCAAACCCCAAAAAAAAACAAAGAAAAAAAACCCCCAAATAACCCCAAATGAAACCAAAATCCAACCAAAAAACTCCAACAAACAAACAAAAACCCAACCCAATTACACTGCTGGTAATTTGCTCACAAATGAGCCCTCGTTCTGAGGAAGAAACTTCAAATTCAGTGCATGCCTTTTGCTGTTTCTTGATTATCAGGAAACCTGCATTTGATATTTCAGCTCTGGATTAAATGCTGCCTGTCCTAGAACTGGATTTCTGCTTTGACTTTTTGTTGTATTCAGTGTCTTCAAGTGCTTGTGGAGTGCAGCTTTATGTTAATGGCCGTGCTAGTATTTGTGTCTTGTGCTTTTCTGGTTTCCATCTAGCAGTTGCCGTATCTTTGCCCACAGCTTTTTCCTGATATAGGATGAATTGTGGCTGTCCAAGGAGCAAAGAGATCAAGCTTTATGCAACTGGATTTCATCTTTCAGCAGCTGTAGTTCACATTTGCTTTGTGATTAACAAGGTAGAACTCAAAGCACTTTTGATGTACTGTACTTCTTTTATCATAATACTTCTCATGGGAAGTGTTACTCATCTGCGGCATCTGGAGAAGAGCATTGCTCTTAGACTAGGTGTTGGGGCTGATAATGCAGCTGGGGTGAAGGAGGAATTCCCCAGCAGTGAGACATGGTGAGAAGTCAGGATAGGGAGGAGAGGTGTGAGTGAGTAGGAGGGAGCATCAGTAGCAGAGAGCAGGAGGCAAGTCATAATCTGTCAGTGGGTGATTTGGAAACCAAATAGGAAATTATGAATTGGATTCCAAGATAAGGAATAGTGCCAGTAGTCCAGGGCACTGCTGATACGGTGGAATGCCAGCTGCTTCCAGATAGGTGGTCATCTAGGACTGCCACTTTGTGGGCAACAGTCTTGCATCCAGGAAGGATCTTCCTGGGACAGAGATGACAAAGGGCAAAAAAATGTAAACTTTCTATCCTGCCTAAGTTTTGTATGCGCCCTGAAGTCTTCCCACCCCCACCCCCCTCCTTTGCTCTCCCGTACTCTCTTCTCCTTGGGGAAAAAAAGATGTTTTTCTTTCCCCCTTGTTTTTTTCAGTGATGTAAACCCTGTGTTGTATCTTCTGCCTGCCTTGCTAGTCTCTCCTCTGTGCCATGCAGCCGGATCACAGCGTGATTATCTGAGGCATTTTGGGGGTGTAACTGTCTGCAGTTTACCGAGGTTTATGTTTCCCTAAGTTAACAGCCCCTGTAGACAGCACTACTGTAACTTTCCTGCAGACAAAGAGGCTTTCTTTCAGGGCTGCCTCTTATCAGTTGGTTTATCTTGTCAGATTTGAATGGGAAAAGAATAGTTTTATGAAGACAATAGAAAGGAAAAGTTACTTAATGTGTTCAGAGTGATTTTGTTTGCAGTATGGCTTTAAGGTCTGAGATTCTTCTGTATATGGAAGATTGCTGTTTCAAGGCTGAATATAGTTCAGTAAGTAATGCTTTGGTACTTCCTTAGTTCAAACCCATTTGTGGGGTTCTAGCAGCTTAGGTCATCTTTCAGGGTTCCCTCAAGAATTGGGTTGTTTTCTTTTTTCCACCCACAAAAAAGCCTCCTCTTATAACAGCATTATTCTGGGAAAGGAGTTGTGTTTCACAGATCATGCAGGATGAATAACATTGGTTCAAAATCCTTGTGGGACAGAACTGAGAAAACAAAGCTACAGCAGGAGCTTTAGGATGGATTTGTCCTTTTATGCAGTGATTTGGATCTTACCTTACTGGTGAGACAAACAGAAGAAACTTAATATTTTTTTATTTTCTATTTCTCAATAAAACATTTCATTTGAGTGTGATGAAAGAGAAGTTCTTCATAAAGCTGCAGCCATGTCTGAGCAAATAGCAAAGATTTTTTTGAAATGGTGGTTGGAGAAAGTTTTCTTAACTTTTGGTATTGAAGGCAATCCATTGTGCTTCCCAGAAATAATGCTAAAAAACAGCACCCAAAAAAAACAGATAACTTGAATTAGGTATCTTTGATAGTGATTTGTGAAAGGTGTTGCATTAACTTCAGCTGAAGAATGCCAAGTTCGAATTTTAATGTAAAAGTGAATACAAGGCAGTTACTTATTTTACATAGGAAGTTCTGGCAAAAGTGATAAAACTGTCAATTTCTACAGATATGGGCAAATGATGCTGATAAACCTGTGTCTGGAATCGTCTTCATAGCAAAATCAGTGTAGGGTGCCTAAATTTGTTGAAAGCAGTGTTTACTTTGCTGAGAACATATCCAGGGGATATATGCCTGCACCACAGATGCTGTAATGATATCATCACATTACTGTGGATAGATGCAGTATGTACGTCCTTTAACAAATGTTTAATGAATAACAAAAGTTTCTAATGGGTTCAGTTTTAGATTGGGAAATTGCAAAGGAGAAGTTATTCAGACTTCTAAAAAACAAGTGTATCAAGCGAGGCTTGTCATGGTATGATACAAGAAAAGTTACAAAAAGTACAGTGATGTTGCATGAAGCCAAAACAAAGAATTTGGATACTTCAGGTGGACAAAATTGAGAGATGGGGGGAAAAAAAATATTATTTTGAAATCTTGTCTAATGAAATACAGATTATTTGCTCAAGTTCTATCATTTAAAAAGTTGATTAAGTGCTGAGTATGTTAAAAGTAAACATTGATAGCTGAGCTTAATCTAGAAGGATTTAAAAAAAATGCATTTATGTAATTTTACATTTACAAAATTCACTCTCTTTGTTCAGCTTAGAAATCGCAGCATATGTCTTGAGTTTTCCAGTGCTCTGAATGGGAATCCTGCAGTCATTTCAAGCTTGCTTTTCATACACAGATTTGCAGTAACGGTTTATATACTCATGAGTATATTATGTAATTGATCATAATAATAGATATGGCAATTAATGGTGCAGTTCATGCAGATGAACTTTGAACTAAACAGCTGGGAATGGCACCCTTGCTGCTTCACAAAACGTTTTTCAAGGGGAGACTGAACTCAGTGTTTGACTCTTTGCATATTGCACGTATCTTCTCTACTGTTTTCATACTCAACATTTCCTCTGGCTTTTATTTTCCTTGTTTTCAGTATTACTTCACATTACTTTTGAATATTTTATTTAGTGTTTTATAGCTTAAATAGCTATCTTTTGCACTGTATTCAGCTTACACAGAATCAGGACTAATCAGTAGTGCTTTCTGGCTGTTGCGTAGAGATCATGTTACAAAATTCATCTTTGGAGACATCTACAGATATGATCTGAATCTGCTCCTGTTTGAACCTGCTGTGTTAAACAAAGGGGTTTATATACGAATTTCCTCCTTTTAGTGGTTTTGAGCTTTTTTTAGACCTTTACAGAAAAAATTCTGATTGCAGTACTGTAAACATTAGCATGTGCACACAAGTTTATATGCAGTTACAGTCTCTTTGACTTCAGGGTACTGTTTTCCTCATGCACAAATGTTTGCAGTGTGGGGGTTTGTGTTTGTGAGACCATAGTAGAAGCAGGAAAAAAAGAAAAACACTTGTACCAACACATATTTAATAACTGTGTGATATATCTAAGAAAAATATCTTGTTTCCCATATTTAATAGATGTTAGTTTACTGTTTATCTCGCCTAATGATCTTCTAATATGGGAAATTTCTTCGCAGACGAAAAATGTATGAGTAAAAAAATGCATTCGTCTTCTTAGGCATCATCTGTTCCATTGACAGAAGGCACAGATGTGACATTTATCTCAATAATTAGATTTATAATTATTGTATCATTCTCAGATTGATAGTTCATTGGTCTTCATGGCATGTGATTTGAAGCGCTACAGGTCATGCAACAGAAATAGGCTTAATCATTGAATGGTGAACCTAAACTTGAGACTGGTTTTCACATTATGCTTATATGTTTTTATGTATTACAAAAGTGTATGGCAGATAAACTAACTGCAGGCAGGGAAGAACATTTGTAGATCACTGGAGGTGAATGCTGGTCTGTGGACAGAACAGCAAATGTGGAAGCCTGAAAAATATCCGTGGTGCATTTTGTCTGGAAGCTGCTGTCTTTGCCATTATCTAGTGTGATTGTAGACTTCCTGGACATGCCTGTGAAAACAACAGTAGCTCTGATTTTTAGTAGGAGACTGGGAAATGAGGGAACAAAGAAGCAGAATCTCAGAATGTGCATATGCGGTACATGCTGTATTTTTTATGCTAATGTCTTCTTTCCTCTCTTTTTTGTTCACAGTTGTAGAACAAGCAACAGGAAGAGTTTGATGGGCAATGGCCAGTCTCCAGCTCTGCCTCGACCTCACTCACCACTCTCAGCTCATGCAGGTGATTTTTGTATCTATGCTACTACTACTATTAAGTTCTTAGAATATTCACATAAGGAAAGGAAAAAAGACAAATTCCCTATCCCACTACTCTTCTTTCCACTGTTTGTAAAATCAAAAAGTTGCATATCATTTCATCCAAGTATCTGTTTTGTTTAGATCCATAAATCCTATGTTATGGTGAGAAGCAGTCCAGAAATACCTAACATGGATTATGTAGCTATTTTTTATTTCCCTGTCTTGCATTCCGACATTATGATGCATTTTCTCCCCCTTTCCCCTTGCCTTCTCTTTCTGGCGCTAGTTCAAAGTGTGGCCCTTAGTGTGACAAAGATGTAGAGTAGCTTACACACATGGTAAAGGTGTGGAGTTGGTGAGTAGGGTATTGCATTCTACTCCTAGTGCTTTTGCTCTCTAGGGTTTGTGGTGTTAGGCACACTGCTGGAAATTTGTGTGCTTCACTTTATATGGCAGTAAATCGATGATAATTATGTTTTGCTTCTGAAATACCTGAAGCACTTAAAGATTGAATGAAAGTCCATAAATAAATATTTTATTGATAACGATTGTCTTAATTTTAAAAAGGAACATTTTTAGCATATCAAACCCCGTTTTCTCAAATGCTTATTGTCTCTTTTAGTTTTTTTGGGCATTGGCTTGTAGCCACACACCAAAGTGAAAGCCACACACCAATACTTGTGTAGGCAATGGCACTGAATACTTTGGAGAACTTTTGTCAGACGGATGCTAAAAGAAAAGGTGCAGAGCTGAAGTTGAATTTTTGAAGTGGAGGGCAAGTTTTTATTAAGGCATCTTCAGTTTTCTTGTAGAAGCAATAGTATTAGAGAAAATATAGTGGTGATTTTCACTCTGAGCAGCAGGCTGTCACAATCAGAAATCCAGACAACATGGAGATTTGTGAAGAGTTCAAGGCAGCACAGCATTTAAAACGAACAAAGAAAAATATGGTGCAGACTATTTTAAAACTGAGAATTAAATGTAATAGTGTTTGGGATCCCTCTCTGGGTCCCTCAAATACAGGAACTGCGGTTTGGCACAGGGAATCTGTGGTCACCATAGAGAGAGGCTTTAGTTGTGCTGTTCTGACCGATGAAAGCAGTATGCAATGCTTGCTGTGAGAGCTAGTGTGTCTGCTGCAATGAGTGACTACACCACCTATTTGGAAACTCATGGCTTAGACACACAATGCCTAGAAGGCTTCAGAAGTATGGAGTGACCAGCACATGTTACCTGGGACCTGAATATAAATTGTGTATTTGGTAAATGCCAAAGAGTTCCTGTCTGGCAGTGGACTCATACTTCTAGCAAGTTGCGTGACCTTTTTGTGTCTTTCTCAGACCATAAAATGGGAATAATATTGCTGATTTCACAGCTGTTACCAAGTAGCTCTGGAGGTAGAAAAGTGGTAGTATAAAGATTAAGAGGTTAAGTGTAAGCTGTTCTTTCCCTTAAACTCAGCAATATGCGCAGTGTATTCAAAAACCTGTTGTGGAGATTTGGCAGCTTCTCCAGTTACCCAGGATACTGTAGGTTCTCTTAATGCTGATGTGTTCTCCCAAGGTATGTGTGCCAAACATTTCAGTAGCACTAGGAAGTCTCATACATGTGATGAAAATTTGCATGTGTATGGCTGTCTCTCTTAGTAGCTTGCCTCTAAGTATAATTAATTACAGTAAATATTCATGCAGTTATTGGCTCCTAGCTCAGCTGGTCAGTTTGCCTAGACTAGTCCCCTGAAGAGGCAATTTAAAGTTAAAGCATGTTCAGAGTCACCCTTAACAGGCTTTCTGTTTTGTCTAGTGATCAGTTAGATACTGCCTGGAATTTGGCAGGCAAAAATTTATTCTTTTTTTTTAATTTGTATTTTGAATAACTTAAAGGCTAACATGCTTTTGTGAATCAGAAGAGGTTTCTTTTTGGCCATCTTCCGGATTGCATGAAGTGGGAAAATGAAGGACATAGCTTGCTGTGGTCTGAGTAATTCTAATAGAAGAATGGATAAATTATGCATGACCCTGGTTGCTCATGCATTTTTAGAAGCATTTTGTCTTCTGGTTTCATACTGTTAAAGCTTTTCTGCCAGAAATGTTTCTCTTAGGTTCCTGTATCCCACACTGTACTCCCTAATGTCAGGGTACTTTGGCCATCTTACCAGAGATAGTAGGTTCTTATCCCTTTCTTATAGGCTGTTCAAGCTAAAGAGAATGAAGATTCTCCGACTTTTCAAAATCCACTCAGGATCAATTTCTATTAATTATCATCATGATAATCCTCAGTGTTATCCTGGGCCTAGTCCTAGTATGATTTTACGTGTAATATTACATAATGCCTAGTATGAGAGTAAGTCATAGTAAGGTTATTGGCATTGCTTGGGAATTCAGTGCCTCAGAGGTATCTGAAGTCAGTATTTTCATCCTTCATGAGGATATCCTAGGATCTACAACTGGCCTTTGCCCTTCTGTGTTAATCCATTGCTTGTTGGGAGAAAAAGGAAAATACGTACTTGGTTACCTTTGCTTGAGTCTCATACCTGAATGAGATTTATGGCGACCACTAGTTTAAGTTACCTGTTGGGTGTTTTTTTTCCCCCCAGTACTTCACATCTCTGAGGGCAAAAAAGTGGTAATGCATTGTCTGTGTCAATTGAAGCAAGATACATGAAGGCATGTTATGAATCTCAAGGTGGAGCTCTCATAGTCAGAGGCTGCATTAGCACTCATGCCAATAACTGTGGCTTTGCTCAAGAATGTTTCCATCTTTGGTATCTGCAGACAACGATTTAGAGGCCTGGTTGCACCCTTGGGAGCAATGTGTCATTACTTCAGACCTCAGGAGCTCAGGTTGCTGCTAGGTGGTCATAACAATCTGGATTAGAGTTAGACAAAACATTGGATGTGAGGAGTCTTGCTCTATTTTAGAAGAAAAGCTTGAACATAACCATAGTTTTTTGAGGTGCATTTTATACCCTTATTTTCCTTTGTAGTCCTGTTTTTCTCCCAGATGCAGTCTGCACTGAAGACACTAGCTGTTCTGTAGTTTAAATAGACATGCTTTGAGAAGGACCAGTGGCCCAAATTGACGGTGATGATAATTGCCCCATATGAGAAAGTCATACAGAGGTCTCAGGCAAATTTCTCCCTCCTCCCTAGTTTTCATTGTTTGGTCTGGAGGTGACAGAGGATCATTCCTACACAGCTGTCTGTTGTTAATCTGTACAGATGCAAGCTAAACTGGACAAACACTGAATACTTACGTAAAGTTTTTTTGTTAGCCTTACCATCTCTGTCATTCTCACATTCATACGGTAGCATGGGAAGGAGAGACAGGTGAGACAGCACCACACTGATAAAGTAAGTATATTTTAGGGGCACAAATAGTGCGCAGGTAGCACCTGACAAAGAAGGGGTAGGTTCATTTGTAAGCAGCAGTGGATGTGAGGGCTCATGGGCTAGAGAAAAGTTGCTAGAGTAATAAGTAATACAAGGCTTGGGAGCATACAAATAAGTATAAGATCTGAGACTGAGAGTTGAAATGGGGATAGGAGAAAGACGGTGTATACAGTAGGTACTATATATCTCTGCTGTATACTTTAATTACTAATACAGTACATGTAATGCCCTTTTTCTCTGTGCAGGACCTGCAGAGATAATTTGTGTTGGTGGAAAATCAGATTTTAGTTTGCATGTGAAGTCTCCCACTATGCCTTACACGTAAAGATGTGAAAGAATGTAAAGATGACAAAGAATAATATCAGCTTTAACTAAATAAAGTCTTTCTTTTGTAATGAAAATAGAAAACTAATCTATACTACGTTATGTCTTTGGGTTCAAACCTTCATCATTTTTAGTGAGTGTCTTAAGTTAGTTGTTTGGACATCATTTGCCTTTAGTATCTGAGCTGAAAACCTGCTGAAAGATCCTTTTAATTTTTGCATGAACTGTGGGTACATTCAGGATTGTGGGAAGCAAGGAATTGCAGCATCAGCTTGGACAACATCTGGTGTCCTGGTAATTAATGGACTTTTCCAGCTGACTGGCTTCTGTTGTTTAGGTAGGTCCTCTGCGCCACCCAGCCTGCAAATTGAATGATTATAATCTCGGCAGGTTAGGGCATTCAGGTTTCCCCACCTCCTTAGTCACAGGAGCTTGTTCCTGTGGGTCATGCCAACCCCTAATGATTAATAGTCACATGTGGTGCTGTTTAATTGTATCTGCTGAAGGAACAAGATTGAGCTGTTAGGAGCGATGCTGTCTTATTTGTCCGTATTTTAATAAATGTTTCATGCGGTGCCTCTAAGACAGCAGGTACTAGAACAAGAATTGCAAGTTAAGTAGGAAATTGTTTAAAGGGAAGAAGACAGGGGTTGTGCTAGAATGAGAAATACCATAAAGAGAGAGCAGAAGACTATCAGCAGAGTCCTCAGGTGTTGGGTTTGTGGCCAAACTTTGTAATTCTTCTCATAAGTGACGTTGGCATGAGATTACTGTAGCCGATGAAAATTTGGAAGACAAAGTATGAAATAGCATTCAGAAACTGTGCGGAAGTGACTGAATGATCTTGAGGACAGAAATAAAAAGATACGAATTTACATAGCAACATGAGTCGTCTTGTACTGGAGGATCAGTAACAGAAATGTCTATGGGACTTAACTATTGTAAGGAATTTAGGGAAGGACCTGACTGCATTTTTTTGATCAGATGATGTTTGCAAGGATCAGTCTAGTGTAGCTTTGGAAATCAAAACTCTGAAGATGTATAAGAAGGAAGTAATTTTCAATTGAATTTGGAAGATTTTGTCCCACCACACACTATCCTAATTAGGTTTCATCTGGAATACTGTATGCTTTTATGGTCATACGTGTTCAGATGGGATGACGAAGGAGAAAGGCTGGTAGGATAGAATGTGAGAGCATTTTTTGTCGTACTGAAAGACTATTTGCTTGCCTTAGCAACAAGAAGACTGAAAAGCCTGTATTGTCATTTGAATCAGTCAGAGGTATTTTCTTCATGGAACAGGAAAAGAAACATGTGCTGGACATACATACCAGAACATGAGTGTTCCTGAAGAAATGTTCACCAATTATGGTATGACCTTTTGTGTTGGATCCAATAAATTTATGAATAGGGCTGAATGATGCAATTGCCTAAAGCAGAATTTAAGACCAAGGAAGTCTTAACCTATGCCTGTAAGCCTTTTTCTAGGATGTTTTAGGCCTGCCTAGACCTTTCTAAGCAGACACTGTTAGAGTACTGACTGCTAATATTCTGATCTCACCTCATTAGGGCTTACTGCTTGCAGCGATTATTTTGTTTGAAAAACATACTTTAGCTAGCTACATTGAAGTGTAGTAATGAAGAAAGCTGTTCACCATGTATTTCTGTTTGTTTGGCTTTGAATCACACTGGAGGCATTTGTATGTGTGCATCAAATTTAGAGTTAGTATCCCTGGATTTTTAACTGTAGTTTAAAAATTCTGTAGGTTTTGTCCAAGATAGGCAAAAATGAGTACTGACTTACTACAGTGTCTTTGAAGCAGAGAAGGATCCCTCTCATATGCAGCCTCTGTGCTGTTTTGCTTTAGTTACAGTCTGGGTTGACTGGAATTTGGGGAAAGGAGGACTAGCTTTCTAAATGAATGAAGCCTTAGAAATTAATTTCACCTCTCATGGTGAAATACGGGAGTGTTGAAAGCTAAAGATTAAAGCAGGCTTCTGAATATTGTTTTTTTAAAGAAAAAAGATAATTACAGGAAGGAAAATAATACGATATTTAAATTATTCTGACTGTTGTCACATGTAGAATAACAGAAATGGTTTTGCTAAAATAAGAGATTACTTAGTCTTGCTTTTGGGTAAAATAAAACTGTTACAGCAATTTCAGAGCATTTTTTACTAGTTCAGGGCAGGAGAGGAAATTGTAAGTGGTAAGTTACATGCAGATAAAACTGTCTTCTAAATTAAATCCAATTAAAACATAGCACTGACAGTATTTTGAGTAGTGGTCAGAACATGCAAAGCATCCTGGTAAATGGATTTAAGGAATGTGCGAACCTTCTTTGCTGTAGTGGGCGAAGTTGTTTGCTGGTGTGAAGCATAATTAATCCAGGTTTTGAGCTCCTCACCTGTGAGTGGATCTCAGTGGAAAGCACCTACAGAATTGTTCAAAGTGATTCTGTTACCCAGCTGTGTGTTCTGATGGCTGGCAGCATTTGTTATTGTATGGAAGTCAGACCTTTTAACTGTTGATGGATAGTTCCTTGTGTATTGTTCATTTAGCAGCATGGGTTCACCATGAACTAAATTGACACAGCAGAACATATGACCCATTGTTACATTGTATTACTGTGGTGTTGATGTACTATGATTCATTTTAAAAGACTTTCAAATAATGACTTAATTAATCAGACTGGATTTGTCTTTGACCCATTAGGAATTTTGAATTAACAATTATTAATCTGTTATTCCCTCAGTACTAACAAAGTCATTGTATGTGAAACTATTTTATAAGTAGGCATTAACAGTACACAGTGACTGTGACATGCCTTTTTAAAAGATATAAAATATCTTACCTCTGTGGCAAAGGCACAGGACTTGTTGACCTTACATACAAAGCAATCACAATTGAAATGGTCTCCATTCAGTTTTCTTAACAATAGCTGTTTGCAAAATGAGCTACCCTGTCTGATGTCATGAGGTGGAGAATTGTTTTGGTATGTTGATTGCCTGTTCATTGTGTCTCCCAGAGGATGTTGGAGGTCATTACTTACCTAATGTTACTTTACCAGGTCAGAAACATTGACAGTTATCTCAGCAGCATAGAGATAACCTAGGACTAAAACATACAACAGCCAGCAGATCCCAAATAACAGTGGGATTTGACTAATAAGCAAGCACTGCACATATGGGCAGAGAATTAACTGGCTCTGGTTTTTGTTTGAAAGTCTCCCAGGTATTGACTTGCAGATGGGTAGATGGATGCTGTGGTGGATGAAGGTCATGTATAGGACTGTGTTTCTAACCTGTCTTGCTTTTCTGGAACACTGTACCTTAAAGCCATAATAGCACTAGCTGTTTCTACAGTCATTTAGGGTTTGGATTTCCTTTCTCTGTTTCCAGTCTTGAGTTTTTAGACTTCTAGATAAACCCATGGGATTTAGTATCCAGGCATTATATATATATATGGCTTTAACAGTTCTGTTATTTTAAAAGCTCATTTGGAAATACTGCTTGCAAATTGATTTTCCTAATAACAGGATCTGATGCTCTTCCGGAGTAAGACTTTTGACTTCTTCAGGTTTTGCCTGCAAGGAAGTGATCTGTGTTGATTCTAGTCAGGTAGTTTGCACCATTGTGTTTCCTCAAAACCACTGCAATAGCTATAAAATCGCGGCATTCTCCCACCATGATGTTTTGCTTGTATGTGAAGTTTGCACATATGTTCTAACTGATGGACAGTTAGTCATGTCCTTGATTTCTGTTAAATATGTGTATATATCCATATATAACTTTAAAATTGCTATCAGAGGAAAGGAGTTTGTTTACAAACTTCCATATTCTGGTTTGTCATATTATTTCCTGTCAGAAGCTATTTACATCTCACCGCGTTAAGCCTAATTCCTGTCTTTTTGCCAGAGTTTAAGGTAGATAAGAGGGAAAAAAGAAAAGCTAAGTCTGTGACACACTCGAAGTTACAGCTGGTTTGTTGTTTTTTTTTTTTCTAGTGCAGTAGCTAAAGTTTGTGACCGTGTTTTATCTGCACAGTGTTACTTTTTTTATTTTTTTAATAATTTTTTAGCTTATCTTTTGTAAATAAGATGTGGTAGCAGAAAAAGAAATCCAGTTAGCTGTTAAATTAAACAAACTGTTGCCCTCAGTAATTTGGTGTTTGCAGCTAATGCAGGGCAAGAATAGATTGTGTGGGTCCCCAAATAAAGATGCACATGTGTGGTTTCAAATTCTCTCTGCTTCTCCCCCCTTCACCTCCCCAAGCCATCTTAAAATTCTTGAGCCCCTCAGAAGTGCTGAAGGGTAATGAAGAAGCTGGGGTCTTGAGGAGGAGGAGGAGGGCATGTCAGAAGAACATAGTTCAGCCATGATAAACGGGCAAAAAGGAATTGGGAGGTACTGGCCATCGAGACTGGAATCCTTGTCTCTTGGCGCCATAAGAAGAGCAGCTGCAAAGATGTGATTTAAGTACAGCTCAAAAAGCATCCTGCATCAGCTTCTAGTCAAAAAAAATGTGGTGGGGTTGGTGTTCTCTGCATTCTCTATTTAATGGCTCTGTGATTATGCTTTCTTGGGTAGACTCAATGGGATCTGTTAAGGCCATCGCTATTATAAATGCAATGCTAATTCAAAAATTTGAGCAGAAATCGAGACCACTTGACAGTCTGTTAAGGACTCTGTTGTACTGGCATTTTCACATGTACTTAGCAATTTTCAAACATTAAATGTTGTTTCTAACTGGGTACATAAGAGCTTTGTTTATCTGTTGATTAATGTTATAAAATGCCACAACAAATATATTTCTTCTAACGTATTGTTTCAGTGTGTTCCCTGTTTAAGGAAAGACTGAGTTTTAGCTGTATGTCAGTGCTACTTTAAACTGACTCCTTTTAGCTTTTGGTGTTTTGGTTTGGTTTTCCTAGGGGGTCATCTTTATTCCTTTTTCAGATATGTGTCTCCTCTAGTTGTAGGTGCTGAGGGGCAGAGGTGGCAAGAGCAGCTCTCAGCAGCTGTCTTCTTTTTGCACTCGTGCTGGTCAGCAGGAGGTTGGGTGCTTTAATATGAAGAAGTAACAGACCCTTAAGTTGCAACCTGTACGCAATGTGCAGTTGCTTCGTCTCATCACAGTCGGTGGTCGTGTTTCCATGCTGAGGTCTAACAGAACAAAAGGGGAAAAAAAATCAGTGTGTTTTGTTTGCTTGTTTTGGAGCTAAGAAAAAACAAGTAATGAAAAAATCACAATAAAGCTCAGGTGGAAATGCTGCAGAGACTTTGTGTAAGGGCTGACTCACACTGATCATGATTTTTCTATCTTTCAAATGTTTTGTGTGATGTAAAAGAACCTTGTTTCTTTCAAGCTAATATGCAGTGTTTTTCTGAAGCTTCAATTCTCAAATAAATTTTAGAATTCTCGAAGAGCTAAATATGAGTTACGAAAATCCAGTAACTAAAAACCAAATACAAATGAAATGCTAGTAAAATAAGATTGAGAGTTTATTTTCTCAGAAACTGTGAGAGAAGACATTCTGAAATCAGTTTCTAACATGCCTGGATATGTTTGGATTAGTATGTCTGAATGGTTTTTAGCATTTAAGTTTTTTCTTCTTTCTTTGACTTGATTTTCTTTTTCTTTTTTTCTTTTTTTCTTTTTTCTTCCCGCTTTATGATTATTTCTCTGTGTATCCCCCCAACAGGAAACAGCCCTCAAGATAGCCCTAGGAATTTCTCTCCCAGTGCCTCAGCCCACTTTTCTTTTGCACGAAGGTAAGAGATGGTTTGTAGTATGCAGCATGTATTTTGCATGGAGGAAATGGTATTGGACACAGACATTAAAAGATGATTGCAAATACATCTGTCAAGTCTATCACTTAGGATGACAAGTGTTCTCTCACTTACATAAACTTTACTCAACCTCAGCTGCAATGAAGTTGTAGTGGATGATTGATACAATGCAATGGTACCTTTTTGAATAAAACACCAAAAAAATAAAAATAATGATGTAATTGTAGTGGATCCAGTTTAGACACTATCTCCTCATACTGGGAAGATTCTAAGCTCCCCCCCCCGATTTTTTTATTTTTTTTTTTCTTAACAGTGTAACTGCATTACATATAAGAGCACTTTTATAGAGATCCCCAGTTCAGGGTCTAATTTTACTGGCAGCAGCTGGTATGCTCACCATACCTTTAGTACCTGACCTTGACCTGTTCCACAATCTGTACTACAGGCAGCTCTTCATAAGAGTGTTGTGAGGGATTAATTGATGCTAGTAGAATTTTTGAAGATCTAAAGTGAATTTGAAGTGATCTATGAAGTAAATTATTATTAAATGAACCGTAACTGGAGTTGATAGCATGCCATTGAGGACTGCCTGTTCGTGCCATTGTGGTTCTCTATCATGTAACGCCTTGTCAGCCTACCTCAGATTATATCTTCGTTAACTAAGCCTGGGAGGTTAGGGAGTTTGAATTTTGACCCAAGAGTATATGTGGAAAAAATGAAATTAAAATGCTTTGGCTTTCTTTGTCATTAGTGCCAGGCATGTAACTGTTGCGTTTTCAGTGGGAGTGGTCTGTTCAATAAAAGTATCATACACAAGCTCTCACAAGGAAGTGCAGGGAGATGGTTTAACTCCTTTTAAATGCTGCAAAGGAGAGAAAACTTTACTTGTGTAATCCTTTTATCTGAATCTAATTCATCTGTGACAGTAGATCTTGTCAATCTTTATAATAGCATGTGATGTAACTTCTTTAATCAACACCTTAGAATATTTCTTTTGAATCTACTTCTTTCTGATAACATCTTTAGAAAAAGGCAAGCTATCTCTTCATAGATTACATTTGTTTGTGAGCACATTTTTAGAAAGATTTATTAAATACAGAAATAGCTTATAATGGAAAAAACAGATGTGAAAGACCAAACATTACTTAGAAGTACAGTAGGCAGGAAATAGTCTTCCTTTCCCACAAGTAATCAACAAAAAGTTTAAATCATTATGTTTTTGCAAAGCTTAAAATTCAGGAGGAAGAAGTTAATTTCTTTACCAGTGTATCTTTTGGATTTTGACCACTTTTAGAGCCTGTAATGCTTGATGACATTTAGTTTTAAAATGGCATTAATGTAAAAATTCCTCATGAATTTGGTATGTGTGTTGTGGCTGTCTTCATATAACCTGTCATAGGATTCATCTTAGTAATAAAATGACGTGTGGGTAGTCAGAGCAGTTTTCAGACTTCTGACTTTATGCCTTTTCTGTTATATTTTGTAGATTTAATGACAGTGCAGGTGAAGGGAAGAACAGTGTGTGTGTGTGTGTGTGTGTGATAGAGCAGGTTGAAGAAACATGGTGTCACATGTGTATGGATATTCCTTTTCCATCCACTGCCCCCCACTCAGTGAGGATACCAAAAACCTGGGAAGGTGTGAGGAAAGGAGGGAAAGGCAAAGGAAATGGCTTGTAAGCCTCATGTGGGAAAGAAGGGCTTCCCAGAACAGTTGTTTCTCATCTGCTGTTGGTTGCACCAGGCAGCAGAGGCAGGAAACAGAGGCACAGCAGGTAGGTGGCCCTCTGCCAGTGGCTGGAGACAGCCTTCCCCAGGCCCCTCGACAGCAAGCAGGAGTGTCAGCTTCCTGTGTCCACATCTGGCAAGGTGATCAATACCTAGGAATAGCCTGTGCCTCTGGAGCCACCACTTAGGCCTCTTCTGCTGGTGTGTATACATCCAGCATCTGCAAGTCCATGGGTAGGTCATGGATCATGCTTTCTAGAGCTGCTGCAAAGTGGGTAGGACCACATGGTAGGGCAGGGATAAGTAGTATATGAGGGGGAAAATGCTGCAGGGGCTTGCTACTACCCTTTTTTCCTTCTTCCCTTATGGATGCCTCTTATTCTCCCATCTTTGCTTCCCAGGTAACTTACCATGTTATCCCCTCCCTATCCTTGATGGTCCTTCTGTGTGAGAATGGCTGTGTGATGCAGGAACGTGTTCAATATGAGTTACTCTGGAAGGAAGTACTTTATATCACAGCTGCAGAATATATGGGTCTCACGTGTGTTTAAATACCTTCCAAGTTCTTGTTCTTTCAACTCTGAATGCATTTAGCCTGCACAACTGAGTCAAAATGAAAACTCCTTTTGGACTTGTTCATTCATCTGGAGCTAGCTCATGCATACCTGTGGGAAGGAGAGAAGGGCGGAGACTCAATGAATTAAAAACAAACTTACGGAGGAGGAAGTTTTTTTCTGTAGTTCAGTCCTTGATACAGCCAGCACTCCCTCTAGCACATGTTCTTATATTTTAACTAATTATATACTGTCAGGGTTTTTTTCCTCACTCTGTATGTATTCAAAGCTCCAGAGACTTGAGCTGTAGCTTGTGGATGGATATATGGGAGTAGGAAATAAAGTATTAAAATGGAGAAAACCAAGGTTTTTTTTTTTTTAGGCAGTTAGCTTTGACAGGTAAGTGAGCTGCATCAAGAGGTTTAAGATTTCTTACTTGGCGTGACTTCAGTTTCTCCTTTATGGAATTAAACTTTTTGTGTAAATCAGACTTGAGAGATGATCTTTGTACTGACTGTAAAACACAGCTTTAATTCTCCTGTTTGCCTTTCCCCCACTATCACGCTGTTTGTTAATAAGAACTTGTCCTATCTTGTTATTTATGTATTATTTTGCCTTTTTTTTTTTTTTAACATACTTGATACAATTGTACTCCAGTCACGGGCACCGAAGTGACAGGTAAATGGTAAATGTTACCCCTTCAAAAACCTAAACACGATTCCCATGGTTATTTGATTTGTCACCCTGAATGTTCAAGTTCCGTGTTGTTCACCTTGAGTGGTGAAGAACAGAAATTGAATTTGGTCATGATTTCTTTATTTTCTTCTTTTTCTTTTTTTCTTTTTTTGTTTTTTTTTTTTTGGTTCTGAGTGAGCTTAATTTTTGCTGCAAAATTTTTTTCCTGATTTACGTACCTAACTTCTAACAAGTTTGCTTTTACCTCATTATTCTTTGCAGTTATTTGACATTACCCTACTAGCTTGATGGTATCCTGTACTGATGTCACTTAAGCACTGCCCTGTGTTTCAAGCAGGCTGTGGTGGTTATTCTGTGTTTGAGTGTTGTGGTTTGCTTTTGTTCACAAGTTTTTAATTTGCTTCTCATTAATTTTCATTTGATGGACCTGATTGTTGCGAACACTCTTTGTGGTCCATTTGTGTGTTTAGTGAGACACTGATTCTGTGGAGCTGTTCTCTGTGTCCATTTCTGTGTGTTCAGTGAGATGCAGATTCTGTGGAGCTGTTCATCCACTTTCTGGTTGTTTCATCTCATAGATCTTTAACTAAAAAAAAAGTGTAAGCCCAAGTCATGCTTGCTGAGTGTTTATTGTGGTGCTCTGTGAAAGTTTAATTTTTTAAAAAACCCTGTTTCTATGATGTCTTTGGAATGTTTTACACAGTAATACTTCCATAGATGTTTCTTGTGTTAGGATACTTCAGCGTTCATTTGACTAACCTTGTTTTCACAACAGGACTGATGGACGCCGCTGGTCTTTGGCTTCACTCCCTTCTTCTGGCTATGGTACAAATACACCGAGCTCAGCTGTTTCTGTAAGTATCCACTTTGTGTGCTGATACATTTCTAATACATGCCATATCATCTCAAATGTAGCTTGCTTCTCTTAGGAGAAGTCAGTGTGGGTTTTGTTGCTGTGGGTGTACTTTCAAGTAGTATGGGATACAAAACTGCTTCACTTCCCTGCAATACAAGAAAAATTTAGGCAATGTGTGATTTTGTTAGAGATTTTCTGTCAGTGAGTAGTGTTCAACTGTCCCCTCTTGATCTGTGGGGCAGTAGGAAGGGAGACTACTGCCTTATTTTAACCATGTGGTAGTTAGATAACCAAGTTTCAAGTGAGGCTGCCTTGATAAGTCCCTCCCTGGGGAGGGACTCTTCATTAGGGACTGTAGTGATAGGACAAGGGGTAAGGGGTTAAAACTTAAACAGGGGAGTTTAGATTGGGTATAAGGAGGAAATTCTTTACTGTTAGGGTGGTGAGGCACTGGAATAGATTGCCCAGTTGTGAATGGTCCATCCCTGGCAGTGATCAAGGCCAGGTTGGACAAGGCCTTGGGTGACATGGTTTAGTGTGAGGTGTCCCTGACCATGGCAGGGGGGTTGGAACTAGATGATCTTAAGGTCCTTTCCAACCCTAACGATTCTATGATTGGCATTTTGGCAGTTACATTACATCTCCTGTGGTAAAGGGCTTGGTCCCTGTAGATCCAACTGTAACTCTTCAAAAATTGTTTTGTATCTTTAGCTTTGTTTTTTTACCTTTTATGGTAAAAATGGTTTATGTTTTTTACCTTTTATACATTTTACCGGACACCTGTACCTGATTTTTTGTAAATGTTTCTTTTACAGTTTAAGTAAACTTTCTCTTTCCCTAGGTGTGTTGTTTCTTTTGTGAAATAGTTGAGTTCTGTGTCTTACATATTGAGATAAGACCATTTTATGTTATAATCAACCCTTAATTTATTTTTGTCCAGAAAAGCTTCTAGAGAGTTAATTCAATTCCTGCTTCCAGCCAGGTTTAAGGATTTCATGGATCTTAAGAACTGTTCCTCAACCACACTGATTTTTGACCTCTGCTTTCCTTCCTGTGTAGATCTTACTTTTTTCAAACAAATTGCTTGGTTTCACATTAATTCCCTAACCACTTTCCGTAGTGCATTTTTGTACACTTCGCATTGGAACTAAACTTAATATGCTGTGCTCTTCACTTAGAATATATTGATGTAAGGAAGTTTATGTGAGATAAGAAGTAATTGCTGTAGCAACCCCATCATTGTTGCAAGAAACATGTTTGTGCTAGAAACGAAATGAAAAGCTGTGTCAGAAACATATCAAGACACAGTTTTAATTTTCAGTCTGTACTCGTGCATTTTCTTCAACATCTTCAATTTTAAAATGGTAATTCTAGTTCATATACTTCATTCTTACTTAAGTTTACTATCTAGTGTATGTGTCCTGGAATGTGGAGCAGTTTTACATTGTTTTTAAATTTCTTATGAAAAAATACAGCACTGTCATTTATGGACTTAGATACCTTAACTTCGTAATAGACAGTTGTTGAGTTCTCCCTTGATATTTTGTGACTAGACCAGATTTTATAAATATTAAAGTAGATGTCTTCCCCAGCATCAAACAAACAGCTTCTGACTTGTTGAAAGAAATCTGTTTTTCCTATAAATAAGTTTGAATTTTGTTGAAGAAACCACCAATAGGGAATTTATACCATGCATTTCTTATGGTTAGTTTGTTGCGAGGTTTTTTCACACCACCACACTCCCCTTTGCCAGGAATCCTCTACTGCTGATGAGCCGTGCAAGAGCACTAGGACAGCCTCTGAATTTTAAACCTAGCCACTATTTCTTTGCTTCTTAGAGGTGTTTTTCACTTTCTTTTGTACGATACACATGGAAAAAAAAGAAAATGAAGGCAGGAAGTGTGCCCACGTAACTGTTTTCATGTACTTTTTCAGAATCAAAAGTACATGGTTCAAAAGTACATGATGAAGCAGCTAGCAGTGTGCAACCTCTTCCTCCACATTCTTAGAAATACTTACAGGTAATGAGGGACAACTTCACACACTATAGCCTAAGTGTACATACAGAACAATTCCTTTTCAGTGCTGGGTAAGTAAGGTTCATGTTAATCCATAGATATATCAACTGGAGATCAGAAACAGTTTTTGCACATCACAGTACAGCACAACTTTAATCTTTAAAAGCAACTGAAAGTCAAAGCAATGGCAGAAGGGTCTGAGGTAATCATGATTATGCTCAGTGGTTCACCATTTATTGTTAGCCTGTGGGGTTTAGTGTTTTTATAATATTGGAAGTGGAGAGATTGATGGAATTCCCAATTTAGTGGAAGTGCATGGGTTTGGAAGTCGTGTGCAAGTACCACTTATACCAGTTTTCACAACAATGTTGTAGTCAAATGAAAATACCTCCTGCTAAGATTATTCATTTGAAAAGAAACTCTTGGTTGTGTTCCATTAAAGTTGGATCACATCTTACCAGTTATGAGATGCATTTAGGATGATTTTGTGTCTTCTAGGAGAGCAAGCCTATAAAAATTATAAAATGAGAAAATAGTTGCATATTTTTACCAGTAGATTATATTCTTGGAAGCTTCTTTGAATAGGGAAGTAGGGTTAGGAGATGAGGAAAGAGACTTTGGGGTTGCATTATCTGGTGTTGGCTGCAAATTTGCCTTTATGTGTTAGAAGAACAATTTGGATTGCCATGATGCATTCTGGTTGTGCAAATTAAAAGCATGTTAAATCTTAAGTAATTTTTGTAGCAGCTGTTACAGAATGCCAGGAGACCTAATTTTGTAAAGAATTTTGCTTATGAGGGTTTGGATTTGTACAGAGATCAGAATTGTAGACCTTCAAGAAAACACATCCTGTGCCTGTGATGGTGCTGAAACAACTGAGAGTTGTTTGTGAACAGAAGATTCTCACTTTAATCCTGTTGGATCTAGACTCTGTGACACTTTTTATGAGGAAAAGCGTGATACAAGTTATTGTCGTCCTGGTGTTCCCAGAACCCCTGAAGCTGGAGAGGCAGAGATTGACTTTATAGAAATAGCCATCCGTAATGGCCTGCATTGGGAAATTTCCATGGTCTAGAGTATCTTTCATCTTATGGAGCATGGCTGTAGGAAATACACCATGAGGTTAACTGCAACTGGTTGCCGTAGTGTGAGATAAGAATTTATCTATGCTGTGTGAATTAGGCATGTAATGTAATGTGCTAGGGCTGAATTTCTGTGACATGACAAGTTACTGCTTGTCATGTGAACTGTGTTAGATTCTTGGTGTGTGTATGTGTGTGGTTCTTAGCCTGCAGCAAAGCAAGGTAACACAAGTCTTGCTAACTTCGTCTTGTTCTGATGTGATGCAGCCATCCCACAAAGACCAGTCCTGTGTGAGTTAACCTTTCCCAGCAGTAGGTTCTCTTTTTTTGCCTTTAAGAGATGACTTTGTGAGAGGTAGTGTGGCAAGTATGCTCTTCTAGAGTTTGTAGGAGTCAGGATATGTTCAGCCTTTACCTCACAAGTTGCCGTGAAATTAAGAGGACTGTTTAGCTTCTGTGCTTACCTGCCTTGATATTACCTGCTGACCTTAGCAATGTAGGGCAATGTCTGTACAGTACAAAAGTATTGATTTCCATCATGAGAGTTGATATAGCAAAGAAGCTCTTACTGAGTTGGCCTCCAAGAAAAGGCGGGGGCTTTGGTGTCCTGTATGAGAAGACAGGTAAGAACAATAATGTGTACATGAAAATTAACATAAAAGAGAAACTACTGTTCTTTAAAAAAGCTAGCTGGAGACTGAAGAGCTCCAGAAAGACATGCAAGTTTTTGACTTCTCCTCTGCAGGTAAAATGAAGGGAATGGCTGCATGCTACCAGTCAGCTTTGTGCAGTCGTACAAGGATATTTGTGGATGAGCTATCTTGGAAACTAGTTTGGGAACTGGAAACAGTAGAGCATTTCTCTGTCTATACCAGTCATTAACTACACTATAGTTAATGCATTGAACTATGTACATGTTTGTTAAAAGGACATCAAATCCAGTATCAGTGAAGTAGTTTCAAAGTTTTGCCTCCAAACACTTTGAGTGGCTCAGGTAGCCAGCTGCGCTGTAGAAAAGACAGTAAAATATGATCATCACATGCACGGCATTATATAGTGTTTTACACGTGTAGTTTCACAAGGTTAGTTAATTGTAGTAGAACTTCAAATTTCATACTTGTCTGTATATTCTATTTTTATACTAAGTGGATGGTTTGGGTGTACATCCTTTCACTTTTGTGAGTCATAGAACTGTCTTCATAAATGCATTAATAATGTTACTGATAAATTTATTAAGTTCTTTCACTTCACTTTGAATGCATAGGGTGTTACAAGAAAATAGCATATGAATTTTGTCAGCAGCAACTGAAATTACATTTAGTTTTATTTTTTAAAGCATCAATAATGTCTTAAATATGGATAACGAAGTGCTTTAAGTATGTAACTGACAGTTTGTGTTGTGTCAGTAAGTTATATTCTACAGTTATCATGCTTATTCTGTCCTATTCAAATAATTAATTTTCAGCAGACCCATTTTACCTATTATGTATTCGCATGTGTACTGGCATTAGATGTCATATAAACTTAGAGGAAATGAAGGTTTTTGAAATGCAGTGGCTCTTTCTTTTGGGACTGAAGTAGTTTGTTTATACTTACTCTATATTTAGCTGTTCAAGTTGAGACTAATTATTTATTTTCTTCTTTAAATTGGTAGTCAGGCATAGGAAACAGTCCCTGTAATTTTTAAATTGAAATTCATAAGCACTGAACATGGTCTTAAAAATGCTTTTTTTCTCCAATAGAAGCTTATGTTCTGTTCTGTTCTGCTCTTCTAGTCATCCTGCTCATCTCAAGAGAAGCTACACCAGTTACCATACCAACCGACACCTGATGAACTACATTTTCTGTCTAAACATTTCTGTACCACTGAGACCGTTGGCAGTGATAACAGGTGCAGGACCACTGCAATGCGCCCACGGTCCCGAAGTCTCAGGTGGGTTTGTCTACCTGGAAATAAGGGTTGGCTCTAAATTAATGTATTCTGGAGCATCATAGTTTTTCACATTGGGGATGTTCACTGTTTTTTAAATTGCTAAAGTATAATAGAGGAAGTATGCATCCGAGGCTGAATTATGAGTAGTTCTCTGAGATTCTTGCTTCTGGATTTAATCATGGCTTTACTTCAGTGGTTGTAAACCACTTAATGTTGTAAATTAGGTCTTAATAGAAGGCAGCTAACCCTCGTGAACTCTTAATGAGCTTGTCATTACTGATCTTACAGTAGCACTAGTTCTCTTCCAGAGTTCAAACTGTTCACAGAATAAAGTCTTTCTTTGCAAAACAAGTTCAAAATGTATTATACCCTGGAACGATGTAGAAAGAAACGTCATAAAGAACACCTACCCTCTCCTGAGTGGTTTTGCCTGTGGATGTCCATAACAGAGTGTCCCTGTCAGTTAAAGGACATGGTGACATCTTGATATGGTGATATCTTCAGCTTTCGTTTTTGTCTTTTTAGAAAGCCAAAAGCCAGTTACAGAATCATAGACTTCCCTTCATTTGGTTTGGAAGGGATGTGAAAGATCATCTCGTTCCAGCCCCCTTGCCATGGGCAGGGACACCTTCCACTAGACCAGGTTGATCAAAGCCCTGTTGAGCCTGGCCTTGAACACTTCCAGGGATGGGGCATTCAGAACTCCTCCAGTCAACCTGTTCCAGTGCCTCACCACCCTCACAGTAAAGAATTTCTTCTTAATGCCTAAATTAAATCTACCCTCTTTCAGCTTAAAGCCATTCCCCCTTGTCCTGAGTGGGGGAATTTAAAAAGCCCAACTCTTTAAGCCTGTCTTCATAGGAGAGTTTCTCCAGCCCTCTGAGCATCTTTGTGGCCTCCTCACTTGCTCCAGCAGCTCCACATCCTTCTTATGCTGGGGGCTCCAGAGCTAAACACAGCTGGTGGCGTCTCATGAGAGTGGAGTAGAGGGAGAGAATCAGCTCCCTCAGCCTACTGGTCATGCTCCTTTTGGTGCAGTCCAGCGCGTGGTTGGCTTTCTGGGCTGCAAGCGCACACTGGTAGGTCATGTTGAGGTTCTTATTGAACAGCACTCCCAAGTCCTTCTCCTCAGGGCTGATCTCAGTCTAGTCTCTGCCCAACCTGTAGCTGTGCCTGGGATTGCCCAGTCCCAGGTATAGCACCTTGCTCTTGGCCTTCCTGACGCTGGCATTGGCAACCTCTCAGGTGTGTCTAGGCCCCTCTGGATGGCATCCCTTCCTTCCCAACATATCAACTGAACCACACAGCTTGGTGTTATCAGCAGACTTGCCGATGGTGCACTCAGTACCAATGCCCGTGTCACCGACAAAGATGTTGAACAGTAGTGCCAGTCCCAATACTGACCCCTGAGGGGAACCACTTGTCACCGGTCTCCAGCTGGACATCGAGCTGCTGACCACAACTCTTTGCATGCAGCCATTCAGCCAGTTCTTTATACAACACATGGTCCATCTGTCAAATCCATGTCTCTCCAGTTTAGAGACAGGGATGTCATACAGGGCAGCATCAAATGCCTTGCACAAGTCCAGGTAGATGACATCTGTTGCTCTTCCCTTATTCACCAACACTGTAACCCTGGCCCCCAGATTTGTCAGGCATGAATTGCTCTTAGTGAAGCCGTGTTGGCTGCCACCAATCACCTCCCTATTTTCCATGTGCAGTAGTACAGTTTCCAGGAGGATCAAGTCCATGATCTTGCCAGGCACCCAAGTGAGACTGACTAGCCTGTCGTTCCCTGGGTCTTCCTTTTTTCCTTTTTATAAGTGGGGATTATGTTTCCCCTTTTCCAGTCAGTGGGAATTTCACTGGACTGCCACAACTTCTCAGAGATGATGGACTGTGACTGAGCCACTTCACCGCCAGTTCCCTCAGGACCCCTGGATACCTGTTTTCAGTTCCCATGGCCTTGTGCACCTTCAGGTTCCTTAGATGTTCTCAGGCTTGAGAACATCTACAACAGGCAGTTCTTCATTCTCCCAGTTCCCATCTTCTCCTTCTGCTGGAAGCATGACTGGAGTTCTTGCAAATGAAGCCTGGGGCAAAAAAGTCGTTGAATACCTCAGCCTTCTCCATATTCTGGGTGACCAGGTTTCCCATTCCCTTCCAGAGGAGGGCCCACATTTTCCCTCATCTTCTTTTTATCACTGGCTTACCTATGGGAGCTTTTCTTGTTGCCCTCAACATTCCTGACCAGATGACTTTGTCAGGGCCTTAGCTTTCCTAACCTGATCCCTGGCTGCTTGGGCAATTTATATATATACCTCTAAGACTATCTGCTTACACACCCTCTTCAGGCTTTCTTTCTGTGTTTGAATTTGTCCAGGAGCTCTTTTTCATCCACACAGGCCTCCTGCTGTTTTTGCCTTATTTCCTCTTTTGTTGGGATGCATCACCACTGAGCTTGCAGGAGGTGATCCTTGAGTACTAACCAGCTTGCTTGGCCCCCTCTTTCCTCCAGGGCTTCATCCCATGGTACCCCACCAAGCAGGTTCCTAAAGAGGCCAAAGTCCACTCTCCTGAGGTCCAGGGTAGTGAGTTTGCTGTACACCCTCCTCGCTGCTCTCAGGATCTTGAACCCCACTATTTCATGGTCACTGCAGCCAAGGCTTCCCTCCAGCTTCACATTCCCCACCATGTTGGTGAGAACAAGGTCCAGCACAGCCTCCTTCCTCATAGCTTCCTCTGTCACTTAGAGAAGGAAATTATCATCAACACATTCCAGGAACTGCCTGGATTGCTTATGCCCTGCTATGTTGTCCCTCCAATAGATGTTGGGGTGGTTGAAGTCCCCTGTGAGAACCAGGGTTTGTGAATGTGAGGCTGCACCTATCTGTCTATAGAGGGACTCATTCACTCAGTCTTCCTGGTTAGGCAGCCTGTAGCGGGCTGCACTGTAAAGTTCCCTGTCCCTGCCCTCCCTTTAATCCTGACCCATAAGCTCTTGGTCAGCTTCTCATCCATTTCCAATTGGAGCTCTGCACACTCCAGCTGGTCATTAACATAGAAGATGGCACCCTTTTGTCATATCCTCAACCTGTCCTTCCTAAAGAGCCTGTATCCTTCCATTCCAGAACTCCACAGGAACCATCGCACTGTGTCTCCATGATGCTAATAAGCCCTGCAGGCGTGTGAACATTTCCAGCTCCCCTTGTTAGTCCCCATGCTGCATGCATTGGCATAGAGGCATTTAAGTTGGGCTGTCTATGAAGATGACATATTGTCTGGAGTGGCAAGAATTCTTTTACGCTGCTCTTCAGGTGCACTCCTGCTGACATGCTATCGCTTTCCAGGCTCTGGGCATCTCTTTGCTGGCACTGACATCAAACTGGTAGGAGGCGCCTAGATTGAGAGTCCCCTGCCCTGGCCACTTGGGTTTGTTTGCTCATGCAAGAAACCCCTATGTATACATTATGATAAAGTCACTCATAGAGGACAGAATCCCCTTTGTGGGTTTTCTTACCTGTTGCTCGTCTTTTAGGCCAGACTGAATGGGCTAGTGTCACCAATCGGAAAATCAGATAGAAATTTTTCAAAGGCATTTATAATGGACAGAGAGGGTCGTGATTGCAGAAAGCAGTTTCGTAGGTTAGCTAAGGCCATGGGTACCTTATATGGACTGTTTTCCTGCAAGTCTCATGCTTTTCTTAGAGGCACAGTGCCCCAGCATGGATGGAACTCATTCATATGTTTGGCATTAATTGTAGGAAGTTGCTGCCTTTATCTGCTAGTCAGATTGAAAATTGGTAGTTTTGATTTAAAAAAAAAAAACAACAAAGAAACAACAGTAAAACCCCCAAACAAACAAAACAACAAGCTCATTCTTAACATTTTCACTTGCAGCTAACAGTTCTTGTTCAGTTATTGCTATTTTGATTGCATGTAACCTTCAAAGAGGCAGGTATAGCCATAATTAACAGTTAAATATCTCTGTTGCCCTTCTGAGAAAGAGGTGATTCATCGATTCATAGAATAGTTAGGGTTGGAAAGGACCTTAAGATCATCGAGTTCCAACCCCCCTGCCATGGGCAGGGACACCTCACAATAAACCATGTTGCCCAAGACTCCATCCAACCTGGCCTTGATCACTGCCAGGGATGGAGCATTCACAACTTCCTTGGGGAACCCATTACAGCGCCTCACCACACTCACAGTAAAGAATGTTCACAAGTGTTGCAAAACTGCCTATATCCTGAAGGGTAGTTACAAACGAAGAGCATAGTTAGCAGTTAGATGTCAAGCATTAAATATAACATTAAATAACCTTTAAGGCCTAATCAGAAATAGCAGAAATGAACCAAATGTACCATATCAGAGAATGCACTTTTCCTGTGAAGCCTATGTTGACTTTTTGTTGCAAATAAACTGTACAAAAATATAGTAACTAATTTTAGCTCATGCTGAGAGAAGTTTAAAGGACGAATTTGCTTTGCTTGCAGCCCTGGACGTGCTCCTGCCTGCTGTGACAATGAAATAATTATGATGAACCATGTCTACAAAGAAAGGTTCCCAAAGGTAATGAATTATATTTAAGATACCTAGTATCTAAATTGATAGGCTACATAGGTTTTAAGTAAGTGGTGGGGGTTTATTTTATGAGAACTAATGATCCAACCCAGTAATGGTTTTCATAAACCATCACTAAACTCTTACTACAAAGATAAAATCACAATAAAGAAAAGCCCTGCTGAGAACTGGACAGTTTGGCAAAGCTGCTGAACTGTTTTTGAAATGAATCATGCTAGTAATATATTCTGCTGATTGGCAACTGATGGTACATTTGATTTATATAGGTGGTGTGTACTTGGGGCAAATATTTACTGAATTAGTAAATGAGAAATGGTTTCTGTTGAGAAGTCTTGTGTAGCATCTGCTGATACACCTGAAAATTCCTTTCTTTAAGTGACATTTATTCTTTTTCCCAAATACTCATTATATAGTTAATTTAACTGTGAAGGTCACTACACAGGTGTGGAAGTCTGAGGTACCCAATGGGGACGTGTTGCTGTCATGTCCAGAGGTCTGAGGGTCTGGGACACAAATGAGTGTGTAGCTCAGAGCACTGTGGTATTGGTTGCTTCTAGGATTTTGATGATCCCTGGAACATAAAATACGGTAAAGCTGATACTGTTACAAAAAGTGTGTAAATTCTTCATAGATACATGAAGAGAGATTTGTCAGAATTTGCAGAGCAATTGAGCAGCAATTTCAATGTGGAATGATCCACCCATTTCACTGTTTTAGATATGAACTAAGAGGTGTGTGAGATTACTTTTTAATAATACAGCTACCTTTAAATTTTTTAAGCATCTGCAGTTTTGTGAGAACCAGAAAGCTGGTTTAGTAAAACAGACATACTTAGCAACCTGCAGTCATATCTGACAGGACCAGTAAGTCTGTGGTGCTTTTAATCAGTGTTCATTCAGACTCTGCCCAGTGAAATATTCACGTGGTATAACCTGCCTGAAAGGAGGCAAGATATTCTGGATATTCTGTAGTGTATGCAGTTTTAGCAGAACAGAGTAGAACCCTGTGAGTTCTCTCCCCCCCCCCCCCCCCTTTTTATTTTGGACTTAAAAGTTTTATAATCATGGGTGTTCTCTTTAGTGATCATCACAAGATTAGCTAATCAGCACAGTTAATCAGCAGTGGCAGATAGAGGGGAGGATTTGCATAGCAGAACAGTAAGGCTATTGCTTTTCTGAACTGGTAATGTGGGGAAATGTCATCTGTCACTTTGCCTTTCTGTTGGCTTACTTTTTTGCTTCAGTCATTCCATGCATTCCAACTTGGTAACTTTGCATGCATTCCAGCATGGTAGCGTCTTAGACAGTAGAGAAACGTCATAGAATGTAAGCGCTGATTTATATAAAGCTGGCTGATTTAATGCATCATATATCTATTTGTCTACAGGCCACAGCTCAGATGGAAGAGAGGCTTCATGACATTATAACAAATCACTCTCCAGAGAATGTCCTTCCCCTGGCAGATGGAGTGCTCAGTTTTACCCACCATCAGATCACAGAACTGGCTCGAGATTGTTTGGATAAGTCTCACCAAGGCCTCATCACATCACGATACTTCCTTGAATTACAGCAGAAATTAGACAAATTGCTTCAGGAGGTATGAGCTGTGAGAATATTGTTGTGTTTGCTTGAAAAATCATTTAAATCTGTTAGCCTAAGAGGAGTTGTCTTGAAGTAATCATGACTGTTCACTCAAATAATTGTTGAAGTAGTATTCATAGCAGTTTTGTTCTATGTTAGGACCACTGCAGAGACCATATGGTACTCTGGTGTACTAGTCTGGAATAGATGGGTTGTAAAGATTACAGAAACAGCAGCATTTTGTCATTCAGTGCAAGTTACAGATTGCTTACAGAAGTGTGTACATAAGCCCGAAATGAGAAGGCTTGCTATTCCATTTACAGTGGATAAATGAGGAAACATACACTTTCCACTTTATCAACACTACTAATTGGCTGCTGTGTCGAGAAAGCAACCTTTAGCTTTCCCTTTGCTAGAGCTTATTTAATGATTTAAATATTTATAATAATCCTTTCATAATTAAATTGCTTATTAACAGACATAATGTAATTTCTGAAGTATAGAAACTTCCATAATTGACTAAATGAATGAGGAACTTAAAATGACAATAAATGCTCTATGAATGCAATTTATGAATGTGTAATTTTAAAACCAGTGAGTACATCATGTAATGTACTAGTTTGTGTGGGATTTGATAGCACATTTTGAGACAAAGTTAATGTCGTAGACCAGCAGATTTGATACTGACTTGAAATTTTCTGACTGAGGTTCTAAGATAGCATGCCTACCTTAATTTCTGTATTGTCTTTTGAGGTTGTTTGTTTGTTTGTTTGTTTTTTGAATGCAGGAGCAATTGATAAGGGCTTTGATTTTTTTTTTTAATTATGATTTTTAATTTCCCCCCTCTGTGCAGCTTTTTTGTAAACTTCTATTCACTAAATAGGTTTTCTGTAACTATTCTATTCTGAACTTTTCTTCTTCATAAAACAATGCAAAACTTAGGATATCTGTGATTTATTTCTGGATTATTAAAACCCTGGTTTTTAAACAGAAAATAAATACAGCTTGCTTACTAGTCAAAAGGAAGTGTGAACTAGCAGCCTTCTTGTGAAATACTGCTGAGTTTTATGATGCCAAAGTGCAGGCAGAGTTGGCCAGTTGGCTGGAGATACCTGACTGTAAATTATGTTACACTGGTGATTGTGTCAAAATACAAGCAAAGAAGTCTAAGTTAAGATTCACAGAACCACTGTTAATCACTGTTAAGAATATATCCTTTAAAATGGCTTCAGTCAGTGGACTCGGGAGAACATGTTAATATCCCCCCTCCAAACCCACTAAAAAAACCTACTGTAGCAAGTTATTCTGCAGTCTGCATATAGAATCATAGAATCACAGAATTGTTAGGGTTGGAAAGGACCTTAAGATCATCTAGTTCCAACCCCTCTGCCATGGGCAGGGACACCATATCACCCAAGGCCTCGTCCAACCTGGTCTTGAACGCTGCCAGGGATGGAGCATTCACAACCTCCCTGGGCAACCTATTCCAGTGCCTCACCACCCTAACAGGAAAGAATTTTCTCCTTATATCCAACCTAAACTTCCCCTATATATAAATTAATGCATTATAAAAAAAACCCAAAACAACAAACAAAAAAAAACCCACCAAAAACAAACCAGAAAACACCAGAAGACTCATTTTATCGTGATCTATGATGCTAATTCTTTATCATGTAAAACTTTCCTGTTCTGCAAAACATAATACCTTAAAATAGTCAGATTTAACTTTTCAGTCAACTACTTAATACCTGTTGATAGCAAAATCTGCCAGTAAGAAAATGTTCTCTTTGCACAACTTGGTTATGGTCAGTCAGTTGTGCTTTGGGTTCATGCAGTTCATTTGTTGTCAGTTTCCAGCTGTGAGGCTCAGTAGAAAGCTGCACATCCTACTGCTAGTTGGCATGTTGTGGTTAATTTGCATACCGGGGGAAGGTTCCCTTGAGGTTTGGGCAGCTCCATTCCACCAAAATTTTTATAATGCTAAGGTCAAGGTCAGGTGGACCTGAATGCTTTTCTGCTTCATTCCTCCTAAATGTGACCTGAGATGAGTCTCTTGTTCACATGAGCACAAAGGTGGTTTGAGTTTTTCTTGTTATTAAAATAGGCAGGTGGTTTGTTTGCAAAAGAGGGTTTTCTGGACATAGTTGGTAAGTGCAGAACACAAATGCTTCTGTCCAGTTAAAGGTCTTCCAAAACCTATTGCAGAATGCCAGCTGGTATTTGTGCCTTTTTCTTCTTCTCTTACTTCAAACTTCACAGATTAATTCTTCTCAGATATTTGGTGGAGTTTAAAATTGTAGTGCTTGTATTAAGAGCAATATGTATATTGCAATAATATATTGGGGGGTTTTACTTCAGAAAATGAGATACATTGTATGAAAATTAATTACCCTTATTAATCACTTTTTAAATGTTAGTTTCTGAATTCTCTCTGTGGTTTTGAATAAGCAAGAGATGACGAAAAACTACAATTTACTATTCAGAACAAAGAAATGCTTTGGTATTTGAGTGAAGGACTATTAGTGTATTTTAATCAGGAAGAGAATAATAGAGTTTCTTTGCATTCATTAGCATACTAAAATTATATAATTGGTTCTTAGGAACATTTGGAAGAAATCTGAAATGCAGTTCAGGCCATTGTGCAAATGTTAGCAAACCTTATATTTTTTATGTATGTGTTCTATAGTAGTTTTACCCCCTTTGTTGTAATCCTTGTAGAACTCAAATTTTCATTGTCTTCCTTTCTACATGTACCTTTATATGGAGCCTCTCTCCATATATATATATATATATATATATATATATATATATATATATATATACTTACATTTATATGTCCTTGTCATTATAGTATGACATGTGACCACAGGAAATCAGTATCAATCTGGCGTGGACGTTGCTTACGTTAATCAATATTACTTAGGTCAGTTTTCATTTCATCCTAAAATTATGAACAAATTGAGACATAGCTGTACTTGTAGAGACATGTATGTTGTATTGAAATACAGTCCCTTTTGCAAAACTGATGTATAAGTTCTAAAAAAAAAACCAAGGTAAGTATCATATCCGTTGCAGGCGCTTTTATTTTGTTTTTTCCATGTTAGAATTGTACAAATGGGATTATTTCAATTTGAAATTACAGCCTTGCTCAAATCCTTGTTATTTCTGTTGGCATCTTGGAAGTGACATGCTGTTTGTCTTAAGTATGTGCTTCAAACCCTGAAAGGTGTTTGAGATATCATATATTCTTTTCAAGTGTGATATTTTTTTTATAATTATTTTTCTCTTTTAGGCTCAGGAGCGATCAGAGAGTGGAGAAATGGCATTTATTAAACAACTTGTCAGAAAAATTCTGATAGTTATTGCTCGTCCTGCTCGCTTACTGGAATGCCTGGTAATATCATGCTTACTATGTTTTTCACTTGTTAGTGTAGGAAGGTTCCTGACTTACTATTCAAGGCCCTTTACAGCTGTCAAACAGTGGGAGAGGGCTTCATTGTTGGTGGGATCCTTTCTGCTTTTATTTCAGAAACATTGCATGGAGCTGCCAGAGACCTCCTGCAGTTGGTTGTGTTTGGTTCCCTGCTGTTGCAAATACTATGTTATAGAATCCCTTTCCTCAACTGATAAAGCTCCAGATCAAAACCAATTGGGTTTTTCTGTTGTTTTGTTAGACTTTGCTATTCCTTGGGAAGATTGTTCTGGAATCATAATTGCTTTGTGGCTTCCCGTTGTTGTTATTCTTCCTCTTCTTACAAGTTTCATAATTTTGTTTCACTCGATAGCTGCAGAGGTGTAAGCAGCTTGCAGTAAGCTCTGCAGTACCTGATCTGGGGGGAGCAGGCAGAATGATTAGTTTATCTGGATATAAAAATAGTTGGAGTTATGCTGGGTACCAGAAGGAGCAGAAGAGTTAACTGATGTATGCATGAGCATAGTGCTGTTGTCACCAGACTGGCCTAGCTTGTGCAAGGCCATGTGGGTGTGTTTCTGCTCTGCCTGCCCTTGCTGTGGGATCTGGGATGGCTCAGGTGTGGGAAGTTACTCCTACGCACACAAGCAATGTACTTCAGTTGTTCAGTGGAACAAATAGACTCTTGCAGAACACAGTGTACTTAGGAGGGTGGTGCAGACACCCAAATACCATGTAAGAACCAGCCTGGGTCCAACAGGCCTGGCACACAGCCTGAGCTGACTTTGTTGAGCCACTGTGCTTGCCAATACCAGGATCACAGTGTTGATGCTGCATACAGCTATTTGAGGCTGGAGAGGCTTATGCGAGAGCTACTAACTGCTGCTAGACTCAAGTTATGCCTGGAAATGTCAGACTACATTTTCATGGCACTGAATCTGAGCTAGTAAGTCTTTCCAGCCTGAATTTGGCTCTGTGCTGTGTCTCTTCATCTGTGGCACACTTAATCCACAACCTGGCTCATTCAGCTGTGGGCATTTTAAGAGCTGCCTCTCTTTTGTTTTGGAAACACCATGTCTCAGTGTTCCTAGTTGCAGTTTGTTCATGATTTGCAGTTCAGAAGGATCTAAAATAAAGTGCCTGAATCAGCATGTAAGAGATGTTTAAAGGCAGGCTGTAGAGAAGAGGATGCCTTAGCATGTCTTACCTCTGCTATTGAATCCAAACTTGTGTTACTTCTTTGTCCTGAACCCAGAAATCCTCATATCTAGTGTGGTCGTCCCTCCTTCATTTCCAGGGTTTGCATAATCTTTCTGCACCTCTATACCCAATTTCTTATGCAGTGTCTTGTTTTAGTTCTGTTCTGCATCCTCTATCATCACACATTCAAAACTTCCCTTAAATACACCTTGTGGGCTGACAGGCTTCTTCATGATGGTTGTCCTTTCCTTTCATGCTTGTCTGGCTCTCTCCACCTAACCGTCTCCCCCAGCATCATCGTTGTCTTTAGCTTTTTAATTCAGGTTCTCTCCCGGTGACCTGTTTGCCCAATAGTTCAGTGTCCCTAAATGCTAAATTTAATAGCTAGCCAGTCCAAATCTCCATTCACTTAGTCCCCAGTTTCTGCCCCTGAGATTTTATCCTAGGCTACTTCCTTCGAAGCTTATCACACTTCAAGCAGAGCTGTTGTACATCTTTATCCCTCTTTTTGCTGGGCCTGCCGATGCAGTTGGGAGGACAGTATCACAAGGCCAGATGACTGTCTCATAGCTGAGAGTTTCAGAGAAGCAATTGCAGAGAAAGCCAGCACAGTTCACTTAGTGTTCTTACTTCATACAGGATCTTTAGGAGACATAAGCGGAAATGTAACAACATTGCATGATTAGTTTCTGCAGAGGCAGGTTTTTTAAAAAAAAAGTTTAGGTGTACTCTCACAAACCAGCATGTTTCTCATTCAAAAAGGTATTAAGCCTGTTCCATAAACAGGAATCATGTAATCTTACATAAAAAATATTTTTCCATAGCATCCCTCTGGAAACTTTTGAATAATATTGGCTGTTATTTTAGAATGACTGAAATAGATACTAGGTATGGAAGACTTCAGCCTCTTAAGAAAGTTTGTAGCACTGTAGGAAATAAATCCAGCACTTTTGTCAAGAGAATTTTCAGGTACCATGCGGTAATGCTGCCTGTTTTTTGATGGTGATCTTGGCACAGGTGATCATGATACATGAATTTCTATTTTTATTCACTTGATAATCATACGAATAAATCTTTTTCAGTTTTGTATGTGCCAGGAGCTGCTGGCAAATACTGAAAGATTTTTATCCATTTGTTTATGGAAAATGAAACACAGAGTTGTAAAGATCAGAAATCCTTTGCTTTTAATTATTTGTGTCTGTGTGTATGTGTGTGTATATATAGATAGATGAGTACAGGCACACACATATGATTGAAAGTATCTGTTTTGTAATTATACTTTGACTTACTAGCAAGTGGAAGAGATGCTGTGTATCTGCCACTGCAGCAGGTAAGGACATGATGATGTTTTCCTGAGAGAGTATATAGAAATTCTTGGCATACATCATCACATTGTTGTGTTTGTCAGTGCCAAGGAGTAACATGTAGGAGAGATGGCTGGGGACAGCACGTCAGATAGGAGAGAAAGGCTAAAACAGCATGTAATGCAGATTTTTGAGCAGTTCAAGCATCTTGAAACTTTATGCTCAGTGACACGATTTGAGCAGTTCATGTTCACTGGGTTTCTGGTGAATCCTTTTGATTAGGCTGGAAATGATGAAACTTGTCTCATGACAAATGAATTTAAGATTGTTTCCAAAGACTGAAAATTCGAAAGACATGTCATGGTAGATTTGCTGTAACTCTTCCTGGTAGCCACAGCAGTTTGGAGGCTTCCAAAATGAAACAGGATACTTAATTTCTCAAGCTATTTTCCAGGGTGGGACATTTTGTTCCTGGGTCCTAGGTAGGCTGAAAAGCTAGGACAGGAGTCTTGTGACTCAGCACGCAAGCTACAGCCACGTGGAGTTATGGCAGGCTATGGAGTGACCACCAGGGAAGATAACTGGCTCAGCAGTCTGCCTGACTTCCACAGATACAGTTGATGGCACTGACATACTCCAGGAAAAATTCTTGTTTTGCTAAGTCAATGTTTCATGTCTCTGACTGGCTCTTGCTCTATTAAGCATTACACCTGTTGTAATCTATGGTTGGCACAAACATCTTGAAGATTGCAGTGGTTATGTTAGATGTTTTGGTATTAATTCATACCTGTACATAAAGTCTGTTTTTAAAAAAAAAGCCAAACCAAACCATTCTAGAAACTTCTTTGTTCCTTTCAGTGCTTTCATATTTTTGTCATCTAGAAGGTAGTAAAATAAACGTATTTCCAAGAGACTTGGGGGGTAGGCAGTGTTTTGGGTTTCTGTGTTTTTATTCCTCTTTGTTGCTCGTCTTTTAGGCATAGTATAAATGATAGTTGTAATATAATTGACTCCCAATGGAGGATGTTTAATTTCTAGATTTGGAGCAATTGGATCAATGAAGTTCAGAGGTTATTTTCAGCAACTTAGAATTCTGGCTTTGTTCTAAAGTTAGTGATTTATTTAATTGTATTTTCCACAAAACATAGTACACATATATTGATTAAAAATACTTGAAAATTTCATTTAGAATTTCATTTAGAATCAAAGTGGAGAGAAATATATTTACGTAGGTTCTTCATTTCAATAGTGGATTTATATATGCATGCAGCCGTAGGGAGATAGTCTTCCGTATGTGAAATCTTACTGCTGCTGGTTATAGGGCATTTCACTCTACATTTTAAAGGAAGTTCTGAGGGCAGTGAACTTATTAGTCTTCAAGGTAGTGCTCTAAAGTAATGGTATGGAATTTTATTGCTTAGTGTGTTGTATAGGAATCAGAGTAATAGACTACTAGTAACAGAATAAAGGGGTATTGTTTTTAGTAAGGGAAATGTTTGCAATAGAAGAAGCAAAGGAAATTTTTATGTTGGACTTCAAGACTTCCATTTCTACACAGAAAATGATGGTGGGGTTTTGTTTGTTTTTTTTTTTTTCCTAGGAATTTGATCCTGAAGAGTTTTACTATCTTTTGGAAGCAGCTGAAGGCCATGCTAAAGAGGGACAAGGCATTAAAACAGACATCCCTCGGTACATTATTAGCCAGCTGGGCTTAAATAAAGATCCTCTGGAAGGTTAGTGCGTCTTGTGGTCCAGCTATCCACCTAGATTCTTCCTTCTCAATGTGTTTAATCATTCTGATAATGTCTATACTGGAAAAGGGTTAAAGTAAAAATGGTAGCAGAACAAGCATTTGCTATCCCTCACAGTACCCTCACAAGCTCAAACGCATTAAAATGGCTATATGGGATAGTTCTCTTGTGAATATCATTCACAAACACTATGTCAGTAATACTTGTCATCTTCCAGCCTGGCAATGCAACTTTTTTTTTTCAGCTCTAGCTAAAATTTACTGGTATAATTTGATGGCAACTGTTAGCCAACCATAGGTATAAATGAAACCTAGGCTGAACTGTTACATGCCCTTCAGTGCGCCCAGGATCCCACATCTTAGAGTCCCTGAGAAGGCTATCTCCCATTCCTGTTAAAACTGCAAATACTTATTTTTCTGGGTAATTTATGTGTCCATGTTGAGGACTTATGTAGGGAGAATTTGGGTTCCAATTGGAACTGCAGAATTTTTGTTTGCCTGATCTTTCTTTTAAGGCCAGCATGGGGAGAACTAAAATCTCTTCTGTCTCCTAACCATACCATCATCTTTTTCATCCTGAGACCACGTTCTATCACCGGTGACAGATGGAAATTGGTTCATTGTGTTCAATGCTAGTCCTGCAATTGGAAGAAATTGGTAGAAATGCCATCATGGAAAATAAGTCTAGCTTGTACTACTTATCTTATCTTCTGTGTTATGACCCAGAACGTGGATGATCTCTAGGGTGGTCACTTGATAACACAATAGCAAAACACCACGATCAGTTTTGTTTTTTTTTTTTAAACCAGTTTTCATGATGCAAGATCACATTTCCATAAAGGGGTAGTGTATTGTGTGTTAAAAGAAAACTTTTTTTGTTCAACTTCAACAGCTTGTGAAGTTTAGCACTGCCATATGTTGTCAGTAATTTTATTAGATCTAATTCAATTAGATTGGATATTGTTAAAGATTATATTTGTATTATGCTAACAGATAAGACAGTCAAGCTGATTATTATTCTGCTTCCTGCCTTCACAGAAGAAATTCCTCATCCAAATCTAGTATTATTTTTATCTGAGGTATAGATTAAAGCAGCTTTAACTATTTTGCTTGGATTCAGAGTGCAGCAAAGAAGCCAGGCGAATTGTGAAAATGCATGTAGGTATTATTTTCCATGTGGTACTGGAAGAGATTGAGAAGTAGCTTAGTTCTCTGCAAGATAAAGGGGTGCCTTCTGGATTTGGAGAGCTAGATTTGGCCTAGACTTGACAATTCATAAATTATTCACTGATCGAGTATACAAGGTTTAATTTGAAGTGTTCATTGAGAGGTTAGTATAATTGACCTTGGTTGCCATTTGAACCTCATCCTACTAATTAATTTTTTGTGACCTCTTGGATAAATGTTTCTCTGCATAACTCAAGAATTGAACACTACCTAAGTTTAATAATATCTTTGAAACTTTAAAAACAGTTTATTGTGAAAGAGGTCTAGAGGCACATGCTTTATATAAGGGATACTGTTTTCTCAGACTAAATACTTATTTGATGTAAGAGTACTTCATCTAGGACACATAATTACATTTCATAAATTGAATATTAATATAAAACAAACTTGAAGCATTCAAGGATAGTTGAAATGTGGTGTTTGGGTTTTTTAAGGAGGATAAAGTGGGCAGTGTGGCTTGTCAGTAAATACTAAGGGGTGTATGATGTATAGATTACTGATCTTTGGTTGAATTGGAGAGTTGGGTGGTTGAATTATTTAGTGCATCATTCTATATGTTAATGAGTATATAGATTCGTGATCAAATAATTCAGGCCATCTGATTCATATTAATGCTTTCCTGCCTCCTTAGAAAAAGTGACGCTTATAAACAGTATAAATCACTGTACAATGACTTCTTAAATTATCTGGGTTTTAATAGTTTAGATTCTTTAAACATTGTTTTAATTACTATAAAGAATACTGCATTAAGATCATCCTTCTGAGAGATATTTAAATTCTTTCTCTACAAAAAGAAAAATTAAAATAGGTGAATGAAGTATTTCAAAACAAAGAAAATCCACTTCAGTTACACCAATTATCCTGAAACAAAGAATTGTATTTTCAAGTAAGCTGTTAAATTATGTCTGCAGTGTTCATAATGCTCACATATTTTACTTCCTCTGCAGAGAAGAGCAACCTACTTTTTTATATCTTTCTATACTTACCTCCTTTGTTCGCTGGTAAAGCTGTTGTGTCCTTTCTTTGAGTGAAACGATGCATGTATTACTTGGAGATAATGCTAGATAAATTTATACTGTACTGAAAGCAATACCAGAGCAGATTCATCACTTAGCAGGGACTGGTGGCTGCATTTCTGAAGAGTTCCCCAGGGAGAAATCTTTGCCCATGGTTTTTAAATTACCATCTTTACCTTTTTGAATCATGAGTCTTCAGAAATGGTTTAAATCAATGAAATAAAAAGGGCAGATGTTTAATGGTATTTAGATGAGTTTTAAAGATCTCTTCAGGCATTGCAAAATGGTTCCACAGCTCCCCATTTCTAAAGCTGATGCCTGGTTCTGTTCCATTATTACCTACTGCTTGCAAATAATATGTGTATTCCTCAGATAATGGTTATTCTGCAAAAGTTCTGGTTAAAAATGGCTTATTTTAATTCTCTATTTATGAAAATCATTTCAGTTGAGAAGGCTGTCAAAATATATTATTCTAGCTTGCTTGGTTCTCACCTGTACAATAAAGGTTTCATCAGCACTTCTGGCATGAAGACCTGATGTTCACAAAACTCTGACTTTTGCCAGGGAAATCCACTCCAGTTTCAATTTTGGTCTGGCATTTTTTTTTAAATATTTATTTGTTCTCAGTAGAGATCTTTTCATTGACTTCATATTCAGAATATTTTGAATTTTTAGCTTCTCTAACAGATTAAAGATCTGTTCGGGTTTTGAGATGACATTTTAATTACTTCTGATTCTTATACTTTACGCATGTAGTGTTTTGGATAGTGAGTACAAATCAGAGTTACTTCTTAAATCTTTAGTTGTGCCAACAGAAGATTGTGTGGTTAATTTGCTTTAATGATTACAGTGAGTGTTGGGCAGAATGTCTCTTGTAATAGTCATTTATTATATATAAAAATCCAGTTTAGATATCCTATGTGAATACTCAATTATTTCTCATATTCATAAATTCAGTTAACAGTCCTGAGATAAAAACACACCTCAAAAATTTCAGGTGGTCATATCTCTGATCCCCAGCACATAATTACAATAATATGTGCAACCTTGGCTATGTGGATTATATAATTGACAACATGTAAGATTAAAGTGATGCTAAGCTTCCCAGGGTCTTTTATCTACCAACTGTCCTGTTTAGCATTTATTACTGAGATGAATTCTTAGTTACTGTCTGCTGAAGAACAGGATAGGTTTAGGAGCTCTGCAGCATAAGCATGGGTTGACTCTGACAGGGACAACCGTGTCAAGTTACAGACCCCCAAAATCTGTTTCCCAGAGAAGTCATAGAATCATAGGATAGTTAGGGTTGGAAAGGACCTTAAGATCACCTAGTTCCAACCCCCCTGGTGTGGGCAGAGATACCTCACACTAAACCGTATCACCCAAGGCTTTGTGTGACCTTGAACACCACCAGGGATGGAGCATTCGCAGCTTCCTTGGGCAACCCATTCTAGTGCCTCATTACCCTCACAGTAAAATCTTCCCCCTTATATCCAATCTGAACTTCCCGTTTAAGTTTTAAACCCTTACCCCTTGTCCTGTCACTACAGTCCCTAATGAAGAGTCCCTCCCCAACATCCTTATAGCCCCCCTTCAGATGCTTGAAGGCTGCTATGAGGTCATCTCTGTTAGTGACCCCATAAATGATAAGCTTCTAAGAAAATGGCTTTTATCTTATTCTGTTAAGCATATTAGCATTTATGTGTAGAAGATGCAAACCATATTAGTCCATCTCATCTAGTCTAAACTAGAAAAATTTTGTTCTTAACTGTGGAAGAGCCCAACGAGGATGCAGCCTACTGTTAATCCCTCAGGGGATGAGATCCTCAGGAGTTTTAGCAGATTAGTGCTGTTTTACCCTTAATCTCTCAGATTTGAGAATTTCCATGCCTCAGCGATGGTAACAATACCACTCTTCATTGCCTTATGGCTGTTTGAATTCTTCAGTGGAAGATCACATAGGCATTGAATAGTACGTCTTCTGGGTGGGTTTTTTTTGTATGTGCTTGGAGATGTCCTGAAAGTTACTTGCAGATACTACAGATTGGACAGCATGTTCATTGGGTGTTCTGGAAGAACACTTTTCAGGTTTTCTGTGTTTAAAATGAAGTTTCTAATCTCTGTTTCCAGAAATAGCTCAGCTAGCTAACTGTGACAGTGGGACAGCAGAAAATCTGGAAGGGGATGAATCAATAAATGTAAGTTTTCATGTTATGTTGCTGATTTTACTGAATCTGAGCAAGGAAAAATAGCTGTGTTGTGTCCCCTCTGTTTTTATTTTCTCCTGGTGTGTGTAAAGAGATTGAATAGAACAATGCTTAATACTCAGACTAATGCCATGGTGCTCAGCGGAGGGAAGGCTTGCAAAACATAGTAGCACAAAACTTCCTACCTGTTTTTCTAGATGTTACAGTATCTTTAGCTTCCACAAAGTTAGTGGTTACCATGTGGCAATTGTTTTACCACAAAATTCATCACTGCTTCCTTTATTTCTGTTTAATTAATGTGTTGATTTTTCTTTCAGAAGGGTTTTTAAACCATTTCATAAAAAAAATGAATTCTTTTAAACAGATTTTAAAACAGCTACTGATTAAACCGGGAGACTGAACAGATCCAGTGAAGACACAAGAAAGAAACGGGCAATATAGTAAATAGTCTGGATTCAGAAAATTAGCTTGCAGTCTGGAAGATTGTGCATTGTTGTTCTGAATCTGTGTTTAAAAGTTATTGTCTAACATAGTGGGTATCTTACGGTAATATTTTGTCAGATGCTTGTTTAGGTTGGCCAGCGAGAAACTAGTTGGAGCAGTTTGTTGGTTTGAATATTGTAGGATTAAATGCTCTTGATTGAGATTCTTATTTTTAAAAGTTGTTTCTCATACTCTGGATTTCAGTCAACAATGGGTGGAGTCCTGACAATTTAGTGTTGATTCTCAGTGCAAGTGGATAGAAAAGGCAAGTGCCGTTTTGAGGGATGCATAGTTATTCAGGGGTGCTTTACAGAGACTTACAAATATTAGAATTTAAAACACAGGTATGGTGTATCTGTTAAAGCAGTTCTCTTATACTACAGAAAAGACATCATCCTCATAGTACATGTCGTATTATCTTGAGATAATTTCTGACTTTAACAAACACCACCTACAAAGGCTTCCAGAGTTGTGACATGAAGGGTGTTTCTTATTCTGTTCATCTGTTTTAGACCTAAGTAGCATTTAGTGGAAGGATATTGACAAATTGGAGAAATAACAGCTAGGAGATTTAAATGAAGTGCTGAAGTGCTTAGGAGAAGCTGAAGTGCAAACTGGCTTAGCAGTGGCTAAGAAATTGCAATTGTAAAGTTTGTGTTGTGCAACTGTTGAAAAAATACAGAAAGGTTAATGCAGTGTAACAAAGCAATGTAAGGAAATCAGTAAAGAAAAAATATGGGGTGAGTATTTGGAAACATTTTCCTTGAAGTATAGCCGTGGAATAAACACACGTGGAAAGTTACAGGAAATGTAACTTTAAAGTACAGAACCATTTAAAATCGTCATAAATATGCAATTAGGAAGAATCCTGTACTGGCAAGCAAGTGGGCTGAACAATATTAACATATTCACTAATCTTCTTGCACTGAATTTTCTTCAGCAAGAGTTTAATTAAAAATGTTCCAACCAGCTCTACTTTAAACCTTTACTACCAGACTGCTTGGGTAGGGACTGTAGGACTTGGAGATTTGGAAAGCATCTTGAAAAGGATCTTGTGGGTTTGGAACACTGTATTTTTTGTCTGGTGCCCTCATCACCCCCCTACACCCCAATTCTATTTCACACATGTTCAAGATTAATTAAAAACTGAAGCTAGAAAAAAGGTTATGCAGTACTCTCAGAACAACATTTGAAAATGTTTTGGCATACAAATGGATGAAAGTGACCTCCATAATGATAGAACTCGTGTGTTTTTAGCCTCTATGTTTTTCTCTTTCATTTTATGTCTCTTTTCACAGTCTGTCGTAACATTAGTTAGAAGTGTGCAGAAGTTTATTTGAGTGAACAAGAGCTCATCTACATTTAGTTACAACCAGGCTGTCATACCATGATCAGATTTACTAAAATGGGAAGGCAATGGACAACAGGTGCCTGGTGGGGTTCACTTAAGTCTGTAACTCTGACTTAACTGGACAGAGTATGTATGTGGTTCATCAGGGTATGACAGCCCGGTAATAGGTTAAGGGGTTTTTTTGGTTGGTTTTTATGTTTCCTTGGTCTTGAAAAAAGTACCATATTAACATTGTTCTCTCTCCTCTTTTACTTTGAAGAGCTCTAATACCTCACTGAAGCTGCAGAGAAAACCTCAGGAAAGTGATTTTGAAACAATTAAACTGATCAGTAATGGAGCTTATGGGTGAGTAATTCACGAGTGCAGCATGTTTGCTTAACTTCCCATTATTACTTATTGCCAGGATGTTTATGTGAAGGAGTTTGTTTGCCCTGCTTTTTCATTTTGCTTTCTGGTTTTATTGCTAATATTTGAAGTTCACAAGAAAAACTTTTTGAAAAGCTTGCTAGGCAATAATGAGTTACTGTGTGCTGCAGTAAATTAAAATACTGAGTATCACATCACAAAGATTTTTCAGAAGTATGTATTGTGTAATGCCAAAGATGAAATCTGAATGAATTGAAAGGCAGATTTAAAGCCACCTTTAGAGCAGTGGAAACAGTCTATGTTTGTGCACATGTGAAAGGGAATAAAACTGCATCTGTAAGGAGACAGATTGTTAAAAATCAGTGCTTATTTGACCTAAACATACTGGTGAAGTAGAAGCAAATTTCCTTAAGTAGGTCAACACTGTTTTGTTGCTTCTCTGCAGACAGTCTTTCATCTTCAAATTTTAACCCATTAGCTTTTAAGCAATTGCTGTTACTTAGTTAGTTTGGGGTACTTGGAAGGTCCATAGCTTACTGACGAGTGGTATGCAAATCATTGGGGATATCCTAGAAGACCAACAGAAATTATGTTAGCCTGGACCTTAAAGGAACACAGAAAGTTTTCTGGAAGTACCATGAAGGGATTGTGTGTATCAGCAGGCAGAAATCCGTCTTTAGTCACCTCTTCTGATCAGCTGCTATTAGACTCCTGGTTGGCTCCTCCTTTGAACTGAAATGTATCAGGACATAGTCTTGGTCTATGTAACCTGTTAGCAGAACCAGGAGGGATATATTCATTCAAAAAAGAAAGGTTTCTGTCTTGAGGTGAGGAGCTCATTGCCATTAGACCATGTCACAGCCTGGCAGTGGAGAGACCTGTGCTTTTCTTCAGCACAGACCTTAGACTGGCTCTTCTCTGCGCTACCTCTGCTTGAGGTAGGAAGCAGCAGCAACCTGAATAGGACTAAGCAGTCTTTGACAAGACCACGGACATAGAAGGGAAAGCACTTGCAATCTACCCAGTTGAATTTTGCATGCTGTTTTAATGGCCTGAGGCTGGTGAGCATGGTCATACTCTCCGATCACAGTAACCCTGAGCCCTGGGCAGGAGGCATTGGGTTCTGCCTAGTACTGTAGGTCATGATAGCACTTGTGGAGGCTATTATTTGTGTCCAGGCCTGCTTACATAGCTCAGCAGAAAGCCTGAAGGAAGTAACATAATTTTCATTAAAGTTATGTAAATATCCAAATAAAACTTCTCACTAGTCAAGTTGCACAATTTTCTCAGAATTTCTCTCTAGGTGAGCCCATTACTTACTGTATGCCTTTTTCTCCCAACTACCCCAGGACTTCAAAAGCCTTTCTTCCAGCAGTTAGCAGTAGCTGCTGCTCCCCTCCATGGACAAACCCCTTTCTCCTTCATTTTGCAGATCCTTAGTCTCCTCCATTCCTCCTTTCATCTCCTACCTAATTTCCTCTTTATCCTACTGAAGGAGCATATGAAGAATGGTGTGGGGTGGGTCCTCATCAGAGAAAAGGGTGTCCAAGTCACTACACCTGCCCAACTTCCCAGCAGTCTACGATGCTGAGGGAGGGGTAGAGAGGGACCAGCTGCAGAAGGGCATGCTTCAACTAGCAGTTTGTGGCTAGACTTCTAAGTCAGACATTTGGTAGGCCTGTGGCTCTTGCTCCATAGGTGTTTCAGTTGCAAGGAGCCTTGATGAGCCATTAAATACAGACTGGAGACAACTGTCCATTTGAAACCAGAGAGAACTTATCTCAGAAGCTGGAAAAGAAAGGATGAAAAGCCATGGCTTTCTATGGCACACATGATGTAGGGCTGTAGAATTTTTTTTCTCATGCTTGTGGAAGGCAAAATCAATACTTTTGGAACATCTTTTTAATGCCAATAGTATGCTAAATTGGCAATGCAAATGTCATAAAAATGGGGTGAGACCCTGATAGTTTTGTGGGGAAATAGAATGCTTATAAGAGGGTGAATAGCTTGGAGCATATCTGTATTCTGCATGAATCATTATTCTCTTTAGTAAGTATTAAAACAGGGGTAGGCTGGCAGGTTATACTGTGGTGTTAAGAAGTCGAAACTGAAAATCTCGTGAGTTTAGTAGAGTTCTGTTAGTTCCATCCTTAAATAAATAATAGCAAAATAGATTTTGTTGGCTTGGATTTATTGTTTTCAATGGTTACGTCTTAAGAGTCAAGAACAAGGAAAAAAAGGTACAGCCCCTTACTAATTAATGTAGAGGGAGAGGAACACATTCAGTGAACTGTGAGACAATATTCTGAAAGTACTCACTAGTCACTGCCCCCCAGCTACTATAAATTGAGTGGCCTTGTGCTCCTAAATTCTCTGGACTGTCTCAAAACTATCTGTCCAGACTGTCTGGACTTCTCAAAACTATCTGTGTGCTTGAAGATCTCCACTGTGGAATGTCAGGTAAATGGAACTGTAATATTGACAGACCAGTTTTTGATCTTTAGTAAGTGTTCTTTCTGTTAGCACCAGTATGATTGGTAGTTAATTTACTTAAAAGTTACGGTCAAGTTTAAAGAGGAGCATATCACGATAACATAAATGCTCTTTAACCCATCTACAAAATGGGGAGTAATAAAACAATATCTGTTCCACCTGTGAATACTAAACAATAGACTGCCCCATAGGCATTTAATGCAGTTTATTTACATGTATAAGCAGCAGAAATAAAAGTTACTGTTGCTAGCTGCAAGGATTATTTCTTTTCCCCCTGCATCCATGTTTTTCCAGGCCATTAATTTTTTGAAATAACCTAAATACGTGTGAATTCTATCTGTGCGTTATTGATTTATTCTCAAAAACATGTGAGTGGACATATTTGGTGCATTGACTTGTTAAAGATTCAGTATGCTGTTGTAATATTTTATGTATTTTGAGGCTATAATGGAGGGTTTCATTCTTAACAAATGAAAAAACCCCAAACATTCTGCTGTCTTTGATTTTGCTGTGGTGTTTTTGTCTTCATTAGTGAAATGGAAAGCTTTGACTGCTTGACAGGGTAATTGTTGGGCTTGGCATGGTGTAGCTGAGATTTGTCAGATGTGTTAAACTTGATGAGTTTGAGTATAAACTACTGGTTTTGTGAAGGTTTGAGTAAATATCTTAGCAGTTCTGTGCTTTTAATTGATTGGGTAAACTTATTTGTAGTGCAGTTAAGTGACTGTATAGTAGATGAGGTGTATCAGGCTATTGGGAATGGCTAGGAATATACAAGAAGTTAAACAAGCTGTGAATCAGTAAACATGTAGGATGCTGGCCAAGTCATTAATGATTTCACAAGCTGTCTATCTGACTTCTGTCAGCCAGCCAAAACTTTTCATACTTCCCAAATTTAAATTTTTCACTGCAAACAGAGCAACATTTTTTTCATATTGCAGCTTGTAAGAGGTAGCAGGTATTTGTAGTCTCTTCAAGTTGGCATCGGCCTGATTTCCTGGACCAGCTCAACAAAATGAAGATTACATTTGATTTCAGGGAAGCAAGTGATGTTAGTTCAGTTGTTCTTCATTAATGTATTACTGCATTTGCTTAAAGCATGTACATAATACTTATTTTGTGACTGCCTGGAATCCTTTTACTTATATGGTAATGGTTGGTATGTATATGTCACATACTGGCCAGTGGTGTTGCTTGATAAATTTAAAAACTGAGGTTGTGTTGGCTTGAGCAGCTGCTGCCTGTAACCTGTGATTACTCATTCCTGTCCCTTCTCCGTCTGATTGACAGTACTTGCTCATGGATCGTTGCATTGTGAATGGGAGTAACAAAACTACCCAGCTGCAGAATAATACCCTGTCATTCAGGTTAATTCATTAACAGCCTGGCAGACACCAGTTCAGAACTGGAAGGGGTCGGGGGAAGTCTGGCTTTATAGGTTCACTTATGTAGCACCAAGTCTGGACTACAGGTCTAATAAGCTATATTACTTTCCTTTTCTGTTTATCCCTGTGGGTCACAGGTCTGTGCAGGTAAGAGGCTTTGATTCTTAGGAGCTTGTAGCTTTGAAGAGCAGCTTAAAAAGTAGAGTCAGACAACTTCTGTGCTAGGGATCTTATACTCATCATTCATTGTGGACTTAATCAAAATGATGGACTTTGAACCTGGACACTGTATATTGCCCTATTGTGCTGTAGTGCTTTATGCAGCATTTCACCGTGTCCCCAAATAAATCCAGTCTGGTCATGGACATCGCCTAGCTAGTAGGTGGTGCTGTGCTGCTTGTAAATTGTGATCTTAAATAACTCTCCATAAACTTTACCACATTGCTGTATCATGAATCACACCCTCACAAGTGGCCCACTTCACTAGAGGAAACCTCAGACTTTGTTCCAGGGTAGTACAGAAGATACTAGAAGGAATTAATTGATTGATTTCATAATCAGTTTCCTTAAGGAAATTAATTATGAAAATGAAATATCACTCCCAGTAAGCAGCTGTAACTTTTAAGCAGCAAGTACAGTACTCGTATTTCCACAAGGAGTTCAAGGTCCTTTGGTAAATTAGAGAATTGGGTCAAAGCAAAGCAGCACAGCCACATTAGGCACAAAACTGAATGTAGACTGGATTGTAAAATGGCTCTAAATTTGAAGTTAATGAAAACTGTAAACTAGGCCTGGAGCCCTTAAGTAATTTAGAGAAAAAACAGGAATCTTGGTTATAAGATTGGAGACACAGCTTGCATAATGTAAGTTTGAGCAATTCAGGAGCCCAGTTAAATTTCTGGAAATTTATTTTGGTCATCTTAACACACACATGCAATCCTTTATATTTGTGCCTAGCTAAAGGTATTTTAGTGATACTTTTAAAAGCTAAGATTTATGTTGGAAGTAGACTAAGAGACTAATGTAGTGTTTGAATAATGCCAGGGATTTTTGCTACTTCTCTTGAAAAGCAAACTTTTTCTTGCTGTGTTGAAGCACAGCATCAATAAAACACAGCACTTGTGTATGTATCGGGATCCATATATTGAATTCAGAGGATGTTTTAGAAATCTCTTGGGGTCATGTTGCAAAAACAGAAAGAGGGGAGTCGTAAAGCCAACACCAGTTTGTGGCTTTGCAGGCAGACAGATCATTGAATGGATTGACACAACAGTTGGATGGTCTGCATGTTCCTAATACATTGCTTTTGTGTCAAAACAATCCTCAGATTTACAGTTGTCTGTATAATATACTGAAAATCATGAACAGCATTTAATGGCCAAGGCCAAGAAACCAAGAATTGAGGTATTATTGTGCTCTTTCTTAAAAGTACATGTAAAACAAAGATGAACTTCTGTTTAGTGCTCCAGTTGTAGCATTATGAAAAATAGAAGTATGTGGGATAGTGGGCCTGTGTGAGGCAAAAAGCAAGGCTCGTGTTCAGTGCCAGAATTGTAAGACTGAAGCAAGATGACAGCTTCAGGGAGTGTGAGCAGAAACTAGAAGGCCATCAAAATCTAGGTGGTAACTTGTTGCACAGTAACAGAGGCGTACCACCAGCAAATCAGAGTTTAGAATTACTGAAGACAAAAGTTGTTAAGTGCTAAAGCTACTGTGACTGTTGCCATCATTTCACCTCCAAGTTCATAGCTGTGTCTCAGCAGATGTATGCTTTACTCCAGGCTTTCTACTTAGATTAACTTGAAGCCCCACTTATGTGCAGGAACATATAAGGGTTTTTTGTGTGTGTGTGGTGTTTGGTTTTTTTTTGTTTGTTTGTTTTTAAGTTCAGGCAGTTTATATATGGTTATTTAACTGGGAATATTTTGTTTTCTATTTGTCATTTTATTGACAAGTTTCAAACTGTGGGAGCTGTGTCACAGGCAGTCCCAGGCACCATTGTTGTAGCATGCTTAGTTTAGCATACTGGTAGGCTAAGGAGATGGCGCCACTGCTGTGAATTGGGAGCATCTTGGAGGAAGAAGCGGGGGTCTTCTGCAGGAATAACATGCTGCTGGCTAGGACATAATTTTCTTTGTAAAGCATAAATGCTGTTTGCTGCGGTTTCTGTGATCAGAGGATGTGAATAAGCGATGCTCAACATTTTTGTATGTTAAGGATCATTTAAAAGCACATAGTATCTCATAAACAGCCTATGTCTCTGTAATTGTAAGAGGGACAGCTGTGTTGCAGTTGTCTTGTGGGTCTAGTAAACTTGAACTAAACAGTTTTTTTTTCCTGAGGAGTTGTAGATAACTGAATCCCAGTGGAAAGTAACACAATTGCCTGCCTGTGACTGTACGACTGGCGAATGGGATTTAGAGAGCTGGAAAAACACAGCCAGAATGTCCCAGATAGTTAGTGGACTACATAGTCCTTAGAACTTACTGGCTCTTCATCTTTAAATATGGTAGTAATTATCCTATAGATCCACATGATCTGCAAAGATTGATTAAGATGCTGTAATAATTTGTTCTGATTATTATCTGTCTTTCAGGAGTTCATACGGGCAGTGTTCAAATTAAAGCTCTGAGAGAGATCTGCATGCCAAGTCCTCAGGCAGTCCTCAGTTTTTTCATATAATTTTTTTTTTTCCAAGGATTACAGCTTCAGGGTTCACTTTTCTATATGCCAGGAGAGCACAAGGGGACTGAAATAGAGAAAAACATAGATGAAATTACAGGAGATTAAGAAACTAAAACTGACTGACAGGAGATAACATGAGAGAGGAAAACGAGAGTGTAAGGGAGAGAAAAGCAAAGGAAGAGTTGTAATGAAGGGGAGAGAGAAGTGGGCACGAGGGGAGGGGTAGGAAGAGTTCCAGGAGGACAAAAGACATGAAGCCAGCAGAGAGGAGTACTGGAGCTGAATAACTCAGTCGTTTATTCCCGCTTGGGAGGGGCAGAAGAGAGAAAGACTTTGTAGGAAGCACGAAGGGTGGGATTTGTCTTGAGTTTTGCCCAAGGTGGTTTTCCCCTACTTTCATAATGGTGTAATATCTTTTGTGTGCCTTGTGCACAGGCAAAAACAAGGGATTAATGAAAATTTTTGGAAACAGTAAGAGAAACTTTATTTTACAGAAAAAGCTTTTGTCAACAAAGGAAAGCAGAAATGTATTGACACTTTCAGTGTTTGTAACTTGGTAGCTGTGGGAAGGTCTTCACAGAAATAATAAGGCAAGAATCGCCTTTTTGTGTTTTTTGTGTTTAAATAAATAATTGTGTGCTGATAATTGGACCTCTTAGGGACAACAAACTGAATTTAAAAACAATCTAAATTAAGTCCCACCTCCCTTCTTCTCCCTCCCCCCCCCCCATTTTCTCCTTGTAGTCTTTTCTGCCTGTATACACTTGCTGCTGTGGTAATTATATACTGGACATGCTATGAGCATTAAATGCTACAAAGCAGTTTTCAGGCAAGGCAGACGTTTTCATGATTTGCCTCAAGGGATTCTGAGAATTGCAGCAGTAACATCCCGTGTCAGTGTTTCATGGCAGGATGATTCCTTGAGCCTTGAAAGAAAGAAGGCTTGTACATGTGAGGTTTTCTTTCAGCTTGCTTCCATGCCTTGACCTTATCTAACCAGGCTTACGGGAAACTCAGTACTGAGTACACCAGTGGAAATTCTGCTTGTCAAGATACATCTTAACCCCATGTTACTATGCAGTTAATGCAGTGATCTTTGTTTCGGATTACCTACTGGTGACCTACCCCTGATATGGATCAGTGCTGTCAGGGACTGAAAAAGAACAGGATAGTTAGCACCTGGCAACAAAGGAGCTACCCCATCAAACAGCTTTGAATCAAACCTCATGAGAAACCTGTGACGTGTTTTAAAATCTCCTGGACAGGGTCTGAGTCATAATTATCTGACAACGCATTTACAGAATAAGCATTTGTAAGAATGATTTTATAACAGTGTGCCATAGCTGGGTTTTGTGTATAATACTTTGTGGAAACGCCCAAAATCTGCCTGAGCTGAGAACATTTACTATGTCTGTTGGATGCATTTGCTGTATCCGTTGTTTGGTTTTGGGACACAGGGCAAGGGGGAGTTGTTTGGTTTTAGTTTGTGTACTGATTTTTGTTGACTGAGATTCATCCTGGTTATAGAACAAAATGAAGTTTGTAGCCATTCTGTAATGTCAAAGGCAGGTCAACTACATTAAAGAAAACATAAACCTTTTACATAATGCATACAGAGTTTTAAAAAATACTTTTTTTTGTAAAAAAAAAAGTTTTTAAAATATATATTTTAAGTTATTCAGAGTTTTTTCTTTCTCTGTCCTATTTGAACTTCTTCAGTGCGGTTTATTTTGTGAGACACAAAGAAACCAGACAAAGATTTGCCATGAAGAAAATTAATAAGCAGAATCTCATCCTCCGAAACCAGATCCAACAGGCTTTCGTTGAGCGTGATATCCTGACATTTGCAGAAAATCCATTTGTAGTCAGCATGTATTGTTCTTTTGAAACAAGACGTCATTTATGTATGGTCATGGAGTATGTAGAAGGTAAAGTGGCTGTTCTATTTTCATTTTCTTACAGCAAGAAAGAAAAATAACCCATATGGTACTTGCATTAGAAAGGCTTCCTTGGGTCCTCTGTACTCTGGCAATACAGATTTATGATCTAAATCCAACAGCAAGGTGGCTTTTTTCTAGTCATCTTCCAGAGGGAGCTTGTAAAACACTTGAGCTCCAGCTACAATGGGAAATAACTGCTGTTTGAATAAGTTCCTCATGGACTATAATCGTAAGTGTCCTAGTGTTCAGAAAACCTTGTGGAAATGCTGTTTGCTTTTCTGGAGCTGAAATTTTCATTAGCACATGTTGGGGTATTTGTACTAGTTAGTTTTACAAAGGAAGAGGCAAGAGGAAGCAATCTGAAAAGGTGCTGATGCTGAAGGAGACAGTGAACAGGGGCAGTGCAATATGGGATACCTAGACTAAGGTTGTGTGGGTTTGGTTTTGTTTTGCTGCCTCCATGTGTAGCAGCACAGACTTTATTATTTTCCAGCTGAACCCTTGAACTGCTCACTCCCAGCTTCACATTGTGTTTCCAGTACAATAGTTGGTATGGTTACATGGTCAATTGAATCACTTGACTGGAAAATAAACATTTGTGACTGCAGTTTGTGTCTCTTTCTGCAGCATATATGGCTTATACTGATACCACTCAAAATTTATAGTGTCACCTGGAACGTTTGTTCTGTTTCCACAGGCGGAGACTGTGCTACTTTGATGAAGAACATGGGTCCCTTACCTGTAGACATGGCAAGGATGTACTTTGCAGAGACTGTTCTGGCCTTGGAATACCTTCATAATTATGGAATTGTACACAGGGATTTGAAACCAGACAAGTATGTATATAGAATATACCCAAAAGAAGACATAGAAATTATTAGATAAAATATCAAAGGTGTAAACGTCCTTTGAATGTACTTGAAATGTTTTGTTGGTTTTTGTTTGTTCTTTTGTTGTTTTTTTTTTAAATAAAAATGTTATGTAGATTCACAATTTCTGCACAATATTTGAATTTTTCCCTACCTGCAGTAACAGAAAATGTGGTGTTTTTTTTTTCCAAAAGAGATTTTTTTGAGTTTTCTGTCTTTAGATGCAAGAGATAACAGAGTAGCAGGAAAAAAAAAAAATGTTTACTCTTCCAGCTGAATTGAGAGAAATTGATTTTGGTCATTAAGGAAAAGATCTTTCTAAGTGTGCTTAAGACACTGTTTTAAGACTAAATATTGCCAACTTGCAGATATTTGCATATATGAAGACAAGATTGCCCAGACTTGGAAATCTTTCCTATTGCATGAGGTTTTTTGTTTGGTTGTTTTTTTCAAAATTCAGAAAACTGTTTCTTCTGTACATGTAAATAACATTACAGCAAGTAGCTGCAGTAAAAAGTATGGTAGCTGCAAGTTTCACATTTAAAGAAAAAGAGTTAGATCATGCCTCTTGAATGACAGTACCTTCATAGCATGATACTTCAGGCTAGTGTAGTATTAGTTACTGACTAACTTAATACCTGAGTATTTTTTCAATTAATGACCCACAGAAAATGCTCTCCTCAATTAAAAAGCAACATTTATTCTATTCTAGGTCTTTCAGATGATGACTGTTTCTTTTTCTTCAAAGCATATAGCATTCAGCTCTCAACCCTTGTATGGTTCTATAAGATATTGTGCAATTGCATATGAAAAAGTGTTTACATCTGCTAATAGTAACAAATGTAAGACTCAGATTTTTAACCTGTTTATGTTGTACCTTGTTAAATTACTTTTTAAGGTGTCTTTATATTTTTGTGCTGCTAATGGAACATTTTCATCTAATAATAGTAATAATAATGATAGTTGTAATCAGCACTGCATAATGTTGAATTATATCACAGTAATTTCAAATCATTCTAATTTACAGTTTATTGGTAACATCCATGGGCCATATAAAGCTTACAGACTTCGGCCTGTCAAAGGTGGGGCTAATGAGTTTGACTACCAATCTGTATGAGGGTCACATTGAGAAGGATGCCAGAGAATTCCTTGACAAACAAGTAAGAGACAGCCTTTTTCAGTTCTACATTGAGTGTTCAATTTAAGTGATGTTTTGCAAGTGGCATGTAGCATGATACTCTATAAACTGTTGTTATTTCTGCATTGATGTTCCAGTTGTGTGTGTCAGTTACTTTTATTGATGCCCTGCAGATTATTCTGAGATTTTTTTCTTTCTACATTAGGATCTGTTAGTAAGATGAACAGCCTAATTGTGTGAAAGTGAATCTGTGAGAGAGACAAATGGAAAACTGTTTCTAGAAGGAATTCAGGAGTCTCAGCAGAGTACTTGTGGAGCTCATTATGCATTGTACAACCAAGGGTGCTAAAATCCTTGCTATGGCCCATTTCCCTTTAAGCATGCCTCATTACCATTGCTCACAATCTGTTCACTCTTTAAAAGTTACTTAAAATAAAACCATCACAACTTTCATATAAAGATAGGAGTGTGTTTAAGTTAAATAAAATACTTGCCATGATGGACTTTCATGCACGAAATTCAGACTGTCCTTTGCATGACAGATGTGCAAATGTTCATTATGATGCCTGTAAACATAGCTAGGTTGTTCTAAAAACATTAACAGTTATGTGAAGTCAGCAGACTAAAACCTACTGAATTCCTTTTTTCCATGTTTCCATAATATGTTATGTTTCCAAAACTGTCAGTGATGTGACATAGCTCAGTTAGACTTGTTTTACTATCGCACTTATTTTCTTTATTTTAGGTCTATGGTACACCAGAATACATAGCTCCTGAAGTGATACTGAGACAGGGTTATGGAAAACCAGTGGACTGGTGGGCTATGGGAATTATCCTTTATGAATTTCTTGTTGGGTGTGTGCCATTCTTTGGAGATACACCAGAAGAGCTGTTTGGACAAGTAATCAGTGGTGAGGATCATTGTAAAAAAAAAACAGATTATTCATTTTGCTGTGAAACATGTCAATTTCTGTTAATAGTAAATATATCTAGGTTTTTAAGCTGGTTTTGCTCAAAAGCCCCACCGCTATTGTGTTATTGTATTAGCAGGTTGCTGTCAAAGCGGTAAGACTAAATTTGGTTTAAAAGCTAAGTTTACAGTGTATTGTTGCTAAGTACAGAGATGCGGAAATGTACTTGTTAAGCTGCATTGTTTAGTAAAGAAAAGCCGTATTAGTAGAAAAGTAGTGCCACTGTGGCACAGTGATTTCAGTCTTTAGCGGAGAAAATATACAGTTAAAATAAATTTGCATAAATGGGAACATGCCTCGTGGCACAATGAAGAAATTAACAAAGATGTAATAAAACCCTAAAACAAATGTCTCACAAATAATAAATAATGGGAAAGAGAAGGAAACAAATTCAGTTCACAGATTGCAAATGATTTCATTGGTGATTGTTGTAGTGCAGTGTTATTTCTGTAGCAGCTGTTCTTCTTCCATTTAAAATTCAATAACCCTTTAGTTCTTAACCTGCAAGCTGACCCTAAGTGTTGTTATGTGGCTTATGGCAAAACTGAATGATAATTAAACAGAATTGTTTACTATCCTGCCTGCTGTTTCCATAAATTTCCCAGATGCATACATATAGAAGGCCTCTATTTATGCCAAGAGTTTAACAGAATGGCATCTCTTACTATTTCCCAGTCTGTTTTATAGTCTGCTTAAAATGTCCAGTAGCTAAGACAAAACCACCAAACAGCAAACCAAAACAGCTGTCAAAAAAACAGCCCAAACAACAACCAGAAAGCCCAACAGAAACAAAAGTGACCATACCTCTGGTGTCATACTCTGAGATACTGAGAATACAGCAAAGCCCCTTTTGTACTTAAGAATACGCTGTCATCATCTCGCTTTCCTCCATATGTGAAGCTGAAAGCCAAACTTGCTTGTAAACTGTAATGAAATGGATTTGTGTGTTGCCTCTAGTACATGACCTCTTTATACAACATCCTAGCTGTTCATGGATTTATAACCATGTTATTTTCTGATATGATTCGCCAAGCCTTGAGCGGCAAGGAGAATCAACTGTTTAATTAACGCAAGCAGCAAATGCTGGCTTTGTTCTGAATGCCTCATGGCTGCAATGCATATTCATGCTTTATTTTCCAAATCAAATTCAAACTGCAGTGGAAGCTGTAGGCAGGCAATCATGAAAATAACTCATGTTTTTATTGCATTTCCAGACATGTGCGCATGTGTTTTTATCTTTATGCTCTCTGGCTGGGAGAAGGGGAGGGAATAGTCTAAAATTAATGACAACATTTGCACTTTAGACTTTATTTTGCATGTGACAGTAATTTTAAAATTTGGAAAACAAATTATCATGTGTTACAATCTAGCTGATACTTATGTAAATAACCTTATCTGTTTGAATGTGTCCATTTTATCTTCCAGAAATTGTAGAAGTGTAAGTTTGTAAATCTGATCTTTTCCCCCTGGGTCTCCAAGCCTGTGGGTCAGCGTAGTTTCTTCTTTTGATACTGACTTGTCAGTTTCTGTTATTTTAAATATCTTTACTTTCTGAAACCATTCTTGCAGCATCTGCAGGACAATTCTTTTGCTGGATAAGTTTCCCATGCTAAAATATATGGTGCAAGGGTATAAATACTAAAATACATGCTAAAATACATGGTACAAGGGTATTCAACTGTAAAAGCTGTGTTAAGGAACCCAATCCATAGGCTGGATTTTTATTCAGTTTTTGTGGGTGAAATTCTATAATCTACTTTAAAATCTTGTTCCCTCATATTATACCTTGCTCTTTCTTCATTGCAGTTGCCTTCCCTGCCCCCAGTCTGTATAAGTACAGCTATGGCAGGCCTCAGTATAAATAAATCTAGATGCTTAAAATGTTAATTAAAACAAAATGTTAAAAATAGTACTTCAGAAACATTTATGCCTCTTATTTCAGTACCTTTCCTTAAACTCTGAAATACAGCAATTAAACTTGGTCTGATTATACAATGACAAAATCCATAACAGTCTTCTCTGGTTTTTGAGCATTCAGTTTCTCTGATGCCAAAATCCTTTTACCTCTTAAGAAAATTCTGCAAAGTTTTGTCTAAACCCGCAGTATATTACATTCTTGGAGACAGCTTCTGATAGAAATCAGACGAAACTTGCTGTGTAAGCTTGTTAAAAAGTTCATGTTCTTATAGAAACTGGCACATTTTTCCATTGCTTAATTTAAATGAAAATTTGGCAGATATTTTTTTTTTTTTGTCAGCCTTACCTGAATACTGCAGGGCTTAATATCTTGGTTGCATGATTTAGGTCCAACTTGCTATGAAGTGCAAAAGCCTTAGTGGTAGAAGAGTCAGTAGAGTGAGGTGCAAGTATGCAGCACTTGCAAGAGCGCTCCATTGGCATGTATCTTTCCAGAGCAGAGCCTAATACCTTGGCCATTAGTCATGGAAGTCTGCTAGCATTAGAAGAGAAAGATTGCAGATGTGAGCAGTGACTGCTAGGCCAGGTCAGCTATGTCCTTCACAGCAATTTCCATGGAACAGAACTAAAATTTAAAGCATGATTTGGGTGGGGTGGCCAGGGAGAAGGGACAGCATACAAATTTTGCTCATATTTTGCAATAGTTTTCCATGAGCCAAGCATTCCTTTATTCTGTTGTTAAACACAGTTTTGGGTGAAAGGATACTTCTGAGGAAAATGGGAACATACGTTCTCATAAACAGCATGTTTATGGAGTTCGTATAGAGAGTAGGAAAGTCAGAAGTAATTGGTATGCAACAGAGAGCAACTTGAAAAGTTGCTTTAACTCAACTTTACTGATAGCTTGCTATGAGAACTCTCAGAGTTTCTGCTAAATGTTGGGATCAGACTTCAGTAGTAACACACAACTTTCTGTTTTGCTAGATGAAATTGAGTGGCCTGAAAAGGACGAAGCACCACCTCCAGAAGCCCAAGATCTGATTACCCTGCTGCTCAGGCAGAATCCATTGGAAAGACTGGGAACAGGTTAGGAGGCCCTGTTTTATATTGTTAGTGTGCTGGAAATGGGTTGTGTATTCGGCATTGCAAGCTTTTGTTCATCTATTTGTTTTGCTCGGGAAGTAACTGTCAGGACAAGTGGCATAACAACATGCCATGATAGCAGATGATGACTGTCCTTTTTTTGAAGTTTACATATATGTGGTCATTTGCAATTACTCTTCTCTTAACTGTCTACATAAACCATAAATTTTTCAAAGACCCAGTTAGCTGTTGGATAGTGTTCTTTCATGGATACAGCATTAAATAACAGAAGTAGAGAAGAGGAATCAATACACAGCTAATGCTTTCTTTTGCAGAAGTATCTTAGCCTGGCAGATTAGTTCCTCCAGGCTTTAGGGTGGATTATGGGTACTCTAACTAATTGTTCAGAAATGACTGTCTGAAGTTGTATTGTGAAAGGTCTTGTAATTCAGCAAGCGCTACCGCCTTGCATGAAAAAGAACAAAACCCTAAGTGTGAATGTTAAGGAAGTAAATGGGTATCAGTGGGAGCACAAGCTGTCACCTTATTCCCCTGTGGTCATTCAGTGCTATGCTCTTTCCATTTTGAGAGGAGAACCTCTTAAAATGGAATGAGCATGTGGTATTAGGAGCATTGAGCCTGCTTAGGCTAATGAAAACATTGTACATTTATGTAATAGAATTTGTTAGTTGATGGAACAGGATTTTTCTGGGTATTGGATGGGAGGCACTACTGAAGAATATTGCACATGATTTTTTGAAGTGTTAATGTATGGAATCCCCTCTCATTGGCAGCCATTCCACTGGCCAAAGCACTACATAAACACAGCAAAAAAGACTTCCTGTGCAAAAGAGCCTGAATGTAAAGGTGTAGTCTCATTTATGGTGAACACTGTATGCCATGAATGGAAATCCATGGGGATGCTAAGGAAACTGAGTGGCAGGTTGTATCAGCATGAGAGTACTTGGAAAATTGCTGGCAAAACTTGAGTCCAGTGTTCAGATTATGCTCTGTATTTTTAGAGCTAACATAAACAGGAGCTTTAGAAATCAGTTTATAACTGGCCTTACCACTTTCACCTGGGGGGGTACATGTGTATGAAACCCAGACCCCAAGTACTATTGATGTGGTCCCACATGATAGATCTTCCTTTGGGACATGACGACATGACTTGAGATGAGGGAACTGCATGTCCTTTGCTGTCTGAGAGTCTGGGATCTGTATGAACAGGATCTGTAGCTGATGGTCAGGAATAAGTGACATCCACTAAAGTCTGATTTCTCCCTGAGTTGAACAAGAGTGAAGCAGATATCTTGTCCTAGTCAGCTTCTCTTGTTGCTGCCTGCTTCATCTGCTACAAAGGGCATGGCTACCAAAAGCAAAATAAAGAGCCGCAACTAATTCCATTCCTTTCTTTGACGTATACTCCTTTCAGGCATTATTGTTTCATTGCCAAGAAGCTTTTTCCTGGTAAACAGAGTGTTAATTCAAGGCTGTGAGCCTCCCTGTGAGAGGCTGGGTCAGAAGTAGATTGCAAATTCTGCCTGTCTTGCTACAGCAGGTTGAGAAAGTGAATTGGCTAGAATGAGGCTGTCTTAACTACTGTGATGGTCAGTGCCAGCACATGGAACATCTGTGCAGTGGCTGATTTCTTTAAACTGTTTGTGGTCTCTCGAGAGCTGACAGCCTGAAGAAGGAAATTGGGCAGCCATTTCTCTGAAGCACAGAGGGGTGTTTAGAAGCCACAACAAAGTTTGGGTTTTTTTAATGTTAGAAACAACTTCAAGAGCAGAGACTGCAATGTGACAGGTCCCATAGGGGCTCTGGAAAAACAGCACTGTTTATCCCATTCTCCACTGTGCATTTCAAATAACAGTGATATCTGTCTAATATGTATTAGCTAGCTGCATAGCACTGTGAAAATCCTAATTGTGTATTTGCTCAGGAGACCTGAGTGGCATAGTTAAGTTGAAGGAAGAGAGATGGATGCTATGCTTGTTTTGAAGAAGGAAAATTGCAGAAAAAGGACCTCTTAGGGTTTGAGGTGTCTGATACCAATCAAGAATTACACCGTTAAGGTGTAATATCCCATTGCTGTGCTTAAGAGAAATGTTCACTCCTCAGCTAGTGACTTTCAATGAGATGTGATTTTGGTTTTGTTCAGGAACATTTGGTATTGTTTACTTTTTCCCTGCTGCAGTCAGAAAAGCGAAGAAGCAACTTAGAAATTCAGTTGGAGACCAATCCTGGAGACTTGAGACTTTTTCAGTGGCTCTCTGCTGACTTAGCTTTGGCATAATGAATGCTGTATCATCGTAGTGGATTGATCTTGGCTGGCCACCAGGTGCCCGCCAGACTGCTCTATCACTCCTCCTTCCTCAACTGGACAGGGATGAAAATGCATTTAAAGATTTCTGGATCGAGATAAGGACAGGGAGAGATCACTCAGCAGTTAACGTCACAGGCAAAACAGACCTGGCTTGGGGAAACTAGTTTAGTTTATTGCCAGCTAACATTGGATTACGATAATGAGAAATAAGAACAAACCTAGAAACACCTTCCTTCCACCCCTCTCTTCTTCCTGGGCTCAACTTCACTCCCAGTTTCTTTGCCTTCTCCTTGCAAGTGGCATAGAGGCACGGGGAATTGGGATGCAGTCAGTTGATTACATGTCTCTGCTGCTCATTCCTCCTCATACTCCCACATTCCAGTGTGGGATCCCTGCACAGGAGACAGTCCTCCACCAACTTTACCAGTGTAAGTCCTTCCCATGGGCTGCAGTTACTCACAAACTGCTCCAGTGTGAGTCCCTTCCATGGAGTCCCAGCTCCTGCCAGGAGCCTGCTCCAGCAGGGGCTTCTCACAGGGTTACAGCCTCCTTCAGGCATCCTCCTGCTCTGGTGTGGGGTCCTCCGGGGGCTGCAGGTGGAGATCTGCTCCAGCATGGGCCTCCCTGGGCTGCAGGAGGATATGTCATCCACGATGGACGTCCGTGTTCTGCAGGGGCACAGCCTGCCTCACCATGGGCTGCACTACAGGTTGCAGGGGAATCTCTGCTCCTCTGCTGGGAGCATCTTCTCCCCTCTTTCAGTGACCTAGGTGTCTTGCAGAGTTGCTGCTCGCTCATGTTCTCTCTCCTCTCTATGCTGTTGTGCAGCAGTTTTTTTTACTCTTTTGTGAATGTGTTATCTGTTATTACACAGGGGCACTACCAGTGTCACTGATGGGCTTGGGCTTGGCCAGTGGTAGGTTCATCCTGGGTCTGGCTGGCATTGGCTCTGTCGGACATGGGGGAAACATCTGGCATCTTCTCATAGAAGCCACCCCTGCAGCCCTCCACCACCAAAACTGTGGCACATGAACCCTGTACAATCCAGTTGGCAGTAATTCTTGCTGCTGCGTGTTTCCTGTTCAGTTTTTAGGGTTAGAGTAATACTTGTTAATTATATACCCACCCAGTCCCCCAGGACAAAAATTCCAGTATTTCATTCTGTTGTTATGGTTGCTTCTTAACTTGAAACTAGTTTGATTGTATAACAAGAAGAGAGTAATCTATAAGAAGATAAATTATACGGTATTTCCTAATAAGAATCATTTTCATTACTTTCTAACTTATGCTTACTCATCTGATACACTTACTTACATTTTTATGATTACTTCATATTGTGCTTCTGACTAAATTGTCACTGAGAGATCATAATCAGTATATCCAGAAAAACAGTAATGTTAAAAGGGGGAAGATGATAAAAGCAGTGCAATGCTACTAAAGAAATGGCCACAACAAAACAGAGACGAGGAGGTGCTCTGATAGGTTTAGATTAATGGAAATGGCTAGTAGATGTTTCTGCCTAAGGACTAAGGCTTTCCGTGATGATTTACATTTTTTGGCCAGGGGTTTGTTTAGGTGAATAATGTCAGAGGATGCGGTATCATTTGCTCAGTGTTTTTCTCTGGCTCCCCCAGGTGGTACATATGAAGTAAAGCGGCATCAGTTCTTCAGGAGCCTTGACTGGAATAGCCTGCTGAGGCAGAAAGCAGAATTTATTCCACAATTGGAGTCTGAAGATGACACAAGTTATTTTGACAGTAGGTGTTTGATGGCATAAAAAAAAAACTGCGAAGAGCACCTTGTTTAAGTTAATCATTGCCTTTGACTTTTGCTTACTGCTTTGAAAATGTCCTTCATCAGAACCACTGGCAGCTTGCAGTTTCACTGGTTGTTTGACATTTCAGCAATAATAATCTTGGGAATAAAATTACTCTTTTCAGTTAATATTAAGCTTGGTACCCCTTCTTTATGATAAATTCACATACTTTATTTCTGTTGTCTACTATAGCTCGTTCTGACAAATACCAACATATGGAAACTGAGGAAGAAGATGATACTAATGATGAAGATTTTAATTTGGAGATGAGACAGTTTTCTTCATGTTCACACAGATTTTCAAAAGTAAGTAAAAATTACTGTATTATTACTGTGTGTTGTTTAGATAAACATTTTGCTACTTCTAGAGAGTTTGGAAACAATATGGAAGAAATAGGGCATTGTTTCTTCAAGAAATGCCAGCTGGAACTGAGCAAAAATTAAACAAATACTGTTAAGTCAAAACATGGAAAGATTCTATAGGAAATTATCTCTTGAATCCTTAAGAATGTAATAGGTTGTTATATTTCTGTAGCAAATTTATAATAGCATAAGAGAAATTTTAGGAGAACTATTCTGTTAAATGCTAATACATGTTCATTACATTGATTTCCTTGTATGCAGTTTGAATGTTGCTCCAGTTGTGTCCTGTGTATCTGGCAGGTGATGGCATAACAACGATTACAGTAGTAGCCTACAGTAGCTATTCATTAAATTACATTAGACTGAAAAGAAAAAGCAAAGTAGTGGTTATCTTGAGGTTTGGTCATGGAGAGATGTGGATTTGAGGGACTGATTTGAATGCTAGGAATTGAAAGTGAAACTGACTGTCCAAGGGGTAGTATACTTGAGTAGTTGAGATGAGGTCCAATTATTGCTGGATAAGGGATGGCAGTAGGAAAAGAGTGGACATGTTCAGAAGGGTAAATTGGCAGAAAATAATAGAATACCTAATGAGTGTGCTTCTAGTCTTAACATAGCATCCAGCAGTGATTTTCAAAAGCTTTCTATTCAAAAACATTTCTTTAACTCACTTTAGGGACTGTTTAAAGGTATTTGGAAAGTCTGCATTTGTATCTTGTTTGTCCTGGGTTATGTTTTAAAGAATTGGTGGATTTTGTGCTGGCTTTACAGCACCACATACATATTGTATCTGTGATAACATGAAAGAGCTGAGACAGTAATCATGGATGCAGTTATCCTCATTTGGTGTAGACTCCTCATTTTGACTTGGTATGTTTCAGAATCAGATATTGGTAAATGACACAGTCTCTCTGGGGTCAACTTGGATAAGGGGCAGTGGGCACAAACTGAAACACAGGAAGTCCTGTCTGAAGACAAGGAAACACTTGTGAGGCTAATCAAGTGCCGGCATAAGTTGTCCAGCTAGGTTGTGGAGTCTTCATCCTTGGAGGTCTTCAGAAGCCATTTGGATATTGGCCAGAGCAACCAGCTCCAAGTTGACCTTGGTTGTGCACAGAGGGGTTGGGCAATATGACCTGGTAGAGATCCTTCCAACCTCATTTTGTGATTCTGTGAACTTCTGTCCTTTTCAAAGTTCTGTACCACTGTAATAGTTTGGTTTGTTAATGTCATTATGTCATTGCATCTCTAGCTGTGCCTCTCAGGCTGCAGAATATACAGATGACAATTTGTGTATGCTGTTTGTTAGCTAAGCAAACAACAAACTTCAGTGATCAGAGTTTATTTGCTCTAAGTCCTTTAGCCAAGTAATTTTTTCTTAACTTCAAAGTCAATTCAGATTAATCTTTCAGTTTTCCACACCTGACTGGTAAACACAAAGTATCTTAGGGTTAAGGTTTTTTTACCTTGATTTGTTTTATGGTTGTGAATTAATCAAAGATGTGCGTTATCCTGGGTCTTAGAGACCCCAAGGCTATGGATTTTGTTTGTACTCTCTTGGTTCACATAGTGAAATGACGAGAAGGCTTATAAATCTCTAATGAGAATAGATATTATTCATGATCCTGTACATGAGGAGGAAGAAAGCAAAATAGGGGGCATTTTAAGAGTACAAACTTCGGAATTTTAAAAGGCGCAAAAAGCTTGAAGTTTGCACTCTGAAATACTGTGTAAGCATTTAGAATCACAAAATTGTTGAAATGTGCTTTCCTGCATATCTTTTTCTGTCAAATACATCAGCAATGACTTGGGGTTTTTGTTCATTTGTTGTTTTTTTTTTTGTCTGCAATAGGTTTTTAGTAGCATAGATCGAGTTGCTCAAACGCAAGGTGAAGAAAAGGAAGACGCAGGAGACAAAGCAAAAAGTGTGGCATTGCCTTCTGTGGAATCTTTAAGCTGGAGTTCAGAATATTCTGAAATGTAAGTAGAAGGAGATGCTGGAAGTGGTCCATGTCCTGCTTGCCAGGTGACAGGCCTCCTTATCTCAATAATTGCATGAATGTTTGTTTATTTTTAATGCAGACAACAAAGACCTACATCCATCTCCTCTGACACCGAGAGTAGCAGGCAGCATTGCAGCTCTGGTTTGCTTCCAAAGTTGGCCATATCAGCCGAAGGAGAACAGGGTGATTCTGCTGGCTTAGTAGGACCCCGGGAGGAACACGAAAAGCCTGTATTTGCGAGTGAGGAAGTAGTGCAAGATGAACCTGAAGTAACCACTCCAGCAAGCACGATCAGCAGCTCCACGCTGTCAGGTAATCCACAATGGGTCTCTTTTGACATTAGAAACAATTATGGGCCGTCTTTGTTTAGCAGTAACATTCATGGATTTAAAGTCAGGTATTTCAGAACTGCTTTAAAAAATAGCCATCCTAAGAGGGGTCTGGTTTGGGCTCTAGGCTCAAGCTAATAAAATCTTGTGAAAACATGTATGAAATTTTCAACATTTTTGGAAACACCAACATATGGAGTTACCCCACAGAGTCTGGAGGGCTTCTCAGCAAGTGAATAAAACAGTGACTTGACCACTGAGCCTTTGCAGGATCCTTCTGTGGTGAAAAGGAGTCTTAAATCCATTGAGCACTTAAAGCACTATTTTTATATTTCCTCTCTGAAGTTGGTGTTCCTGTTTTTGGTTTTGTTTTTTTTTTAGCATTCTGCAGTGGACCTGTATTACTGTTCTCCATGCTACACCATTGTGTGGTTTTTATTAAGACATCTTGATAGCACACACTTTTCACAATTGGTAGGATTGTCTTTGACTTGTGGAAGTCGTTTTTGTCATTAGGAGTCAAAAAAGGAAGTGTTGTAAACCATTCCTTCCTTATTTATTTGCTCTGTGCATCCCTCTCCCAGCTGAAGTATTTGTGTGCGTTTCAGTAGGCTCCAGGGCCCTACCTTCTTGCTTCATTTATTCTTTTGGACAAGAGCTTTGTATAACTATTTGAAACTCCTGATACTTAACACAGATCTAGACCTGTATCAGTTTCATTATTGTCCATAAATAGATTCCAGTTACCTTCTCTACACATTTACCTGTCGTCAGCTTACTTTTCTTTTGTATCTCACTCAGTGTTCTCAAGATAGCCCTTTCTATTCCCATACTCCTGCTTTCCCTTGTAGTTTTCATTTTCCTTCCCCTTCCTCCTCTCCATTTCTGGAAAGATAAATTTCCTCATGCTCACCCAGCTATGCAGCCATTTCCATCTCTTTCTCTTGGCGAAAATCTTGACTGTGCTGTATTCCAGGTCTTGCTCACTGCGTGTGTTACAGCATTGGCCTTAGCATAGCAGTCACAGTGATAACATAAAGTGGTCCACTTGTATTCCTCTTAAGAATAATTTCTTTTTTTTCTGGTCCATTTGCAATGTGACATTCAGTGACCTTAAACTAATACTAGGAATTTCTATGCTGTGTCTTTGAGTAGGCAGTCTACCCTTGGTGCGTGAGCCTTTATGTTTTTTTTTTCATTGTTTGAAACATTGCTGTCGTTCCTCCATTCAGTGTCATTGAAGTTCATTACCTATGATAGACTAATACCAACGTAGTTGTAATGCTGAGTTTAGTGGTGCCAGGTATCTTTCTGCTTTGTGGTAGAAAACCACCGAAAGAATAAAAGCAAATAATAATAATTAAAAATAAAATTATGCTCAGTGTTTTAATGATTTTTGGAAGACTTGTGAAGCTGATAGCAATTTATGCAGGATTATGGCCTTTCATTTACTTCAGGGGGAATTCACGTGGAAGATAGATGTTGGTGAGTGCTGCATATAGAAATACCAAACTTGCTTCATTTTTTGTCAGTGGCTGCAAAAAAGTGTTGCTTCAATTCATTTTGTTAACATTTATTCATTCTTGAGTGCAGAAAAATTACTCAGATTTCTGTAATGTTGTTTTATGAACTTGAAAGAAAAAATCCTTTGTCACATTTGTACCATTTCTCCTCCCTGACCCCCGGTTTTCCCTCAACGTGTTTGTCCTTTCTTCTTTGTACAGTTGGCAGTTTTTCAGAGCACTTAGATCAGATAAATGGAAGAACTGAGAGTGTGGACAGTAGAGATAACTCCTCAAAGCCACCCAGTGAAGTTGCATCTCACGTGGCTCGCCAGCGATTAGAAAGCACAGAGAAAAAGAAGATCTCTGGAAAAGTCACAAAGTCCCTTTCTGCGAGTGCTTTGTCCCTCATGATCCCAGGAGGTAGAGATAAATCTTTTTTGTCTGAATTGTTACGATTCTAGTGGTGTATGACATAAATGCAAAGTTTTGGAGAGGCCAGAATGAATTGTGTCACTTTATTTCTCTTGTTCACATGTGTTACTAGGATGGTACAGTCTTGTCAGTGAGTTACAGTGGTCACATTACAGCTGAAGGACCTTCTTTGACAGGCAGAAATACAGCTTATTGTGACTGCTTTGTGTTCAAACATGTACGTGCACAGCAGGATGCAAGATTCAGTCTTTGGCCCATTGTACAGTAGGGATGTAGCTTAAGTTCTAAGTAGTTAGCTGTATGGAGCTGCAAGAATAGCAGTTTGTTACAGCAGCACTTTCAGCCTTAGTAGGTCTTCCTCTTCTCCCATAAGGAAAGGTGAAAGCCAGAAAGATTAGTTGTCACAAGAGCATGATACAGACACAGGTAGTTACACAGCTAAGAAACACTCCAGAGTTAGTCATCAGTTTGTACTCTAGTAGTTCTTTCACCTTTCCTTATGGGAAAGTTGTCAAGCAAGAATCACTAAATTCAGAGATCATACATACCGAGTTACTTCCTTTCAGTTACTGAGTTACTTTCTTTCAGTTTAATCTCAGCATTGTTCTATAAAATACAAACTTAGCTTTAGTTACACCTAAAATGTTGTCATCATATCTGTATTAACCAAAATCTTATACATTAGCTATACCTGCTGTCCAAAAAAAACTACCTTATTCATATTTATCCATGAAGTAAACTACAGCAACAGCCAGACAGTATTCCTGACTTGAGTCATATAGCTGAGAGTCACAGGGCATATCCCAGGCACAGTAGAAGGCAGAGTGTGTGGGATCTGGGTATTAAAGCTCTTAAATGAGACAAAACGGGGGGGGGGGGGAGGGGGTTAGTCAAAGATGAAGGCGCATAGTAGCAGATCAAGGTCTTTGGGCATGAGCTGCAGAGGTGTGGCACCAACATTTGCTGGCTGTCGTCCCTGAGATCACTCCTTAGAGTAGGCCTTGTTGACCATTTCACATTGGGTACAATCTTCAGCTCTGGAGGAAACCACCTCATCTGGACAGCACCACATGGAACCAGTTTCATGGAGCTGGCTGGTGGCAGAGCCATAGGTGGAGTGAGAAGGCAAGGCCACTCTTGCTGAGCTCCCAGAAGCTGTGCCTGCAGCCAGCACCTAAGCAGCCAAATTTACAACCAGCTTTGGTACCACACCCTTGTGCTGCAGCCATTTTCAAGGATGTTTTTTCACCTGGCTGAATACTGCTGGAACACTGGCTCCAGAGGACTAAACTGGAATGGGTGGCCTTTGTGTGGGGCAGGCGAGGCAGGTGAGCTTGGTTGAAATGTGTTTCATGTTGTGAGTGCCATCAGTGATGGAAGGACAGGCTGCATTGATGGGCTGTGGCCAGTGGTATGAGATTCAACAAGGCAAAGTGCCAGAAGTGTCAGGTCCTGGGTTTAGACTACAACAACCCCATGCAACACTACAGGCTGGGGGAAGAGTGTCTGGAAAGCTGCTCTGTGGAAAAGGACCTGGGGGTGCTGGTTGATGGAGCTAAACATCAGCCAGCTTGTGTCCAGGCAGCCAAGAAGGCCAACAGCATCCTGGCCTGTATCAGCAGCAGTGTGGCCAGCAGGGCCAGGGCAGTGATCATTACCCTGTACTGGGCGCTGGTGAGGCTGCACCTCGAATCCTGTGTTCAGTTCTGGGCCCCTCACTACAGGAGAGACATTGAGGAGCTGGAGTGGGTCCAGAGCAGACCAACAGAGTTGGTGAGGGGCCTGGACCACAAGTGGAATGAGAAACAGCTGAGGGACCTGTGGGTGTTTTGTCTGGAGAAGAGAAGGCTCAGGGGGACCTTACTGCTCTCTACAACTACCTGAAAGTTTTGAGATCTGAAACAAGCTAGAAGGTGACAGTGACAGCTGCCCTTGGGGCTTGGCTGTTCTGTGGGATTTCAGTATTAGCCTAGTGATACTGATCTCTGGGAAACTCCAGTGACTCGAATTCAGGGAGTAGTGCTTCCGCTGTCAAAGCGTATCTGCCCTCATATGACATGGCTTGGCATGGAACACCAAACCTGGGTTGCATTCCTTTGTAGAGCTGTCACCCTCTTACAGTCACCAGAGTATGTTTTATGCTGCTGCAGTTGTGTTTACATTTGCACAATAATGAGCACATAGTGACTCAAAACAGTGAAATAAAATGAAGCTGTAACTGGTACTGTTGTTGCAAGAAATTCTTGTGCTCGGACATGGTGTAGCAGAATGTAGAAGTGGGGCCTTGTTATAAGCATTGAGTTACTGTCCTATATACCAGTATGTGGTTTAATTACATTAGTCTTTATCCGTATGTATATATAACGGAAACAAAATAAAACCCAAAACCAACACAAACCAAACAACCCCAAATTCAAACTAGTGCTTTATTTATCATTGCTGGATGATTTGGGGATGGTTTTGGGTGTACTCTTCAAATAATATCTGCTACCAAACTCGGGTTTGGTTTTTTTTTTAAATGAGTATTTGTTAGGAAGAGGCTGGAATTGTTCTTTGAAAGTTTTCAATGAATGTATTTCCTTTCTAAAAGGAAACACATGTAACAAGGCAACCCTTGCATTAAAAAATTCACTTCGCGCTACAGGGGAAGAAGATCTGACTGTTGGTTAAACAGGTAGGATAAACACTGATGGAGGTGGAGAGTATTCAAAGACAGTGATAAATTTTGACATAAAAATGTCGTAAAATTAAGCACGTTCCCTGTTCTTTGTCTGTACTTGTGTGTGCTCAGAATGTGCTTTAAATAGTCAGATTTTTTTTTTTCCAGATGTGTTTGGTGTTTCTCCCTTGGGAAGTCCTATGTCCCCTCATTCCCTATCATCTGATCCTTCATCCTCCCGAGATTCATCTCCCAGCCGCGATTCATCAATTGCTGCTCCAAGTCCTCATCAACCAATAGTAATTCACAGTTCAGGAAAAAAGTATGGCTTCACCATCCGAGCAATCAGGGTTTACGTGGGTGACAGCGATATCTACACTGTACATCATATTGTTTGGGTAAGATAATATATTTTTTGCCTGTATTCAGCCACAGAAAACGGTAATGATGAGTTTTCTGTTGAATTTTACACCTGTGATATCTGTTTGTTGACTGTTGCTGTGTAAATCATGATGTTGTGTCAAACAGTTTGCTTAGAATGAAATTTGTGCCTGTACACAAGGCTGGTGTTGACTGTAGGGACAACACAAGCTGCTACATATGATGCCCTTCCACATGGTTCTGCACTTTTCCTTTTGGAAAGTTTGGCAGGTGTGAATAGCCATGTGTAAGTTAAAAGTGCTGTGGCTTAGAAATCCAAAGGGTTGGTGCAGCCCCTCTTTGTTTGAGGGCAGTATCTGCACAGCCAGGAGATGGTAAACAGAAATAGTTGAAATACACAAGGAGTCTGTTAAACTGCATCAGTTAAGGGATTAATGAAATCAGTGGTATTTTACTAGACACAAGTAGGCTGATCTCAAGCACTGGCTTTCTTTTGTGTAGAAATGTATAAATCACTTGAAATTGTGCATACTTCTGAGTGCTAGGCATAGGAAAAAGACTTGACTGTCTTCAATAAATCCTGTATTTTTCATTCTTTCTTCACAACTAATTTCAAGTGGGAGACAGTCTAAAGGAAAAGACAGAAGTTCTTTCATTGGTTTTCAACCTCCTTAATTGTAAAATAAATACATATTTGTGTAAATATCTGGATTTTTTATTTTATAATTGAGGTTGATAACATCGTGTATTTTATATCATTTATATATTATACATGCATAAATATTGTGTGTGTGTGTATAATATTTAAAATACCTTAAGTAATTTTGAAAAGTTGTTTACCACAAATATCAAAAGCTTTGAAGTTTTGTACAGTGCTTTAAGTATGTGTTGTAGATTTTGAAGTAGCAATACTACTGATGTGGTAGTGTATTACTCATTTTTCATTCATGTTGTTTACCTCTCAGGCTTATTAACCCATCAAGAACATTGAATATAGAGGAAGGGGTACATTTGATAATGGAATAAATATAAAAATTGATTTTCTTGCCACTGGTATAGCATCACCATTAGTGAAAGGAAGAGAATAAAATGGTACACTGCAGGAAAAGTGAAACCTTGGCTTTTTTCAAGACACTGTAGGTTTCTTGGGATTAGTTCAATAAGCATTGTAAGCTTCAGTGGTGGCTGCATGCCTTAAAATTCTTCAATTACAATGAATTATTTAACCCTTCTTCAGAATAATTTGAAATTCAGTTTGTTTTGGTCTGTCATCCCTTTTATGATGTACTATTTCCTCTAATGGGCAGCCTGGTGAATTTGAACCAAATGAAAGCAATCCTTAACTGTATGGTAGAGTTAATTTTTATCATGATTTAGGGTATTTCATATGACCACTTTGTTAATTACATCAGTGTTTCTCAGTGTCACATGCTAAAAATCTTGATTCAGTTATGACATTTTGCCACGGGGAGTGAATCACTCCTCTGTCATGCATAAAAACTGCCCTGCTATACAGATCTTCCATAATAACAGTGGCAACAAGCAGCATTTCAGTGAGCTTTGAAACACCCCATATAAGTATAAAGTTTGCGTAGAGTAGTTGGTGAAATGGCTGGTCTGATTTTTTTTTTTCTTCCTTTATATAACTTAATATCTGTAAGTGTTCTTTACTACTGACTGATGTAGAAGGATTTCAGTAAACAAAGCCTGATCTTTAATATAGAAAGGTTAAACAGGGGTCCATTTTGTGTATATTCTCTTCATCTCTAATTTCCAGAATGTGGAAGAAGGAGGTCCGGCTTACCAAGCAGGTTTAAAAGCTGGAGACCTGATAACTCATATCAATGAAGAGCCAGTGCATGGTCTTGTTCATACAGAAGTCATTGAATTGTTGATAAAGGTAACTATTGAACTACTGGGATACAAAAATGCTTGCTGTTTTGACAGCAAGCACTGACAACAAAAGGGGTTGTGGGGTTATGTTGATTTCCTTTAGAGATCAGTTACTGGATTTTGTAGTTGTTCACATATAAGCTCTAAGGTACTATAGCAAGCACAGCTCTGGAGAAAGGTCAGTGACTTCATATATCCTGCTGTGATTTGAGTTTTTATGCAACAAACTGGCACTGCTACTGAAATAGCTTAAGTACTTTTGAGGCAGTGATACAAAGAGATATCCCTGTCTCTCAAAAAACTTATCATTTTCAAGCACTTTTTTTAATTCCTACATCTTCACTAAGTAATTCAGGCTTTTGAAGATGAAGCTAATTCTTGTTTTCTCCTTTTAAAGTGAAATCAGTGAGGAAAAGTGATAACAAAGAATATGAAATATTTTTTGCCTACTGTGCGTGAACTTGCTTTCATAATCTTAAGGCCCAAAAGGTTTTTGTCTTGTATATGGCCAGAGATGTCCAACAAGAGCTGCTTTGCTTAATGGAGTTCTGATCCTACAGTTGGATTTTTATGAATAATCCATCATATTTGTCTCCTGTGGAGTTTTCCAGGATCTATCCTATTAGAAAATGATTGGTTTTCCTTAAAAACTAACAAACCCCCAACTTTTTAAATGAATAATAGTGTCTTCGCTTTTCACTATAGCTCATTGTATTGCAGATTTTATGAACTCTTTCAAGCATAGACGAACATAGGTCAGAATTATTTTAGACAGATGTATATTTATTTCCTATACTGTTAACAATTTATGGTTACATGCAGAGCTTTGCCTGTGAAGGAAGCTGCTTGATTATGACAGAAGATTGGAAAGCAGTGAAGTAATGGGGAAATAAGAATAGCTGAGGAAAGATTCAAAATACAGTTTTCCTTAAGTCTTTTATTTTCCTTCTCTGAAACCAGGAAAAACTTCCAAGTTTTCCAATTTTATAAGAAAAGTGTAAGAGAAAATTCTGTAATTTTAGGCAGTTGGGTGTGCACTTGTTTTCTGTGTCAGATAGAGAAAAAGAGAAACTTAACAACCCTGTGCAGTACTTACAAGAGTAAACTCAAATTGAGAAATGGTTGAATGTGCTGTATCATAAATTAATTTGGGCTATTGGAATTACTTTGAAAAGAAGTTCACTGTTGTGAAATACAGTGGTGGGCAGGATGTATGGATTTCTAAAACATAATATGGGCATTTCCAGTTTGTTTTATTGAGTCATCTGTTCATGAAAATGGTCCTAAAAAGCTTATTTATATTTATTATCTCTTTTGAATCATAGAATGGTTAGGGTTGGAAAGGACCTTAAGATCATCTAGTTCCAACCCCCCTAAGATAAAAGAATTGTTTGGGATTGATATTGTCAAGTTCTCCATCATCATTGTAACAGTTGGTATTCTGAGGCATGAATGGCAAGTGAATGGACCACTGGGCAGTTACAGCTGTTCTTTGTGGCAAGCTTTCTGTAGATGCTTTCAGCTTTAAAAAATGCAGTCTTACTCTTCTCCTGTATAGCTACAATTACTGGAATTTCTTCTTGTCCTGAAGCTGGAATGGAGGAAGTTGAGGAGATTTGCAAAATTTAAGAGTTGTCCAGCCATCATTTATCTGATGTAAATTGAACTGGCAATGCCTGTACATGGCTACTTCGTACACTAACAGCTCTTAACTTTGATGGAGTCCTTTCTCATTGCATTCACATTGGTGGTGTAGCTTCAATTTAAGGCAAAGTTGTCCTGTATTACTCACACTTAAAGGTTCCTCCTCCATTTTGGCAGAGTGGTAACAAAGTCTCAGTAATGACAACCCCTTTTGAAAATACTTCAATCAAGACAGGACCTGCCAGGCGAAACAGCTGCAGGAGCCGAATGGTCAGGCGCAGTAAGAAAACCAAGAAGAAAGAATGTTTGGAAAGGTGAGTAGTGCCTTTGTCTCACGTTTACATGCGTGTATATATACATAACAATTAATATAAAGTGTGAAGTTAATAGAGTTCTCTCCCTTGTCTTCTCCATCCTTTTACTTTCTTCTGTGAGATCCTATGGTTGTAACATGCCCTTCCGATTCTATTTTGCCTAAGTTAGGTCTGTTAAAATAAAAAAAAAAAAATTTTGTGTGGCATACCCACAGCTAAGAGGAAGAAAGTGAATAACTGAGATTGCATCTTAATTTGATTTATCTTTTTGTACTTGTTCAGTTAAACTTCCCAGTGCTAAGTGTATGGGCATTTTTAGTTTGATGATACACATCACTAGTAGTTTCTACATATTTCTTCAGTTTTGGTGGGGTCCTTAAATTAAGAAAATTAAGATTTATACTCATAAGGAGCTAGCTATTCTTCTGAAATACAGTGAGTGAATTTTAGTACAGATTTAGTTACAATATCAGTCCCAACTGTTGGCAAATCAGGGTATATGCTAAACATCATCCTCTACACTGTGGTCATTTGTTCTCATGTAAGCATAGATTTGATAGTTGCTTTTCTGGTGTAATGGGAGGAGAAGCAATGTCAGTTTTTAAGAGTTTTGCCTGGCGTAATAGTATCTTCTGATTAATGCCATGTTTTTCTCATACTAGGAGAAGATCCCTCTTTAAAAAGCTGGCCAAGCAACCCTCTCCTCTTCTTCACACCAGCAGAAGTTTCTCCTGCCTGAACAGATCGCTTTCGTCAGGGGAGAGCTTGCCTGGATCCCCAACCCACAGTTTATCACCTAGGTCACCAACCCCAAGCTGCCGCTCTACTGACTTCCCATCTGGTGAGTGTGAAGGGCTGGAGGGCAGAAGAAGAGGATGTGAAGTGTATTCTACTTGTGAGCCTCCCAGACCTGTTAAATACTCTTGTAAGAGTAGTCAGTTCTGACAAGCGTAATCATTAAACAGATGGTTTCTGTCTGGAAAAGGGTAAATGATTCCTGATGCAAAATCAAAGGTCTTTTCATGATATAGTAGCACCTAAAAGGCTGCTAACTTTGTCCTTGAGTTTAAATCCAAGTCCAGTGCTGTAAGTTGAGTAATAAACAGTTTGAGATCTGGGTAAAAGGTAGACTCTTGCCTAGGAGAGGCTGATTGATAAAAGAATGAAACTAAGGAAAAAGTTGCTATATAATGGAACTAGCACGGGCACTCATAAATGCAGATTTATTGCTGAAAAGGTAGGCTGGGTTCTGAAATATGCATTTTTTCTGGCTCCTAAAAGTCTGCTTCTTCTTCGTGTTTTAATTCTGACATTATTTTAGTGTGTACTAAATTTAAGTGCTGTTGTATGATCCTTTGACAAACATAAATTATTTGGAAAGTCTTGATCATTGCTTTGAAGTGGCAGAAAACAGTAACTGTTCTATTTAAATAATGAGAAGTGGTAATTTGAAAGGGATGAGGAACAAAGGAGGAAAGAGACAAATAGCAATGTAATTGGATTGATAAGGGTTTTACAGTCCAGTCACACAAAACCTTCCAGATTTTGCAACATTGTGAGAGCAAATGGCACATAAGCATTTTGAACTGGTGCAAGTTCTGTCTCTCACTGAGCATTTAGACAAGATTCATAGATCTTGCTAATCTTTGTTTGTTTCTTCTTTTTGTAGGTACTAACTCTTCCCAGAGTAGCTCCCCTAGCTCAAGTGCTCCCAATTCTCCAGCTGGTTCAGGGCACATAAGACCCAGCACTCTTCATGGCTTGGGTCCAAAGCTTGGTGGGCAAAGATACAGATCAGGAAGACGCAAATCAGCTGGCAGCATTCCTCTCTCTCCTCTTGCACGGACACCTTCTCCAACACCCCAGCCAACATCCCCTCAGCGATCTCCATCACCATTGTTAGGACATTCAATTGGAAACACAAAAATAGCTCAATCTTTTCCTAGCAAAATGCACTCTCCTCCAACTATTGTAAGGCATATTGTTAGGCCAAAGAGTGCAGAACCACCAAGATCTCCCCTGTTAAAGAGAGTCCAGTCTGAAGAGAAACTTGCTCCCTCTTATGGCAGTGATAAGAAACACTTATGTTCACGGAAACACAGTCTGGAAGTCACCCAGGAAGAAGTGAATAGAGAAATGTCCCAGAGGGAGGTAACTCTTCAGAGCTTAGAGGAGAATGTATGTGATGTGCCATCACTCACACGAGTCAGGCCTGCAGAGCAGGGCTGCTTGAAACGACCCATCTCCCGAAAATTAGGTAGGCAAGAATCCATTGATGAGCTAGACAGAGAGAAGTTGAAGGTCAAGATAGTTATGAAAAAACAAGATTTTGCTGAAAAATCAAATGCTGCTGTACATGAATGTGGCAGTGAAGCAGAAAATCCCAATACCTTAAGACTGGAAGAAAGAGACAAAAAAACATTCCAGAAGGTTTTAGAAAGATCAAATCAGTTTGAAACAAAAATTGTAGCTTTGGAGACCCAGTCAGCTGGTGGCATACTCAAAGACACCCTTCAAAAGAATGCAAACTTGAGATCAAATGATGGTGTTGCTTTAGATGCGCACATGCTGTGTCATGGGCCTTTGCCTGATGAGCTGGGTTCTATTTCTTATGACTTAAAAAGAATTTCCCCTCCGTGTACACTGCAAGATGTTCTGCCTCAGTCCACTGACAGGGTGCTAAATGGAAAGGGAGAAAACACAGATAAAAATGTACCCACAAAAGAATTTGTCAAACTTGAAAGATTAGATGGTAAACTTGTAAATATTGATTATCGTAGAAAGAAAGTGTCCATTGAAGAAAAAGATGACAGTGTCTGTCCCATGCTAAAACCTAAATTGACATCAAATGTTCTTGAATGCCTTCAACTTAATACAGGAATACCCATAAACGTACAGCAGGATTCCACTGCAGTTGCTGATGGTAGAGCTTTTATTGGAAGTGCACATGCTGCTCAGATTAACTCAGTTTCTTTTGTTCCTCTCAAGACCTTGAATGGCCGAGCAGACATGAATGTGGAAAAGTCAGCCCTTATTTCCAGTGAGACTCCTGTCAGAAAAAGTCCCTCAGAATATAAACTTGATCCGAGGTCTGTTTCCTGTTTGAAGCCAATAGAAGGCACGCTAGACATTGCCTTACTTTCTGGGCCACAGGCTTTGAAGACTGAACTGCCTTTGTGCATTCTGCCAGAAGGACAGAGCACCAGCAGTGATGGGGGATCTCCTAAACCCCCAGCACCACAAGGGAATGGTGGGAAGGCAGAACTGGCCTGTCAGAAAGAGCAGTTGTTAAGCTATTCAAAATCTGGCAAAGTCAGTGTATCAGAGCCTCAGATTTTGCAAGCAAGCAAGAGTTCTCCAAATTTGCCACTCACCCCTGTGGCTGCAGAAGTGCTGACAGAGAAAAAGGTTTCTAGTCCAGCTGCTAAAGGCAGTATTTCTGTTACTGACGCTGTTCAAAAGAAAGACATCTCCCCTTCAAAGCAGAAGGACAGCTCAGCAGATGTGAAGTCATGTGTTACACAAAGTCAGAGCATTAAAACTACTCAAACATACTCCAAACTTTCTGCTGTCCAAAGCACTCCTGAAAAAGCTGGTGGAAAAGAGAAGCAAAAGGAGTTGCTGGCCGAACAGCCAGTGGCCCAGAGAAGTTGTGAGCCTATTTCTGCAACAGTGGAGGTGATCAGAGAGCCATCTCTGAAGGCATCTGTCTCAGATGTCCTGATAACGAGCTACTCGAAAAGCAGTGAAAAAAATTGCTCTGATTTTGCCATTCCACCTCAGATGCAAGGAAAAATGCAGGCAGCTGGCCCCAAGGCCCAACCTAAGGATGGCAGAGAGTCACTGAAACAGCGAGGTACAGATGACAGCAGTGTTGCCGGTAGTTTCATGGAAGAGGATATAAACAAGCAGAAAGTTCTCATTGAGTCTAAGAAAATTATTGCAGAGTCAAAGATTGAAGCTTTTCCGTCCAAACGGCCTGTGCAACCCTCAATGGATGGTGGTCCAAAAAATGAAAAGTCTGCACCGGTTTCCTCTGTGCAGAAAGACAATGCCAAAGATTTAGGAACAAAAGTTCAGGAACAGCTCACTGACGTAAGGCTTCATATTACTGAGAAAGAGCAGTCCAGCCAAGTTCCTCAGCAGCAGCTTAGCACTTCAAGGTCCCCGGCTGTGAGAGACGCTGTAAGCAGAAAATGTGCTGTAGATGTTCATGTAGGTATTCAAGAACACATGAAGCCTGCTGCCGCATATATGGAAAGCAGCAGTAATAAACACAGACCAGCCTCTGATACAAGTTCTTCTAAGGCTAAGTACTTGGATAAACAGACACTGTCACAAAAATCATTCACTCCAACCATAAAAGAAAAAGAAACTACTATTCAGGTGTCTACCAGCTCCCGGAAAGATGGGAAACATGCCAGTAAAAATGTGCTAAATCCCCTTTCTTCTGTTTCAGGCTCTGTGGAAAAAATGACCACTAAACATGGGCAGGCTGAAAGGCCTATGAGTTTGGAGCGTGGCTCAGTAGCCACCCTCCAGATGAGCAGCATCACTCCTGACACCAAACCCAAATCCTCTACTGTCGACCCCATATCAGCAGGCCCAGAGAGTTCTAAGCAGGTGCAGAGACAAGAACCAGGATGCTTGGGGGGATATGGTGATCAAAAGCAACTTCACCTCAGTGAAAAACAAACCGTGTCTCCAGAGTTTTCCACTGTGAAAGACCCTCCCTTACTGAGCAAACAGACAGACAGGAGTCCTGGTGCTGAGATGATCTCTTCAGACAAAAGACCTGACGGAAAAATACGCACTGACGCACTTTATGTTCAGCTTGACAGTGGGAAAGTAGAGCCTACCCTTTGCCTCATGAGCTGCGATGCCAGAGAGAAAGGAGCAGAAAAAACAACTGCTAGTAGCAAAAACTCTCAAGAGTCAAAAGGGAAGGGACAAGTTAATCAAAAACAACCAGAGAATGCAAACAAGCAGATCACAACGTCAGCTGCCAGTGGGCAGAGTTCTTGTCGTGTGGCTGCAACACCAGGAAAGCCGCTGACTCGTTCAGCCAATTTCTCTGAATGTAGACAAGAAGTCTCTATTTCGTCTTCAGCGAAGAGTGACGCATCTTCTACAAAGGTTAAAGCAGGTTCACCTGAGCTTCCTGCGGCCTGCAAGGAACTAAATAAGAAAGGCACCTCTTCCGCAGGGAGTGGTAAGGCAGAAATGACTAAAAGCATTTCACTGGTGGCCTTGCACAGTGTTGCTGTTGTAGCAGAAGCCCACCACCCTGCTTCAAACCTTGGGGGAAAGCCTGGAAGTCAAGAAAAGTCTTCTTTTGTTAACACTGGGGATGTAAAGGGAAAAGACGCTGTTCAGACTCAGCAGTCTGCTTCAAGAAAACAGAATGTAGGTAAAGATCTGTCCAGATCAGCAACCGTACCTGACCGCCCTAACGCACTTTCTGACGACAAAGATTCAGCTCGGCAGCGGCGAGGAAAAGAGGCTCCACGGAGCAGTCCTCACAAAAAATCCTGTTAACTGTAAGACCTGGCCGGTGTGAATTCAAGACTTGCTGAACTAATGTCAATATATTAGACTGCCTTTAAACCAGCACTGTGTCTTGTCTTTGTTCTGCGAAGCTTTCATGTCACTGAAGAGCGAGAATAAGGGGATATATAAAAACAGGACTCTTCTTTTTTTATTCTTTTCTTTTTCTTTTCTTTTTTTTCGAAATGCCTTCCCAGTTGTAACCGGTAAAACTGTTACCATATAGTATTTGTACAAGAATACCTTTACAGCTGAGAGCTGTTGAAGAAAAGATCTCCTCTGTAAATACCTAGCAATGTGTTTGGGGTTTGAATGTAGCATATGTACTTTGCTGCTGATTGCATTGTTTACTCTTCCCTTTTTTTAAGATAGTTGCTTTGCCACTTATTTGCCATGCTCAAATATAAAACCAAATTATTGAAACTCTGACCTCTGACCTGGCATGGACATGCACAAGCATTGGTCTGACTGGAAAACAAAAACAGGCCAAATTTTTACTTGCTAAAATCTTAGCTAGAGGTTAAAAAATCACTAGTAGAGAATAAATACAGTGACTTATTGTGAGTTTTTACATGTATTTTTAATAATCTAATTTTGATAGTACTGTACCTGGTTGACTGATTCACCAGGTGTAACACAAGACCTGACTGCACCTCCCTGCTGCACAAAGCCTGTCTCTTAGAGCACGTGTCATTAAAGCTGCAGGAGGACCACTTGGATATGAAGGCATCCCAGCCAGAGTTGTGTTCTCTGGTGAAATGGTGGTTCTCATCTTGTCTGTTTGGTGACCTTCACATCAAGGCTGAGACTGAAGTACTTGCTGTGTGCTTCACTTTTGCTGCAGTTCTCTCGAGTTCCCTGAGCTTTTTTTCAATTTAGACCCTTGCAGTGTGAGGCACAAGTATAAGCACATGACTTGCAGTACTAGTATGTTCATTCCTGGGTTAGTACATTTAGAGAACACATTATCATGGCACATAGGTCTGCATAGTTAGCTTCATACAGTTTAGATTTTTTTTCTGTTTTACAACAAGGTAAAAAGGAAAAACTGTTTTACTATCATCTTCAAAAATGTTCAGGACACCTGATACGTTTTAATACATAGCTGGGGCCTTATGTTCTAGACTTAACTTGCTATTTTTAGCAGGTGATTCTGGGTTTCACATTCATTTCTGAATGCATTGAGTAGCTCCATGTGTTTCATACAATAATCTTTTTATTTGTATGCAAAAAAATACTGTAATTATAAAAGAAGCATTTTGTAACAAAGGAACCTGTTGGAGCTATTTGGTGCTAGAATGTGACTGTCTTCTTACTTTTGCTAAGCCTTATTTAAACTTTGTATACTGTGGAACATGTAGACTTTAATCATTTTAACATGGAGGTATTTAGTTTATTTTGAAGGATGAAAGGTAAAATCTGAAAGAGGAGCACTACAAAGTGCCCTTGCAGATGCATGTTTTTTAATGATTGGGATCAGTAAAATGGTGGGTTTGCTTATGTCTGTTCTATGTGCCCACAGTAGAGCTAGGACCTTCCCGTTTTGTCAGGGCTTATGGATTGTCTTTCTGTCTCAAAAGCTAGAAAATTATTCCTAAAAGCACAGTGTAATCTTGACTTGGAGGTTTGTATGACAGCTGACAGTGTGCAGAATTGATTTCCCTCTGGTGAAAATTATATTATACTGATTAGTTGGTTAGATTACAGCAAACCTTTCATGGAAAGATAATATCACAAACAAGTCCTTCTGATTTTTCATGTGGCACTAGTACATTCATACTGCCTTTGATGCATTCACAGAGGAGCTAGTGAACAATGGATAATGTTTCTTGGGCAGTTTTAAAGATAAAATGGTCTCAACATTTACAGTTCATCTGTGCTTTGGCAGTTACTACAAATAAATGCTAATGCACTTCAAAATAACATTTCTGCCTGGAAGGTATTTCTTAGTTTACAGTCTTACGTATTTTTTCAGCCATCCTTTTGTTTCCTTTAAAGTACATCTAGCTTTTTTGTTTACAGTAACCTTTCTGTATATTTTGTATAGCTCATCATCACTTCTGACAACTAAGTTCTTTGCATTTTGGAAGTGTAGCAGTGCTTAAGCTTGTGTTATGTAGTACCTGTTTGTTGGTGTTTACCTTACCAGTGAGCTGTTAGAGATCTTCCTGCCTGTGTTCTACTTGGTCAGTCTTTATGTGATTGTAGATCTGATGTGTTCTTTTGTAGACTTCCTGCTGTAGATTCCTCAGCCTACAAAAAAAAAATACCAAGAAAAAAAAAATTGTTAGGGTCTGTGCAATAAAGTGTTTGCAGTCTTATTTTCTTTAAGAAACTCCTTATGGATGTCATAATTGTTATATATTGAACACGATTATTTATACTTATGCAGTTGGATAACATTGAAATAAAAATTCAGCATGAAACGCTGTTACGTTAGCATTTCTCCTTGAACTGTTTTCATTCCTGTAACTTAGGACACATCTCTGCTGTGCTTGGAGACAGACAGTTTTATATTCTTTCCTCTGGGGCCAGCTCAGTGCACGCCTTAAAGTACATGCTGCAAAGGATTTTACATGAGGAAATGCAGTTCAGTCTGAAGACAGAGGAGGGCTGCATAGCGGAGTATCTTGTCTCAGTGGCTGAAACTGCTGATGTGCTGTTCATAGGTAGTCACATGGCTATTCTGGATGGCATACCCTGACCAGTAAGTTAACAATGTCGGCAGGCTGTAATGTGACATTTAAATCTTTCCTCCATAATGTGTATCATCCATGACATTTAAATCTTTCCTCCATAATGTGTATCATCCATTACAATAGGAGCAGTGTCTATTAAAATACATACATATTCGCTATTCCATTGCTGGTAGCTCTGCATAGCTGCATGGCAGAGATTTAGTTTTGTTCACATTTTGCTATTGCATTGTTTTCTATGTGTTTTCCCCTGTACAGAACTCATGCAGTAGTGTTACAGCATTGCTTTTGGTGCTTTGCTCTCTATTTGAAAGCAGTAGGTGAGGGGAAGCTGCAGGTCACCCTTCAAGCTTTCCAACCTGCTGCAACCTAGCAGAAGGCAGATAGTCTGTGAAACTGGTGCACTGCAAAGGGGTATGATGAGTCTAGGATGGGAGAGCAGCAATAGGAAAAGCAGCCCAGAGGATGTGAAATGACCAGAGTTAAGGACTGGCTGTGCCATCCCTGGCTGTGGACAGCAGCAAACACTTTTTGTCCAGGGAGGCATAGAAACCTGTGTGCCCTGAATGAGTCTCCATAGTGTTTGTGGCCAGGGGAAAGGGGTGGTGTAAGGGGTTTGGGTCGAGGAAGAATTCAGGAAAGAAAGTTTACTGGTACTGTCTGGCATGGCCTATCATCCTCACATCTACTGTTGTAAGAAGAGATGGCACCTTGCCTGGAATGGGAATGGTCTGAAAGGGAAATGTGAGCACCCTTTTTCAGCACTGAACTCCCAGTATGCAGTGCTCCCTAAGACTCCATATTTTTCTCTTACGTAGTTTGCAAGACTTAGCAAGGATGTCAAGCTTGGATTCAGATAGTAGCTCAGACAGAATAGATCATAGGACGTGAAGATACTGGAGGGTATACTAGATGCACAAACGGTCCAGTTCATGGCTTAGGATTTATTTTTTTTTTTCCGCTGACTATAGTATTTTGATTAGCCCTGACCAGCTCAAACTCCCAGACATTGGCCAAGGATGGGTTTGAATGACCTGAGGGTAGGAAGCGATGCTAGGTGTTGTGGTTCAAGCTGCAAAGAGTTGAGAGCATCAGGAAGAGTGGAGAAGGCTGTAGAGTAAGAAGACTTAATGTAGGTACGTTCTAGTACACAGTAAACTCTTCAAAATGAAGGTGTGAATTAAATACAGGGGAAGAGGATGTTTGAGAGATCTGCTGGAGAAGGATGTCATCTGCTGCTGGGGGAGAATTTCCATAGTATTCGCCAGATGAGGAGGTGTGGTACGAGTGAGTGGTCGGGAAGGGATCTTGCCCGCTCTTTTTCCAGGTATGGGCAAGACCAGGGAATAAGAAAGTTCTTAAAAAGCGCATCATCAATATCAGGATTTTTTTTTTTTTCAAGTCAACAGATTTAGAAATTGGCCTCTTCAACCATCCTGTCCAGAGTTAAGTTGTCTTTAAAAAATTGAATTACCTCTAACTGATAGTATCTTGTTTAAACTCAGTTGAGGAAGAAAGAACTTGGCTTTGAGTCTCAGTTTCTCCAATTGAAATAAAGGTAAGTGCTCTCTGACGTCTCATTAGCCAAGATCTGCTCATGTTTCTTCTATGTGTAAGTACAGGTAACAAATTTTCCTTGGCAGTTTCATGTTGGACGGTGACTTCAGTGACATCTGCAGTTCAGGAGCCAGCATGGTGATGAGTTGAATCCTGTCAGACACCACTCACTTCAGGTGATTTCCTTGTTCTCTCTGTGTGCTGACTCCCCAGCTGTATCTGAAAATATCAGATATAAAAGGCTTGACTAGAAACCAAGGACTGTATCAGACCAGAGCTTGATGGGGTAAAAAAAATCTATGAAGAGATCTACTGTCTCTGTTTACATACTCGCCAAGTAATCCCAGAAGACTTAATCTTTAGATACTTCAAAAAGTTTTAAGATATAATCTGGATGGTTTTGGTGTATTATAGCCGTATATAATTTTTTCTTCAGAATAATCAATACCTGTGTTCAGGATTTGTGTATCCTGAAGCATACAGTGTATGCTGTTCAGCAGTGTTGTTTGCACGGTGTCCTAGGAATGACATTTTGTAGGCAAATAAGAAAGCAGAAATGATGCTGTAAAGGAAATCTAAGAAAATTAAGATGAAGAAATGGTCCTCAAAATTAAGTTTTGTGTAGAAGAAAACAGAAGGGTCACAGGAAAAGTCTACTTAATACCCTGTGTGTAAATAAATATTGCATAGGAACACATTCACCGTTCCACCTTTTCAGCCATCTTTTGAGTTTTAGCAAACCGAAGTCTACATGAGTTCACACCATGACACTGGGCACAGTTCCAGAAACTGGTGGTGGTTAAATCCTGGTTTCTTCTCTCCAAATGGAGAGGTATATGAGAAAGCATCACCTGAATATGCAGTTTTTCCCCCAAGTTGCTGATATTTGTGGATCTCCCACAGCTGATACTCGCAGTAATTTTTTGTGCCTGTCCCAGGCTATGAACTGCACCATGCTTTCTTTTAACTTCACTGTTTGTCTATCATGTTTCTGAACCCACAAATTTAAGAAGGAAACAATGGAATAAGCAGGTCTCTCTTGGATGGTGCACACACTGGTGTCAGGATCTGATTGGAAAAAAAAACCCTGTGCCAGACCCTGTTTCATTCGTGATCCCAAGAGTGAAATTGAGACACAAACAAGGACAAGTAATGTAATCGATCCATTGATTTGTTACGAAAAGACTACTATAAAAAGGGGGACATTATTGTAATAAAGGGGATAGAGATAGGACAGATTGGAAAAAGGATGGAAATGAAGCAAGCATTTGGGGTGCAGAGAGAGAGAGAGAGTCACCACTGTGGGTCCAGCGGTGTCCTGAGGATCTGTTGTCATCGTTGCCAGTGGTGGGAGTTCTCCTGGGTTTGTAGTCAATATTGGAGCAGTGTCCCCCAGGAGTCAGTCGTAGTCATTGGAGAGGGGTATCCTCATGGAGGTGTCCTTCTGGGGTCATCCCCTTAAAGGTACCTGTGGAGGTGTCCTGATGGAGTTGCCCTCATGGCGATGTCTCTTGGAGAGTGTCCCTCAGGGTCTGTAGTAGTCATTGGTGGAGAGTATCCTCACAGAGGTGTCCTTCTGGAGTCATCCTCATGGCAATGACTCCTTTCGTAATTACCTTTTCCGCCTTTTATAATGGGTTAGGGGGAGTACCTCTGTTCTTAATGTCACATATTACATGTTTCTGGTGGACCAGTTTTGCTGGCCTTACAGCCAGCTCTTCAACTGCACATGTCTGCACACACAGGTGTCTGCAGCAATTGTTGGGATAATGGGCAGCAATTTCTCACACCAGTCCTTGAGGTAATAGATGGAAGAGTCTTATCTCAGCTCTTTCCCACTCAACTCTCAGGCAGTGGATAGTGGAGTCTTAACTCCTCCCACTTCTGTCTCTGAGACAAAAGATAGGTGGAGTTCCATCTCAGCTTCTCATACCAATCTGTGAGACAATGGACAGTGGAGTCTGATTTCAGGTCAAGTCTTTCACAACTGCCATTCCTGCTGGATTGTTAGATAACACAGTTATCAGGGGTTGCTCATTTAACTAGTTGGATTTGCAGTGGGAGGGGAAAGCATACGTTGAACCCTGGGCTGACTTGTTCCCAAGGACAAGCCCGGGATTCCTCACAGACAGCATGGTTTGCTGGGTGACTGCTCCTTTAGAGCAGTCCTTGCTGAAGTGCACATCCTGCACAGGCAGCCCTCACAACTTTGGTGTTCTGTGGCTGGGCAGTGGGAGCACAGCACCTGCGGATGGGCTCAGGGGGAGGTTTATGTGCAGAGCGTGTCAGCGGCTGCAGAAACAGGGAATACAGGGATAAGCAGAGAGTTGTCAGGAGAGACAACGTCTTGGTTCCCCTAATCCAGGAGTGCTTATAGGCAACTGTAGAAGAAGCATCAGACATCTCCCCCTGCATGCTCTTGGGCAGCATATGGCTATAAAGGCAGGAGGAGGAAAAGCTGTGGGGTAAGGCAGGCAACATACGTGATGTGAAAGCATCTGAAAGCTGCAAGAATCCTGTTGTGTTTGTCTGATCAGTAACAGCGGCTTTTCAAGCAAGAAAGGTACTTCTTCCTTGAGAAGACCAAGCAAGGATTTTGACAGCCATATCTTCAGAAATGAGCAAAAACTTTCTAGTCCAGCAGGGATCTTTGAAATCTTAGCTCATCAGCATGTTAGGGAGGAAAATGTTGAGGAAATGCCTTTGGGGCAGGAGCTGAAGCTGAATGTGGAGTCCTGCATGGGAAGTGTTGAGAGAGGGCGCACCTTCCACATCTTGGTGACACACTGGAGAGCCTTACCATGGCAGGGCAAGTCTCCGCATGGTGCATCCTCTGTTGTGGAGACAGAAGGCTCATACTCTCTGAGAAGGTTGTGTCTATACGTGAGGGTTAGCCTGTTATTAAAGCACTAGTGCCATAAATCATGCTATGGAAACGTAAGGCAGATAAGCAGGCACACCCTTGGTCAAATGCACATACTCTGTCTTGCCACTGGGTTTATTCACATATAATGTCAGAAAAAGGGATTTGATTGTTCACTAAATGTAAATAATAAGTCTGTCTTTTTTTTCTGTCTGGCTGTTGTATATCCCACTGGAACAAAGAGACTCCAATTTCTCTCCAGGGATGCATGCAACATGGGGTAGCTGTCAGCACCAGGAGCACCGGTGGGATGAGGTTGCTGCTCCCACTGCACCACCCCCCTTTGCAGTCTCTGATTTTCTCTCCTTTACTCCTTCCAGAGGAAACAGTTCAGGCTGGCACAGGAAAGCCTCGTAGCTGTTGGTGTTGGGTTTTTGCCCTGTGCAAGCAAAGCATAGGGCCAAGCACCCATGGATTCTTGGCCAAATCTACAAATTTTATGGTTAGAGATGAAATCGCTGCTGGCCCCTGCTTACTATGGAGTCTAGGAAATCGTACAGGAGCAGAGCCTGTCCCAGGTGAGAGATGGGCTGAGGTTTAATGTCTGGGAGCTAAGGATCAAAAATACTTTACAGGCTCCCTACTCTGAGTACCCTGGTGAAGGGCTGCCCATTTTTCTCTCATAATGATTCAGGCACTACCAGTCTTACAGGAGTGGATCTTACGTGACTATGAATGTTGTGCCTGTTCTTCACAGAAAGATAAGTTTTCCTTTTAACAGACCCACCTCTTAAACAGCACTGGTTTTCAAGGGCATTAGACAGAGGTGGGTGTTTGGTTGGTTTATGTTTGGGTTTTGTCTGTGGGAGTGGTGGTGGGAGTTTGGTTTTCTTTTTTTTAGTCATTGGATCTTCCCTTTACAACTGCATTAACTGTAGTAGCTGGGGCACCAGGGCTAACACTGAGTTGAACTGGGATTTCTCTGTCAGACAAGTTACTCATGTTCAAGGCTTAGGTCATAGTTTATTTTTCCAGCTCTCAATAATTCTTTCATTATTTTTTTTAAATTTATAATAAAAATGGGCAGCGTATTACAAAAGTTAAGAAAATACACGTCACGAAACCAGTAAGTTGTCTTTCATCTTCATACAGTTGCTGTAGAGCTTTTCTGTGTCTCCATCGTACACTTAGATTTTCTGGTAATTTTTCTTGACATAGCGAGCACCCCAAAGGAGGATGACAGCACAGAATAAAATAGCCAGGACAACTGCAATGATTCCTCCTGTGGTGATCCCACAGGAGAGTGAGACAGTGGCCAGCTGAGCCCCAGACTGCCATTTGGGTTCAGAGCATCTCGTTTCTTTAGGGTCCTCAATTTTATCGAGATTCTGCTTGTACCAGGTGATTAAATCGATATTGGAGCAGGTACAGTTCAGAGGGTTGTAACTTAAATTGATGATGCAGTGGCCAGCTAGGGGTGCTAGCTTGTCATGTGGTACAAAACGGATTCTGTTGTGTGCAAAATTGAGATAGATGTTCTTGAGGCTTGGAAATGCATCTGTGCTGAATGCAGCAAGTTTATTGTGGCTCAGATCAACATGCTGTAACTTCTTGAGACTGTGAAATGCTTGGTTACCTATTGCTGTCAGTTCACAGGATGATAAAATTAGCACCTCTAAATTGGGTAGCTCTTGGAACAGTTTGTCGTTTTGCATGATCCCCAACTCGAAGTTATTTTGACTAAGGTCCAAGAATAGGAGGCTTTCCAGGCCTTGAAAGAGATGCTGAATGCTAGTATTAATGTGAGAGGAGGAAAGATTCAGCACTTGCAAGGTGTGCAAATTTCGGAAAGGGCCCTGTGAAGTGTTGATATGAAGAGGAGTAGAAGCAAGGTCCAGCAGCTCCAGGCTAGCACTGTCTTTCATGAACACATCGTGGAGGTGCAGCTTGATGTTGTGGCTCAGATTCAGTTGCCGAAGACTGCTCAAACCACTCAGCGCTTCCTTACAGCAGTCAAAACTTTCGATATAACTCTTACTTAAATCAAGATGCTGAAGCTTTGCCAGTTTCTCCAAACAGCCAGAGCCCAGTTGCAGGAGCTCCAAGTTCCCCTTGATGTGGAGGTGGACAAGGGAGGGGAAGGAAGCAGAGTTGATGTTGCAGAGATGCTCAAAGGAGTTTGCATTCAGAACTAACTCTTCTAGCGAGCTCATGCCACTGATGCCAGCAGGCAACTTGTTGATGTGGGTTTGAGTTAGATCCAGCTTGTGGAGACTGGTCAAGCAATGAAACATGTCGGCGTTCAGCTTCTTGAAGTGCCGTAGCTGCAGATAGAGATCCTTGACAGAGATACTACAGAGGCCTTGTAAAACATCTGGGGTTATGAAGGGCTCCTTTTCCATACCGTGAAATGTTCCCAGCCAAAGGGTCTGGACTGTGGAGTTCTGTAGCCCCGCCAGGATTCCAGGAATGTCAGCACAGCCCCCAAAGTCCAAACTGTAGAAATGGGACTGGAAAGCTCCAGGTTCAATGTACGTAATGTCATTGCCTTTGAAGATGAGAGTTATATTGCTGATCTTCTGCAGAAGAGAGACATCTGCTGCTGTGATTGTTTTTATGTTGTTCATTTGAAAGTCAAGGTATTTGAGGTTTTGAGTAGGGAAGTTAGGAGGAAGTTGCAGCGAGGAGATGTGGTTGTTACCCAAGATGAGTGTATCCAAGCTGTCCAGATTCGTCATTGGAATAAAGGACATACTGGTTATTCCCGTCTGTGTTAAAACAAGCTGCTTCAGGGACTGTGGCCCAACAAAAGCTGTGTCAGACAGAAACATGAGCAGGTTTCCTGTCAGCACAAGTGTCTTCAGCTGCCTGTTGCTGTGAAAGGCACCGTCATATACCCAGTTTATTTGACACCTTGAGAAAACAAAAGAAACCAGCATCAGTGGCCTGTCTTGTAAAGTTGTCCCCATATATATGATAGCCCAAACTGCACTTCATAGCTGTAAAAACTCATGGGCAGTTGCCTTCACCAGGATAAAAGTTTCTTTTTTTCCCAGTACTGCTTGCCTGGTACTTGTAAGCTCCCCTTTAAATATAGGGTCCCGGTGAGATGAAAAATCTGCCCTGAAATGACAGATGTGAAGAGGCAACTATGGAAGTCAGGGTGACATGAGGTTTTAAGCATCCAGCTTAATAAAATGAAAATCTGTTTTCCTGATTTCCAGGAAAACAGGAAATGCTGGGCATTTCCAAGGACCAAACTTGTCTTTCTCTAAGTTTTAGGGAACCATATCTTTATAGAAAAGGGAATAAAAAGATTGGCATAGGAATTGGTATACCTTGTTAAGTCCAAGAGGAGAAGAGACTTCAGCTCAGAGAAGGTTGAATTGTCAAGGGAAGGGAGCACGTTGAAGCTGAAGTCGAGGATTTCTGTTGTGACAGGCAGTCCTTCAGGAATCTTCCTCAGTTCTAAACCTTCACAGTTGTAGCTTTTATTTGCTGCAATCTGTGAAAATTAGATAGTGAAACTGCAACAAGTACACACTGCGGATGTAAACAGGAAAATATGGCACTGAAGAAAACCCAAACCAAACACCCAAACCAATCACAATTTTGAATTACTTAAAAACACAGCAGCCAGAGCCCTGGGGAGCCTCAGCACAGGCTTGTAATGAGCGACCCTGGGGTTTGTGGAGTGATTTTAAAACATATGCCTTGAATCTGTCTTGTACTAACTTGAATTGTGTCTCATCTGTAGCACTTTCCTATCAAAGTCAGCACATGTGAGGACTGTTTACTTTCTGGATGAATTATCCCAAAGAAAGAATTCCCACAAGGTACCTTTAAATTCTGAATTTCATTGATCTGGTAACAAAGTTTATTCTAAGAGAAGTCTTGAGAAAACCTTGCAGAGAGGATGTAAAAAAAAAAGAGCAGGATTGGAAATGTTTCTGGAAGGAAAATATCCAGATTAATTAGATCAGAACTGCAGTTACACCCTGCAGTAAGAGGACAGTGGGAAGGCTTAGCTCAGGGTAGACAAAGATAGCCTTTAAAATTTCTGTGAAGGCTTTTCAGTTTAACTGCAAATAAATCAATCTGTTCTATAGAGAAGTCCACTCTGTGGATACCAGAGACAACTATTAAAGGTGTCTGATCTGCCTTTGCCTGGTGCCTGCATGAAGGTCAGTCAAGCACAGAGGGAAGAGTCACCCTGACATAGCCTGCTGCGCTGCTCAAGGCAATGGAAATGTTCAGAGCATCACACTCATCCCCTGCCAACCTGTGATGGTAGTGCGGGCACCTCCAGCATCATGTCAGCCTCCTCCTCACCCAGCCCTGCTCCCAGAGGGAAAGCGGGTGGTCTGTGAGGGGCAGGGTCCCTGTGGCTGTGTGAGAGCCACAGCTATGGCAATATCCTCCCAGAAAGTTCAGAGATGTTCTGCTTGTAGGGAAGAAAATGCACATATTGCAGACAGCTGGCCAGTCTGACTGTTTTAATTGGACTCAAAGCTATTCTATTAGCCGGAATAAGGCAAGCACAGGGGGCAGTGGGTTGTCTGGAGAGAAACGCACTGGAGCGTGGAGTCCATGTTGAGCAGGGAACAGCACAGGTGTCTGTGCTGTGGTCCACTGGGGTTTTGTGGAGGTGCATGTGAACCCTGGGGAGCAGTGCATGGAGTTCATGTCTTTCCGTTCACATGGGACTGTGAGCGTTTGAGAGCAAACCATGCCTGTGGCTTAGGTGAAACAGGTTGGCACTGACTGCTCTTGGTGGCCTCGCTGGAGGGTGTATAACAGCAGTATTTCTTGCAAGCCACAAGCTGTATAGGGTAAGCACTTTCTTCCTTTCCTCTGAAGCACAAATGATATAGCTGGAAGGTGCTGGGGAAGTGCCATGTCCCTGTGCTGCTGCAGGCAGAGCAGCCTGGCGGGCAGAGCAGAGGGATGCAGTAGCAGCATGGTGAAGCCAGGAGGAAGTGGAAAGGGACTTTAACAACAAAATGCTCCACTGGGTGGGGAGTGTGTCTCCTTGGCCCACCCGTGTCACTGCTGGAGCTCGGACCCCAGGATTGCATCTGCAGGGAGGGACAAGCCAGGTGTGCTCACAGCTGAGCCCCTGTAGCAGATGCTTAGCATGACCTGTGGACAGAAAACTAGCCCAGTACCTGATGTGACAGCACGTGGCCATAGCACAGGGGCTGAAAACTAGGCCACAAGAAGTTTCACCTCAACACAAGGAAGAACTTCTTTACATTGAGGGTGGCAGAGCACTGGAACAGGCTGCCCAGGGAGGTTGTGGAGTCTCCCTCTCTGGAGACATTCAAAACCCACCTGGATGTGTTCCTGTGTAACCTGCTCTGTGTGGCCCTGCCTTGGCAGAAAGGTTGGACCAGGTGATTTCCAGAGGTCCCTTGCAACCTGTGGAATGTGATTCTATGTGTCAGGTCCAGCCTAGAACAACTGAAATAATATGGTGCTGGTAACTACTGAAATAAATAGCAAAATACAGACTTAGAAAAGCTGGTGTTTTTATTACTGGTAAACAAAGAAGAGCTCATGGAGCTGACTGCTGTGGTGCATGGTTCAGGCAGATAAAAAGTATATAGCTGTCACTGTAAATGAACAGTGCCTATGTTTTACCATTCAAATAAAGCAGTGAGTAAGTGAGCTCTTGCCATATGCTTCAGGGCATGGAGTGCTCTCATGAGGAGCTGAGGAACAATCATCCCCTAAGGTATCCCACTGTGCAACCCTGAGCACTTGGGGATTTGTACATTTAATTCAGTAAGGAATTTGCTATTGGCCCCAGATGTGCACTGTGAAGGGCTGGATCTCCACGATGCCTCTTCCATACATCAAAATCCTTGTCATTTTTTTTTTTTTTCCTTGTCTCCAACATAGAAAAAAAAAACAACAAAGAAACCCAACACCATTTACGTGTCAGCCTTTTCTCATCCCCTGGAAAAATCCTGGTACTTTCTTACTACCCTCGTGTGGTATCGCACATTGACCAAATGGCAAATAGACACACCATCACTCACCACTGTGTACAAATTCCTGTATGGAGAATGCAGCACAAGAGGTAAAATCCTTGTATCTGTCCTCTGCCTAGCTCTAACATCCACTAAACACCCCTGTGAAATTTTATCATCCTTAGAGATCCCTGAGAGGTGAAGTATGGTGCTGGGCTCCCAAAGTCCCTGGCAGCAGTAGGAGAGAGCATGAGGATGCACAAAGGGGCAGGTGTGAGGAGGAGAAGAACTGTGGCCGATGTCCCTCAGCACATCTCAAGACATGTGCATTATTTCTCTGATAAAGGCCCTCAGATGCCCCTGAGAGAAACCCCCTGGGAAGTGAAAACCGCCTAACGTCAGCAGGCAGGCATGCACCAGGGATTGTACACAGCTTCTGCATCTCTGGGGGGACCGGCGGCTCTCACTCACCTCCACACACATCTTCTCAGCAGTGCTGGGTGCTCCACAGCTCAGGCCGGTGAGCACTGTGAAAATCAAAAGGCACAAATCACGGGCCATTACGGAGAGAGGCGCGTTGCTAAAATGGGTGATCTGCTGCTATCTTCCCTCAACGAAAGCAAGACTGGGCAGCCGAGGTCACACAGGCTGGGTAAGTCAACTGGAAGGCAGGTCACAAGGAAAAGAAATGTTTGCTGAACGTCCCGGATTCAGTGTGAGCAAAAAAGTGGTTTCGGAGTGAAAGAGGAACTCCCCTGCTTTAAATATAGTCAAATTACTGTGCACTGACACTTCTTTGGGGCAGAACAGAGTTTTTAAAAACAAGAACTGTGGGAAATTTGCTTTTATACTCATTTAGAGTGAAATGTCCCCACTAGGTACAGCCCAGTTCAGTGTGAAAGAGGAGGTAGAACAAGAAAAGGGCAGATGAGAATTCAGCATCTCAACAAAGGGGAATTTAATGCAATGAGAAGTTTGAGTTGAGAAGAATTTGATACATTGCTTATGAAAGTCACAAGAGCTCACAAAGCAACTGAAAAGCAGGGCTCTGCTGAGGGGACTGGTGGCAATAATGTACTTGACAGTGTCAGGTTTACAGCTGGACTTGCTCTTAAATTTCTCCAACCCAAATGATTCTATGATTCTAAGATCTGTTCCTATATTGCTGCAAAAAGGATCATAATGCTGACACATGCTTCTCAGTAGAAAGAGTGAAGCTAAAAAACAGTAGTTCAATCTAAAAATGAACTCTTTTCCTCTTGTATTTATATTACAGATAACGATCAGTTTTCTTGAGGGGGACAGTATTTCTAACCATCCCTAAGATGAACATGCATGTGCCAGCTGCAGGCTGTGACAGCAAGACAGGGGCTCTGGTCCTTGCTGCCTGGGACATCACTGAGCACTAGTTCCAGGCAGACAGCTCAACTTGACCTTGCTCCTTTGTCTTTCTTTCTTTCTTAACTGTCTGAGTTATTAGCTTGACAGCTTTGTTCTCAGCAGGCTTAAGTAAGTGGTGCTCTTTGGTCTGTCAAGAAGCTCAACATGACCCAGCAATGCGCAGCTGAAGCCCAGAAAGCCAAGCATATACTGGGCTGCAACAAAAGGAGAGTGACCAGCAGGTGGAAGGAGGTGATCCTGCCCCTGTACTCTGCTCTCATGAGACCTCTCATGAGTACTGCTCACCTGCAGCACTGTGTGCAGTTCTGGAGCACCTAGCACAAGAGAGATGTGAAACTAGGGTGAGTTGAGAGAAGAACCAAGAGGATGCTCAGAGGGCTGGAGCACCTTCTGCCTCGAAAAGAGGCTTCAGCAGCCTTCCAGTACCTAAAGGTGGTTTACAAGAAATCTGGAGAGGGACTTTTTGGACATGTAGTGATAAGATTAAGTGAATGGCTTTGAACTGGAAGAGGGTAGATTTAGATTAGGAAGAAATTCTTCACTGTGAGAGTGGTGAGGCACAGGCACAGGCTGCCCAGAGAAGCTGTGGCTGTGCCATTGCTGGCAGTGTTCAAGGCCAGGTTGGAGGGGGCTTTGACCAGCCTAGTCTAGTGGAAGGTGGCCCTCCCTATGGCAGGTGGGTGGAATGAAATGATCTTTAAAGTCCTTTCCAATTTGACCCATTCTATGATTCTGTGATTCCTTCTTCATGACCTAGTAGAGAAATGCATGATAAAAATAGACTGGGCTTGGCAAATACACATGGAGCCAATCTATCCCGGTGACTTGATCAGTGAAGCTTCAAGCAATCAAGGTGCCATCTGGAGAGCTTTAAGTTTGACATCTGGGAAAATGGAGACATCTGGGCTTCTGTGGTGCCAAGGACACACAGAAAATCAGGACCTTTGACTCTGAGAAACTGCACAAAGGTCATGGCTGTACAGGTAGCTGGAACTGACGTATCCCTGCGGTTTCACCTGAGCCACTGTACCCATCACTGCTGGTGGCTGGGAGAGGGGAGCAGTCAATGTGGTGGGAGTGAAGCTTAAAATCCATCTCGGAGCTCACTCTCTTTTGCATCTTTGCCTAACCCCCTCAGGTGGGCTGCTGGGGCTGGCAGGCACAGAGAGGCCATGGCAGCAGTGCCCTGCTGCTGTATTTGTCTGCTGCAAGGATGCTTCTCTGCTGATCTGATTCCACTGGGCTCTTTTCCTCCTAATTTTGTAAAATACAAAAGAACACAACTTATCTGAATGACAAGCTGAAAATCTCACTGTACTTCTCACTAACGGCCCTGACCCCCCCAGCCAGCTCTGTGTTTGCTGGAAATCCTGCTTGCCCTGCAGGTGGTAGCAGAAAGTTCAGAGGAATTTGTTTAGGATGTTTGCTCCTTTATTTGCCATTTTCCATGCTAATGCTCAAAGGCATTGGTGCTTGGTGTGTTCCTGCCGTCCCCATTGTTCTTTCCTGGCATGCAGCAGCTTGGACTCACAGTTGCACCCTGTGTCTAGTTTCTGGCAGGCTATGAGCCCTGGTGGTACGGATGCTTCCTCAAACGTCCTGTACCAGAAACCTCCAATCTCAGATGAATGAATTGTTTTGTAAGAAAAGTCCTCTGAATCAGAGGGGATATCAGCCAAAGCTAATCCTGCCTCTTCCTGCAGAGCAGTGAAGCATGTTATTATGTGTTGTGGAATTGATGTTTGATGTAACAAAATAGAAATAACTTCAGAGATATTTTTTTTTTTTGGGGGGGGGGGGTGTTTTTTGAGGAAGCGGGAAGCTTTATGATGCAAATAATGAATTCCAGGGCCTGCCTTAATTTCAGATAATGAAGAATTCATTATGAAATTGGTATCGGGTGACTGAAGTTCCTCTCCTTATTCATATGCACAAGCAATCATGGAGCTTAGTAAAGACAACTAATGATTAGAGGTATCTGAATTATTCATTATGTGTGCCCATCTGATTAATTTAGGCCTTTGTGCTTATGAAGCAAAATGTGGAGGGATAACAATTTATGGCAGTAGTTAGAAGGAGCAGTTTTTCATGCTCACAGGGGGCTTTGCTATGGGCACCGGCCATGGGCTTGTGCAGTCTGCAGCCTCTCTATGACTGTTGTGGGCTGATTCACTTCCCACATTAAACAGGGAGCGCTCCTTTTCTGCATGAGTTTCTATTTGCTGTTCCCAACTGCTGGGCGGCTCCTCTCTCCGTTATTGTGTTCAGGGCAGCTCTTGGACCACAGTGTGGGACATGTGGGACAGTCCCCACATGAGTATTTTTCTGCTAGAAATTTTACTCCCTCTGTGCTTGGTTGAAACTCTTCCTGCTCTGACGACAGGAAGTCTAAGAGCATGCAGACACCAGTGGTAATTACCGTCCGGTAATACTAACAGATGGTAATAAAAGCATTGTTGCTTTAGTGCGATGGTGCTTGTCGCTGAGCACTCATCAGGTACTGAGCACTGCTGGGGGCTGAGCACATCATTTCCTCTGCACTGCCCCTGCGGCACCCTGCCACCCCACAAACAAGGTGCTTTGCCTTTCAACCAAAAAGTCCCCTAAGAGAGGGCTGTACCTCCACAGACGTTCTCCATTTTACACTGATTTCTGAGCTGGACAGGAGGAACGAGGCTCACCAAAATGTGGTGAGTCATCCATGGTGTGTGCCCACAGGCAGAGACTCTCTCCCCACTTAAAAACCACCAGCAATGAGGTGCTGGTCCTAGCTGGGACTGCTGTGGTGAAGTGCTGGCATGTTCCTCAGCCAAGTGGCATGGACGTGGGCATCTTGTGAGCAGTTGGCATGACACTGGCGTCACAGGATGCTAATTCCCACCCCCAGCACAGAAAGGTGGGCCCTGTTTCTGGGTGGGATCATCGGTCCTGCAGGAGCCTATCTGGCTGGTCAGGTCGAGGGGAAACCCCTCTGGCTCTGTGCTCGCCCTGGCCCAGCCCTCATCTTGGGAAAGGCTTCAGTCAGAGCACTGAGCACAGCACCTCCAAAACCCGTGGCCCCTGAAGCTGTCGCGGGTGGGATGAATCAGAGAAATTGCTCCTCTTCTGTGGTTGACTTAGGAAAAATATGTAATGACTGTAGGAGTAAGTGGGAATCAATCTAAGACATTGAACAGAAAAGTGCAATGAGTTATATGGATGTATTAAAGAGTCTTTACTATCCTCAGAGTTACAATGAGATGTTAATTCTCTCTTATTTAAGAGATGAATCATGTGAATCCCTGGTCTTCTGTAGCTCTGAAGAAAAAAGGATTGACAACCCAACATAGCAGGGCTTCCCAAGTATCTGTCTATACAGGATCAAAGGGTTAAAACAATTTTCAGTCATTTCCTTTAGGTATGGATTTCAAGATTTTTCTGTTTGCTGTTTTCTTGGTATCACAAACAAGAAATAGAAATCCAAATGATTACTTTAAATAACAGATATTAAGAACCCTGACTGTAGTTATCCCTGGGGCAGTGGGGTTTGGGCTGTGACCATTCCTCTGCTGTGGCTGCATGGTGCCCCAAAATGAGACACAGCAGCTGTGGAGGACCAAGCACCCCTGCCATATCCTACCACAGACCTGCATTTTCCAGCTGGAAACCCTGTGAGGGCTCTGCTGCTGACGCTGCGGGCTCAGGCTATGCTCTGAGGAAAAGTACAGAACAAGGTGATGCAGCAAGAGCATAAATGACTTGCAGGTGGAAAATACTGCCATAAAAACATGTCAGATTTCACCAGACTCCATGTGAAACCCCTCTGTTCTGTTCTACAGCAACTGATCTTTTGGAAACCCTAAGAGAGGGCAGGAGACAGCAGCCAGATGTGCTTCCCAGCCCATACTCTCTATGCATGTGAGCAGTGTCCCTTTGCCTGCTCTCAGGGCGGTGGGGACACAACAGGTACAAGACCTGCAGGACTGTGCCTGCGATACCCTCCCTGGCTGGGCGCCATCCTGTCTGCTGAGTGCTTCTGCAGTCAGGGGCCAGGCTGCAGCATCGCCCTGCCCCAGGAGTTCCTCTTCCTCTGCTTTGCCGCTACTCCTTGGTGGAGGAACAACCAACCAGTTTCTGTCACCTGGCATGGATGGTCCAGTTTAATTCTCAAAGCATGCCACACCTTCAATCCAAAATTTCCATGACTGGACCAAACCATCTTCTCAGGGAGTGAGCTAGGTGCCCCTTAGGAAAGAGAGAATTTAACCAGGGTTGTGGTGTAATGGCTGTGTATAGAAATATCCCAAACAAATGAAGTGAGTGTTCCCCTGGCCACCTCTCTTTGGATGGCTTGTTCTCACA